ACTGAGCACATTGTATTGTAAATACAAAAATACACATTGGCTTTTATTAGTTCAGTAAGAGTAATTGCATATTATTCTGGACTTAAATCTATACTTTATTTTTGTGCATTCAGGTTTCCCAATTTGCACAAAAAGCTAACAAAAAAATAAGTTGGCTGTGTATTTCGTTAAAAAATAACGTCTGTTATTGGTCATTTTTTGTCCGGCAAAGTAAATTGCGAAATAATATTGATATTTGATATCACAAACAATAACTTAGTGGGCATTATGTTTTGTACTTTTTGTTTGCATACTCTTATCGAGAATCGCTTTATGTTTGCCAGCTGTGTGTGTGCTGCATTTCGTAATTGGTGTTGTGTTGGGCAAACACAATCGATATTAATCACATTATCAGGTGGGTAGCACGTAGTCGTCACGCCATGGGGAATTTCCCCCGGAAGGCTGAGATGGCGAAATGTTATTGGAGAGGACTCATCCATGGCACTGCGGTGATGCTCTGATGCTGTGATGCTGTGATGCGGTGATGCTCTTTCATGCAAATCCGGTCTCATCCTAATTTATGCTGCGGCTCAGTTTACAAAATTTACATGAGCCAGCTTTTCGGGGGACGGAAGGGAAAGGAAAAGGAAAAGGAAAAGGAAGGGAAAGGAAAGGAACGAGCAGCAGCTGCTTGACCTACTCCAAATCCAAATCCCAATCCCCGACATTCCCCCGGAATCACTTAAGTCCGGCTATATGCATGGCAATGGCAACATTTGGCTTCACCCACACAAAACTTCATATTCATAACATACACGGCCCCTGTTTGCTCCTTGTTGTGGTCTTAAGACAGAGCCATGGAAAAACCCCTGGAAAAAAAAGGACAAGCGACAAAGGACGAGCCTGCTGGACATCAGTTTGGCTACTTAGTGGCCAAACATTTGACATAATCGTTGATAAGGGATTGCTTAACAAAACGAAAAGAAAACTGCGAAAAGGACCACGCACCAACCAAACCAAAACAAAACAAAACAAAAAAAAAAAAGAAAAACTTAGACGAAGGAAAATGTAAGATAAATAAAAGGACAAAGCACAATCTGGGCGAGTTTCTTACCTAACTGAAATCGCTATTGGCACTAGTAAAGAAAAATAAAACAAGTTTCAAGCGAAATGTGGGTCAAGCGAACACAGAGGATTTTCGGGGAGATTTATCGTTGCTCTATTTAGATACACATCTAACTACGAGTATCGCGTATACGTTGTTGCCCATCATTAATATTTTTCTCTCCCACTTTTTTGTTTGACTATTAAATACGAACACAAACTGCTGCTAGAAAAGCACTAAAACACATATTTCGTATTTTTCTATACTGTTTATAAAAAAGTAATTAATACAAATATATTTTTTTCTTAATGAAATGCCAAATAACATCACTTGTTGTGAGTATAAACCTAGAGATTTCAAATTTTAACTATTAAAAGGATATTCTATTTGCTAAACAATTTTTTTTATAAGATTTGTATATAATAAAACACTCCGATTAAAATAAAACAATTGCCCTAAAATATTTTTTATTTTCTTTTTTTGCACTATTTTACTGGCCGCAACTGTGCCTATGTAAATACCCGCATTTGTCTATCTAACAACCATCGCTCATAATTTAAATTCCCCAGTCGGCGCCTGACAAAAAAAAAAAAATAGATAGAAAAAACAGAAATAGAAACTGTCATGCATTTTAATGTCGGATCGGGACACGTGTCCTTTAATTAACCACCGAAAAACCAATCAAAATGCGTTGACTGTTTTTTGTTGATTTTTCGCCGGGGCCTTAAACATGAATTTTACATAACGCATACGCCGCGTGACCCCGCTGCGATAGCAAGGCTTCCTCGATAAGTTTTTGATAAATATTCCCATGGTCCCCCCCCCATTCGCTCTTTTGCTCCTTCGGCCTGACAAGTGGCTACCATTTTTTAATGTCACTTTTTGTGTGTGCTTGTGGCCACAAGGGGAGGGGGTTGGGGATGAGGGTGATCCGTGGAGGGGGTGGGGTGTCTTCACTGCCCAATGGAGCGTACATTTTGAAATTGAAATCGGCAGGGGCGCCGAAAGGGAAGGAGCCACATCAGCAGCAGCCGCTGCCAGTTCCTTCTTTTTTTATCTCCCCGACAGTCAGTGGATGCTTCATTGAGTTTTATGTAGAAAAATGCGCAAATATATATATATATAGCTGCTATAGCTGCTGTATACATATTTGTATGTATAGTATAGGCCAGGGGGGCGGAGGGAGTTGTGTTGTTGGTTGCCTGACCAGGCAAAAACTCATAAAACTTGCAGCGGCTCCTTTGCTTTCCTGGGGCTCCTTAAGCTGGTTAGGCGTTCGCACAAAGTGTTAAGTCTCTTACTTTGTTTTCACCTCCCCAACCTCCGACCCCCGACCCCCGACCTCTGCCCTCTATTATGTCCAACCCAACACCCCCCCTCCCCCTCCCCATCTCCATCAAGTCCTTTACGTCCCTTTGCGGATGTTTGAATGCTTTATAATTACATTTTATGTGCCATCGTTGTGTATATAAGATGCCAACAGGTGCAATCCATCGACTCTTCGAGATGAATTAAAAGCCTGCGAGGCACTGCTAAAAACATGGCATACAAATTAGATGTTTAAATGAACAAAAATTATTTAATATTAAATTATTAAATATTAATTATAAAAAGTTTGTAAATTATTTTAATAAAAATATATTTACTTGGCAAGACATAAATGACAATTTGCTGTTACTAAATTAGATAACAATGCGTCTTTTGAGTAGAAATGTCATTTGTATTCAACATAAATTATTTTGCCAATAATGTACACTCAAATATTTATTCAATTTAATTTAATTTCCTTTATTTATGTGTGCTTAATTAATTAATATTCTAAAGGATAAACATCATTATACAAGATTGTATAAATAAGAATTTATAAAAATATGTTAAGACTCTCTTTTCTAATGTAACCATCTGAAAAAAATTTAATATTCATTTTTTTCAGTGTAAAAGCCCACGTCAAGTTAAAAGCCCGTGCCTCCATCTTCGTTTATTTAGTTTACAGTCTTTATTGAATGTTTGCCTTTGGCTCCATGGTTTCAGCGATGTAATTGCTCGAGTTTAATGGCCAATCGCCGTATCCTGTCGGTAAAACCAGTTTCTGGCTTTAGGTTACTTGTCCAACCTTCACTCCCCCCTCCCCCCTCTCCCCTTCACCATGCTAAAAAATGTAAATCCGCGGAAATCGAGCGACAATATCTTGGTCCCACGGCGATGCCACTCATACTTTTGACTTACATTTGCGACATGTTTACAGTCATTCGGAGACATGAAATTCCCTGTTCGCCAAAAACTCGGTCTTTGCTTTAATAAAAAAAATAAAAAAACTCATTGATCCATTGGCGGACGTAATAAATCCATTTCCGAGGGGCATAAATGAATGCCAAGTGAATGTTGAGTGTTTGAGTTTGAGTTTCAGTTTGAGTTTGGCGAATGAATGAACAAGTGCGTCTGTGAGTGGGCGATGATGTCCGATTGATGGCCTAATGATGGCGATGCGCCTGATTTGGATCGGGATTTCTGCGTTTTCGGGGGCGATTCAACAGCTGAATAATGAATGCCGATTACTTTGCGCTCGATTTGGCCAAAGATTGTAGCTCATTAGAAAATTGTGGCAAAACAAGTGCCGTGCGTATAAATATTGAACGGTTTCGGATTGAAATCTTGGTTGAATATTTTATTGATTGCTTATTTGTTTGTTTAAAGTGTTTTTTAATCAATTACGTTTAGTACTTTTTTATAGCCTAATAATTAGCCTTTTTGTATTAAGTGCCAGACTTAATACTTGTAATTTTATTTAATTTAATATTTAATTTAAAGCATTACCGATTGATAACCTTTAGCTAAATTATAGCATCACCCAGGGATTGCAACCAAAACTGACTCGTAATTGAAATGGATCTGAAGCTAATCAGCATGATGGATTGGGGTCAAGTTGCTATCACTAATTAGGTAATTCCTGGACTCTGTCGACTGACCCGAACCCCATTATCCCCGTCAATCATTGGCCATCAATCACGGTGGCCGATAGTTAAACAACTTGTCCGTGCGAAAAGGTTCAATTACGCACAAGTCAAACTTGCCGCAAAGTTAATGAACTCTGATCTGACCCACACAAACTCACCTGCGCTGCCATTACCTTTTTTTTTTTTTGATTTTTACCACCCACCTTTGGCACCACCCTCTCTGCTGGCCACCCACTTTCGGCACCCAGCACCCTTGACTACTATTTATTGCGGATGACTTTGGGCACAAAGTTTTGTATTTAATTGCAATTGGGGCAGGGTGTTCGTGTGTTTGCGCAGCTTCAACAATATTAATTTGAATTGCAATCCAAACAAGACAGTGCAGAGTGTGAGAAAAGGAAGGAAGTACGAGTACACTGACAAAAATACTTATTTGGGACAACAAATCTATATCGATAGTGATTGATTGTCTACGAGAAGAGAGCCTTCTAAACTCAAGTTCACAAATAACTTGACTAGGATATAGCTATACCGATAAAATAGTTCTTATTCTTTTATTATTTTTAAAAAATATATTTTTATTTTGTTATTATATATTATATATTTTTTAAATTAGGTGTTCATTATTTAGGAATTAACACTTGTCAATAGATAAAAGTGAGAGGATTTTTGAAGTTATAAAAACGCTTTGCTTAAACAACTTCTTAAGTATTTTTCTCAGTGCAACTGTGTACTGTTGCAAATAGCGATGGGAATGCTGTGGTTGCCCTTTAAACGACTTTTGGTTCTTGGAATTCGGTGAAAACTAAATCGTTTCGGTGTGAAACACTTAATGATGTGCATGTGCGTGTGTGTGTGTGTGCGCTGTACAGTGTTGTTGTTTTGCAACTAAATTGTTAGACATTTTAATTAATTCCCACTGTAATGTTTACTTACCTAAATGTTTTCCTCCTTGCCTGCAGGCAACAACAGCAGCGACTACGAGCGGATACGACAGCGGCAGCTACATATACTTGTAACTAAAGTGACATGAGGCCTTAACAACAATAACAAGCAAAGCAACTACAGCAGCAACAGCAACTACAACAACAATAAGAACAAAGGATACAGCAACGGCAACAACAACAAGCATACAAACATACATACAAACAAACAAACAAAAACAAGCCACCGTGGAGCACTAAAAACCAAATTACAAACAATTAAAAGCGAGCACAGGAAAGGATCCTTCGGAGAGCTTGAGAACGGTACTGCGGCCACGCCCCCTGGAAAAACCCACAAACACAGACAGTGAGAAAGGACCCAAAAAGGAGGTGGCATACGCACACACACACACACAAACACACACAACGCACTTAGACAGGGTCACAAAAAGCCAGCTACATGCCTCAATGGCATCTCCATCGTTTATGGCCAACTAAAACTGAGCAGCGGTCCCCCCCAAGGACCCCCGAATTCCAGGGATCCTGGGATCCACCAGTCCATCATCGCCGGGACCTTTGTCTTTGTCTCGCATCACGAACAGAAACTGAAACTGAAACTGAAACAGAAAAGGCAACGGCAACGGCAACGGCAATAGCAACGCCACCGAAGGCGGCAATAAAAAGTTTGCTTTGTGTTTCGGTGTCGACACTGCCCGACTTGCCCCCATCCTCAGTTGCAGACCCTCCTCCTGCCACGCCCACGCAAAACGGTGTCGCCCTCGTTGTCGTGCTTGTCGTCATCGTCAGACGACGCCTGTGGGCACTCAATTAAGCCCAATTCAACGCAACTTGAAAGCGACAACGGCAACAAAAGCAGCTGCCAAAGTAACAAAAACAGCGGAAGGAGCGGAACAACAATAGCTGGCGAGCAGCAACAGCAGAAGCATTAAAAGTAGTAACAATAGTGGATGGAATACCAGCGACGACAGCAACGCGTGGCAGCAATTGCAACAGCAGCAACAGCAGCAACATCAATAGTTGGCACCAAAATAGCAGAAGTTGCAGCAACTGCAGCAGAGGAAACAACAGGAATACCTTCAGAAGCTTCTACACAAATCTTGAATAGAAACGGAAAGAAAGGCGAAGCAAGAGCAGGGAAAACAACAGCAGCAGTAGTAGCAACATCAATAGTAGTAGCAACATCAATAGGAGAAGAATAGACGACAGCAACATCAGAAGCCACAAGCAACAACAGCAGTTACACCAAGATCAAGAGAAGTAAAAACCAAAGAAACAGCAGCAACAACTGAAGTAGAAACAACAGCAGCAACAACTGAAGTAGGAACAACACCAGCAACAACTGAACTAAAAACAACAGCTATAGTTGCAAGAGTGCCAACAACAGCAGAGGCTACAACAACTATTAAATAAGTAGCAGCAGCAGCAGCAGCTGCAGCAGCAACAGCTGGATAAACAGCGGCAACATCTGCAGCTGCAACAGCCATTAAAGTTGCTGCCACAACAGCAATACAAGTGGCAAATACAGCAGGAGAAGCAATACAAGCTGCAACATCAGCAGCAACATCATCAGTGGTAAACTGAAGCAGCCACGCCCACAGAAACACCTCCGCCCACTCACACGTACACAGACATAGAAACAGAGGCAGACAGGAGTCGAAACAGAGAGAGATAGGAGCAGGGGCAACACCCACTGGGACAGGACCACGCCCACGTATCGCAGGCGTGGGCGGCGGGCGGACTGGTTGAGTGAATGTCAGGATGAAACTGAGCGTGAGCGCGTATCGGGCGCATGCATCCGCACACAAGAAGATCCTCTCCAGCGGCTATCACTCACAGCTCAACTACGGCAGCACTGGAGCGGCAGCGGCATCCTCCTCCTCGTCGGGGGCCACTGCAACGGGTCTATATACGGTGAGTCTCGACCCAACCCTCCTCCTCCCAGAGTACCACCCCCCTCCCCTCAGAGTACCACCCCCACCCCACAACCACACATTCACTTTCACGTCCGCTCCGATTGCGATGTCATTTCCCAAAAGGACAATCTATGTCACTCTTTTGCTGGCCGTGTTTCGGTCGTATATCGTATTCCTCATTACACTGCGAAAATGCCACTCTGATTATATCATCCTTCATATATATACATATATTTTTATACCCACTCATTTTTAAATTTGTTATTCCAATTAAATAGATTATTTACAAAATGATATATTGGTGTATTGTATCATTTGGTATTATTTTAAATCAAGAGTTTTACCTATTAGCTGTTTAAATAATTTTGTATAATATTTAAATGCATTGATTGACAATTATATATTCAAATTTCTAAAACTAGACTCATTAAGAAATTGATAACATTTTGTCAATGACAATATATATAATAAAAACATTACGAATATTTTACTCATGATTTGGGAATATTGTTTTGGACCTTTTTATACCTACTATTCTAATTAAATAGATTATTTAAACGTTATAAATTGGTATATTGCATCATTTGGTATTATTTTAAATCAAGAGTTTTACCCATTAGCTGTTTAAACAATTTTGTATAATATTTAAATGCATTAATTGACAATCATATTCAAATTTCTAAAACTAGGCTCATTAAGAAATTGATAACATTTTGTTAATGACAATATGGTTTGATCCAATAAAAGCATTACGTATATTTTACTCATGATTTGGGAATATTGTTTTGGACCTAGTGAATACTTAAAACATTATTGCACTGTAGCCCTTCTATTGTTTCTCTGTTACTATTTGTTTGGCTGGCATCCTTAGTCCTACTAGTATAAAACTTATTATTATTGCAGTAGTCTCCTCTTTTGCCCTTCAGTTTTCTTTATTTCCAGCAATCTTCTTCCCTTTATGCTCATTAATGTTGTGTGACAAACAAAGGCATAAAATTTAAACATTTTTGATTATGAGTTTTACTGTTATGTCCGGCCATGGCAGTTACATTTTAATGATATTGCTGGCGAAGGGCAGCGAAATCATGGGCATATCAAAAGGAATGAAGGCTGTAGCTATTGCTCGAAATAGTAAATTGGTAGCCAGAAGCAGCTTGCAAGTAAATATCGGAAATCCATTTGAGCAAAAATGCCATAAAATGCAGCCAGAATTTTATTTAATGACCAAGGACGGCCAAAAAAGAATAAATGATTTGCAGTTCTTAACTTTAATTTTGGGTGCAGATTTTTTCATGGTCCATATGCAGCCTTTTCGCCTCATTAGTAATTATGGAAAGAAACAAACGAGTAAAGCTAAAAAGTCATCAAATAATTTAAGTATTTTCAGCTTTCATAAACTAATCTCCCTGAAACAATGTTATTAAATCCTTTTGGACAGAAAACATTAAATCGTTTTCCTAAATAAGTTTTAATATAGTTTAAAATTGAAACCCCCTTAAACTCTTTAACCAAATTCCATCAGCATTGTCCACATAATATTGAACAACTTACTAATGGCAACTTCGTTAAACTAGTTACCTGAATTAACAAAAAAAAAAACATTAAAGTGAGAGCCCTAGTTCAGAATGAATATTCATTAAAATTTCCAAACTGGCTAAAAGTTATTAAATTAGTTTTGAAAGCGCCGCCCGGATAGTTTTGCGGCGCATCCCTTAAGTGAGCCAACAGCCATGGGTAAAATTATGTAAAATCCATTGAAGAATATCAAGGCTCAATCATAAAAAGTAGATTTGAGCACTCAGTACTATATGTATGTACAAATGTGCAGAGCATCGGAAATACATCCGATTTGTCATTGGCTAATTAAAACGGAGGCCTCTTCACTTTTTAGCCCATCATAGTTTACGGATGGGGGCTTAACAGCTCGACTCTGAAACCAACAGAAGCCCCAAAGCCCCGAACCACAATAAATTCCAATCAAGTTTTGTGGCGCACTTAATTGCCATGTCCGCGGGCGGCAGCTGCTGGTGGCGCGGATCGGAATCGGAATCAGAATCGGAACTCTATATATACAGCTGGGGTCATCAATAATAGTGCTGCCCCAAAGTCATTATTTAAAGAGCTTCTCATTGCGTTTGGCAACTGCCACATACGTGTTTAACTATTGCATAGGTTTCTTCCATTGCGAAATAGAAAGTAATTGCTTGTGACCAAAGTGAAGGAATGGTCACTAGACCTGTCTATTAAATTGATTAATAAGAACTTGTTCTTTAATATTGATTTAAATAAATCTAATAAATCTATGCCTAAAGCATAGGCAGCATTTTTAAAATATAAAAGAATTAAGTGTTTGTTAAAATTGTATTAAAAAATAGTAAATTGCAAATAATAAACCTAGTAAGCTTCATGAAATAATCACGGTAAATTGGCATCACACAATTATGCCACTATTATTTCTGCGCTATTGACATTTCAGTGCTGAAAATGACGTATGGCAAAGTTTGCTGTTTGATTTGACACAAGCGAGCAAGTACCACTATTATTTTGACCGCAGATGTAGTATATGTGGGTGATCCGGTGGGCGGGGGGTCACAAGTGAAGCTTATTCTGGCAGTGAACCGATTTGTCAACTAATTGGTGGGAACGGCGAACAAATCCCGATAGATATATGTTATGCGGTTTCCCCTATTTAGACCGGCGGCCAAATTGAAACCCTCCAATGGATTTAGCCAGTTTTGTCACGGACACACAAGTCCGGGATGAACACGGATACGGATACCCATGCGGACATGGACATGGCCAGGGATGTCATGGATGCGGAGTACACGGACACGGACACGGACACGAACACCGTCAATCTGTCCCAATGGTCAAATCGAAGCTTTCAAGTTTGCGGCACTCGAGTGCTTATATAAGTACTTTGTGCCCCGGCTCCCCAATGAAGCTTGCCCCAACTTGCTTTTGGCCATTGGCGTTAAATTAATAATGGTTTTGGCTAACAAGTGGTCTCACACCGAGGGGTTTTGATTTTATTGCGGTGGCGGCACTTCTGGTGCAATTCTAATGTCCTGATTAGTCTCGGCTAATTCCTATTGATTTTCGAGCAAGATTTTGCGCACTGACATGATTTTACTCCTTTAATTCCTATTGATTTTCAAAAAATATCACCCGCATAGATTTTAATAATTGCTGTTGTTAGGCAAGTAATCGGCTTTCGTTTAATTTAATGCTCATCAGTTTTATGATTAATTTAACTCACTGAATAATTTAATTTTTAGTTAATTTAAAAAAAAATAAATGTATAAAACTAATTAATTATATTTAATGTGATTTAAATAAATATTTTGAGTAGTCTTAAAATATTTAAAACCGCTAATGATTTATATTTTTTCTAGACGATGTTAAGCTTAGCTTTAAAACGTTTTGGTTTAGCAAAGTTGTTGTGATAAATTAATGTTCTTAAATTTTCTGCAACTATATAAGTAAGAATCTGTTTAAGAAACAATTATTTGTCTTTAAAAGCTATTGATTACATAGAGCCCTTTATAAAAGTAATCCTTTGTTCCAAGGTTATATTGTGCTGCATTTCCATTTTTTTTCCATTTTCCGTAGCCGTATAATGAAAAGCCATTCTGCGTGAAAAGGTGACTTTAAGTAAATTTCTGTTGTCAACGAATTCCGACAGGAATCAATAATGCAATGCTTCGAATTTAAAATGCCTCGACAAAAGTTCTCAGAACTCAGTGCTGTTTTTCTGCCTCCCCATTTCCCGGCAACCCCTGGCTCACCTGAATGCTCTGAGTTGGCCAAGTTTTCGTGTGACAGGCAATCAAATCAAAGTTTAATTATTATCGTCAACATCATCCGATTTAAAATTCACCGTGGGGCAAAATGGCAAGGCTCAGTGCCAGATGCAGTTTCAGATACGAATGTCGATGCCGTTGCAGATACACATGCACAGTTGTGGTCGTAATAATAGGCTTAATTCTTCAATCTTAAATCAGGGAAAATTGCTATCGTTTGGATAAATGTCTTTGCGTTTTCTACGCTTCTATAGGAGAATATAATTCTGCCACTTTCTATCATGGCATATTTCTTATTTTCTTACATTTTCGTTTATAGTTACCATCCAACTTTCTTATTATTACAAATTCATCTTTTCTTAGTTTAATTTGGCAGATAATCATTTTCATTGGTTTGAGAATGCTTCTTATTAAATGTTCTTTCATTTTAATAGAAAAGAAGATTAGTCTTAAGTTTAAGCTAATTTAAATAAAATTTATTTAAACAATTAAAATCATTTTCATTGGTTTTAGAATGCTTCTTATTAAATGTTCCTTTATTTTAATAGAAAAGAAGATTTGTCTTAAGTTTAAACTAATTTAAATAAAATTTATTTAAACAATTAAAATTACATTTTCTTGTATATACCCTTAATTTATTGAAACTTAATTAAATTCAGAAAAGAGCATGTTTAGTTGCCCGGCTCTGTACAACAGCATTGGCATTTGGCCCTGTTTCGGGTAGAATTTGCATAATTAGTAATTAAGATGCGCTCAATTGCGATTGATGAGACGCCCGGTTGGGTGTCGGGTATAAGCCCAATTAATATTTCCGACTTACCCCCCGCATACTTGCATCCCTGTGTCCTTGCAGATGGAAGCGCACGAGCACGAGGCGGGCCAATTTGTCAAGGATGTGGCCCGTCAGGTGCACGACTGCAACAGCGACACGGACGTCATCAGTCCAACGGGCACCAGTAGTTCCGGCGGCGGCGGTGGGGGCGGTCCCGGCGGCGGCGGCGGCGGATCCGGCGGTCAGGGATCCGGGCCCAGCGACGGTGGCTATCACAAGCGGCACCACAAGATGGTCCGCGACGACCACAACAACAGTGCGGCCCACTCCTCGGACAGCAAAAGTCCCAGCCAGCGGTAAGTTCGATTCGCACACCCACACACAGTCCAACAAAATGAACACCCACACCTGCACTGAGCGAAACAATGCAATATGAATCCAGGAATAGTATTTTTTAAATTAGTAACTTTTAAAACGAGTGCTGATCTAAATTTAATCATTTCTAGATTACTAGATTTTGGTAAAATGTTGACTTTTAAAAATATATGTTCTCAGAAATTATTTGACAATAGAAATATTGTTTAAAACTTTTTATTAGCAGAAACTATGATCATATGTCAACGCCTTCTAACTAATATGGAGTATATAAATATTTTTATTTTAGAAAATACAGAGATTGTTCTATAAACTTTTTGTAAGCTCATCAAATAACCTACATTGGTTTTTAAAATACAAAAAAAAAATGGTACAATACTAATAAATTCAAGGTCAATACTGTAGTACTTGGGAGTTTTAAAATACTTGGCTTTAAGTGCATTTTTTCGCTCAGTGCAAACACCCCGACACGTGTAAAATAAAAGTTGAAAGCGGAGTAAAAAATGAAAAGGAGCATAGCAAAGATGATTTATTCAAATCGTGCCAAGTTGTTACCAAATACATAAACATAATTCGGCTCTGCTTGTCCTGCAGTCCGCCCACACACACACACATAAACACACTGTCAGACACACACACACGATACACACATACTTGTGCAGTAACTACATATACATAGACACGTGCCGTAAGCGTAATTGATAAATGTGTAGCATACTTTGTTGGGCTTCGCTCGCCTTGACAGCTTTTTTGTACTCTGTATTTGATCAACCGTAAGCGACATCACATCCGTACTCGCATCCGTATCCGTAAGACAAGGACCAGAAAAACCAACAAGCTCGATTCAATTAAATAAAATTAGCAATTAGCAAGTCCCTACCCCACCCCCCCGTCCTCTCTCCACCATGCGAATCCTTGCGGTCGGAACTGGAGTCTTGCGAAATGGGAATTGAAATGAAATCTGAATGGGAATGTGAATGCGAATGCGAATGGGACATCAAAAGTTTCCAGTTTGGGTTTTGGTTAATCAAATCAGGAGACTTAAATCCGACTGGAAAAGCTCGATACAGGGACAGTGCGGTTCACAGCAGTAGGGCTAAAAGTTTGGTTAATAATTAAGACCTCCATTGGATTACATTTAATTGACTTTTATTTCATTTTCAATTGTTGTAACAATAAACATAACATTTATCATAATATTTTTAATATTTATTTTATCAATAGCTTTAATTTGTATAAATTAAATATTGATATTTAGATTTTAAATTGATATTTAAGCAATGTCATAAATCTAAAGCTTGCCTTACTGCTATTAAACGCGACGTCCAGGGAGTCAATTTCTAGTAGATGTTGAGATTGTGGTTTCATTTTTTTTCTTTTGCAGTTGAATGGAGCTGTCACTCAGGCAGACACACTCGCACACACACACACACACACACACACTCGCACAGGGGCAACTTTTGTTTGTGTTTATTGTGCCTTTGTGGTGGCAAAAAGGAAATTAGCAATGACAATTAGCCGGGATTGCCCATGTCCGTGCTGTGTGTGTGATTGTGTGTGTGAGTGTGCCGGGGTGTCACAGTGTCAGACTGTCAGGGTGTGTGTGTGTACATGATTTCATTAATTAACTCGACCCAGGCAAACAAAGGCGGCGAAAGAGGAAGGAAGAACCGCCTCCCGGGGGACAGGATTTGACAACTCTTTGGCCTAATGCGCCCTTGCCGGGCTAATCTTCGGGCACACGAATCCACTCAGCTCCACTTCAGAATGAAACCATGAAACCATGAAACCATGAACAACCACAACCACACTGAGCCACGGCTGCCACTTCCAGAATGCTAATGTGCCAGGGCAAACAATTTAATCAAGAGCAAAACAAAAAAAGACATTGCCCCGAAAGAAGATCCAAAGTAATCAAAACATGCATCTATTTTTGCCTAGCTTCGAAATTTATACTTTGTCTTCTTACATAATGTCTTTTGCATAATAATTAAAAAGATTACAAATAGTTAAGCCTTTATTTTGTTTTAAACTCTTGCAAAATAATTTACTACATTTTTATATTCATTTTTAGATATTAGATATTTAGAAATTTTATAAATTAGGGATTTTACAAATATTTACATATTTTATAAATTTTTAAATTATATAAAAGATTTCAAATATAATATTTAAAGCTTATGAAAATCAAGTTTAATTTATAATGAGTCAATTAATTGAATACAAAGTCTAATGTATCCTTTACCTATTTGAGCTTTACTTTATTTTGAGGTTGTTGCAATTTTGTTTGCTATAAAAAATGAAAGCACAGATTTGCATTAAAACATATTGCGAATCCAAGTATAAATAACTTATCATTTAAGTGGCAGCCGGTGGTCTGAACCTCTCGCATATCGCATGTTATAATCAGAGTATCCACTTCTCGCATCGCTCGATCGGATCTTGACCATGTCATGTATATAGATCCGGCAGCTCGTCGCTGGCCAGTGCGCAGCTGCACCCATGTGGCTGCTCCACCACTAGTTTAAGGTACACAGAGAGGGATAGACTTATACTGACGCCGGCACAACCGCATTCGCACCAGGCTCGGCAGCGGCGGCAGGTGCGCCTCCATGTGAACAGTCCGTCCTCCGACCAGAGCGCCAGCACGCCGGCGGGTGAAAGGCCACTGACTGCCCTGAAGACCCTCTCCTCGTTCATCAGCGAGCATCCCGAGGAGCTGGCCGCGGTGGAGCAGGACCAGGATCAGGATCAGGATCGGGATCAGGGTCATGGCCAGGTGCGGAGTGGCACCGCCAATGGCCAGCAGCAGACAACGAAGTGGAAGAGCCTGCGGGCCGTGATGGCCTACTACTGCTCGCTGCGGCGCATCAAGAGGAACGTTGCCACCCATACCCACCCACAAGTCCCGTTTTCAGTGTTTCCGTATTGCGTTCTCGCGTTTTGCTAGCGTTAATCAACTAATCACTGCACAGAGAAAAAATATCACCGAAATTGGCCATCCATTTGGTTGCATTTTGTAGCGCCATTCAAGGGATTAACTATATCCCTCTAGAGGGACTTTTCCATTCAAATATTCAACACTGGCATAGTTTTACATTCTAGTTATGCTAAATGTTTAAATAGTTTAATGTTAGCTCGAATATCAAATTCATATTTTTAGCCGTCTTATACATTTTTTGACTTATTATTTTAGAAATCTTTTACGTAAGATTTATGAACAATAGTTTTGGTACCTTAAATTATTATAAAAAATATTTTAAACAGTCAACTCCTACCACATTTCAGTTTTAGGAACCTAAGCTGATCTTTAGGCAATTAGTTTCGAAACTAGTTATAGTTGAAGAACAATGGAAAATATTCCAAAAATGTGTTCAGGCATCCAAACTATTATTTTTAAATCTCTATGTTAACATAGCCCAACTCTGATATTGTCGTAATGCAAATTATATGAAGGAAATGGATTTGGCCAAGTGTAATGTTTTTTCTCTGTGCACCCATATATATATGTGTGTAAACTCTCTTTGCGTGCGTGTGCGTGTGTGCGAGAGAGAATCCTGGCTCATGCTATCCTCACAACCACCACCACCACCACCGAAAAGTGATGTCCTTGATCTGCCCCTCGATAATCGATATGTACTAACCCATTCACTAACGCTCATCGATCGCTCGCCCTCTCTCTCTCTCTCTTTCTCATGCTCTCTCTCTCTCGCTCTAACAACGTACTAATCCGAAAACGTAGTGTATGAACCTATGTGTAATCTAATATATAACCCATATATCATTGATGTGTAAGCGAATGCCAGTCCTCTCTCAACTCAACTCTCTCAACTTAAACTCAACTCAAAAATCGCCTGCTCGCCCGTTCGCTAACTCTATCCCGCTCCCACACTCTGCTCCAGATCTGTGTCTATCGATGCCCCCCCACCCCCCACCAAAAAAAAAAAAAACTCCTCCCACTTATTTTCTCTACAGTTACGCCTCGTTGAGTTTTCTTGAAAAACTTTTCCAAGACTTTCGCCCCAACCCCCCCTCCCTCTTCCACGACTTTACTCATTTAACAAGTGTTGGAAAGCGTTTGCATTTATTAGCCATATGCATAAGATATGTATGCGTGTTCGTCGGGGGGGAGGTAACACTGTACTGTACCCCCGAAATGGGGGAAGAGGTGTCTTGGCTGGGTATACATTTACCACTTTCTGTTCTAGTTTCGGTTCATTTTTGGCAAAGGGCAACTTAAAAAGTTTGCCCCAGCTAAACAAGTTGATGCCAACAAACATACGCACACACGTACACTAACTCACACACACACACACACACACACATGCTTAAAAGTAAGGGTGTAAGAGGAACTTTTGGTTGAAAAATCTCAGCAAACAGCCAAAGTTAAAGTGGCTTTTGTGAGTGTGCGTTTAAATCGATATGTTTAAGCTGCTGACTGCAATGTAAGCGAACTTTTGACACAAATACACTAGTACACACTCACACACACACACACACATACACACATACAGAAAGAAAAGCGCTGACACAGTGACGTACACAGAGGTTCATAACCCTCCTCAAGAAGCATACGCAAATTAAGTTATATGGAAACAATAAGAACATTTGCATATGATTCATCGAAATTATAGAATATCAAAGAAAAAGCTAATATCAATTAATGTTTAAAATATATATTTGAAATCCAAATAAATACGAATAATGAAGACATTTTTATAATTTTAACAAGTCCAGTTATTAATACGATATTTAGAAATCGATATTATTTGCCATAATAATAAAATATATTTATATCACACAACATTTACTTTCTAGCACCATCGATATTTCATAATTTCTGCCATCCCTAATATGGAATGTAGGGGATAATTGTAAAATACCTCCGATTGAAGGGATCCCAGCGTACGCCACTGGCATAGACATACCACATTGCGCCTATGCATATGCCAATGCCACAATGCTGGCCAAACCACCCACCACCCCACCGCCCAACGCCCACCGCCCAGCTTCTCGTTGGCATTGTGCATGCAAAATGGGAAATTGCCTTCTGACTGACAACTTACAAAGAATTTGAATTTAGAAAATTGCAAATTTATGTAGAAGCCAAGTGAACACAATACACTCAATGGTAACCTAGAATTTATGCACCCTCTTGGACCGATTGGATGTCACCATCTAATTTTTTATTTTTGGCCAGCGAAAAGGGCTGCAGTAAGGCCTCCTATATATATATATATATATATATTGCACGTCCCTAGTGCCACCTCTACCCTAGTCCTTGCGGTGAGGTAATTCCCTTACAAGCAACTCTGATTCGCAATCAAATTCATTTGTTCGATCCGGCAATTGTGTTTTGATTTGCAAGCACTTGAAATGCGACTCACATCCGGTGTCGTCCGGTATTTTCGGCTTTATTGCATTGTCAGCAGCTCAAGTTGCTCATTAACTAGGATGACCCAAATAATTGGGGTATTAGTTACGGCTAATAAGCCACATACACGCTCGTAGGGTGTCGCAAAAAACCGCAGTCGGGGAGTTTACGAGCAGGAGTCTGGTTTAAGTGTCACCAAAAATGTCTTAGGGTGGCCTTAAAATTTTTGTCGAGCACTTCTATGTGGCAATCGTATTTAACCAACAGAAAACCTTTTTTTTCATAAAACTTACGATACAAATTATTGTATTTATATTTAGATAAACTTACATTTTTAATCATAGTTGTTTAAAATTACTGGTAATGAAAAAGACAATGAAATTTCTTAAATAAAGGAACATTTTTTGTCGCCACAATTACTTAAAGCGCATCCGTAGATTTTCGTGACATCCTGACACGTTTCAAAATCAGCCTAGCAGAAAGTGTAGCATACTTTGCCGGGTGTGAAATGTCCCCAGGCGGTTATAAATTTATCCCCATTGTGGTGGTGGTGGCGATGGTAAAGTGGGGCTGGAGAACGTTGTCCAAATGACTCGGCGGAATTTTTCAATTGTTATTTCATCTGCCATGTGCGGCCAGTCAGTCAAGTGGCGAACCGAGCGATGGTTTAGCATTCTGGCCGGTCATTCACGGCCTGCGGGCCTGATGGCCACAAAAACCGAAAAACGAATACCAAAAACAGGGGACCGAGATCCGAGAATCAGGCAGAGGCGTTAATTGAAATCCGGCTTAGGAACCGAATCGACGGTTAACCCGGGGCGCCCCAAATCGGACATCATGCAGCCATTAAACAATAACACTTTTAGCCGACCACACATGTGCCAACAAACACACACACACACTAGTTCGCTGGACAAACAGGAGAGTCCTTTAACATTTCGCCTGATGATTTGTGGTGCAATAAAGAATGCCATTTAATACTGGGCCCAGCTCTTTAACCTTTTCGAACCCGATTCGAATCGAATCGAATCGCATCGACAAACAAGAAACAAGAAACGAAAAACGGGGAATTGGCAAGCGCCAAAACTAACAAGCTCATTCTCAATTTATATTAAATCGAAAGTCCACAAATGGTTCAGCTGACCCCAAAACAACAATGGGGTCATCCACATATACGCACACGTACGCGCATTTATAAACAAACATATATTCAGTGGCGTGTGCAGGGGGTTTTAATACTAATTTTTATTTTGGTTTTAAGTCAAAATACACTGGGGATTGGATTTAGCTAGATATTTGTGTATTTAATTATAATTTTAAATCCAGGTTTTAGGGTGTATTTCAGGGTGATATTTCATTAAAATGAATATGGTCGAAGAGACCATTCAAAATAAATTAAAATTTTATAATGCTTTATTTACAATATTAAAAGAACAACTTTCACAGACATAAAAGAAATTATATTCAAAGTATATATATTCAAAATAAAATAAATTAAACCTACTCATACCAAAATTTATTGAAACCCCCCACATGATAAAGTCCAGCTTGTGACACTGAATATATATGTAGAATATATAGACTGTATAGCGGGGTAATCTTATCGTGCAGCAAGCCTTTTTCCGCTTGACTTGGGAACAGGATGGGCATTGATGGGTTAAAGGGGGCCCAAATCACCCGGTTGTGTATGTGTGTGTGTCCCTTTCTAGCTGTGCGTGTGTGCGTTCCCCTCACTTTAGCCCTCTTCGCCCCTCTCTCTATCTCTCTCTAAATATATATTTCCCCCTCTTTCTCTTGGTCACTTTGCCAATCTATTTCTATCGAAGTCTCTTACTATTTTGCCTCCTTGAAAACAAATTACAAAACAAATTAAATCAACCAAAATGAATACAAAACAAAAATATGTTAAACAACAAAATAAATAAAAAAAAGTAAAAAAAAACAGCCACAAAAAATGAAATACTTTCGAAACTCGTTTAGGAAATCGCGTATCGGAGATGGAGCTTCAGATCCAGATTCCGATTGGTAAGTTTATTCTCTTGTGTTCCTTATGATTTCTCGGTTTTGTCTCTGCACACACACACACACACTTACACATACACGAAACAGACACAAAATCAGATAATATTTACACACACACGCATAGCTTTGTTCTGCTTTTGATTTGATTATGATTGTGATTATGATGATGATGATATGATGATGGTCTGTTGCTGTTAATGATGATGCATAATGACGATGATCGGCATGTGCGCGCTTTGCATTTGAATAGGCCGCAAAACAGCAGAATTATATATATAAACCATATATACATACTTAAATATATATATAGTACATATATAGAGTAGGGTTTTACGTTGCGAAGAGCCGAGGTCCAAAACCGCAGCTCCACCACACTCCAGTCACACCCTGTAAAAAGCCACAAAGTAGGGGGGCTTCACCCTATAAACACCCAACCACACACCCTACACCCAACACCCAACACCAACAGCCACACCCACACCCACACTGACGGCAACCACACCTATAGCTATCATTGTTTTCCTTTGATTTGTCTTTCGTTTAGCTAACTGCATTGCTACCAAATCGCTTTCGTTTTTCGTACCTCATCGTGTACCACACGACGTATGCGTAATAATTTAGCCACCGCTGTAAATAGACCAATGAAAACTAGATAAATCAAAATAAACAAAACAAAAAAAAAAAAAAAACAATTAAAACAAAAAGAAAATGCAAAACCGAAATTAAAACAAAGCAAACCCTAAAACGTAAAATAAAACAAAACATTTATTCCGTAGCCTGGCATTTGATATGCTGAATGCGAATAATAATTGTGCATAAATTAAGACCAACCAAAAAATCAAAATCAATTAACGCATCAGCAACACCCCCAAATCGAACTGTACATAAGCAATGTATATATATATATATATAAAAATAGACATCATGCAAATAAACACCTAGTACTAGATGCTATAGCAGAACAGACGATTGAATGGCGACCCTGAGCGGCTTGAGCAAAAGTTTAAAGTGGTAAAACCTGATTCCCCTCCCCGGATTCCACGTCCCAAAACTCCCCATCCTCGTAGTCGTACGATAGTCCTAGATCGAGTTCGTATATACTCGTAGTGCGTAGCTATACTCTGGGCAAACGTGGGAGTGCTAAAAAAATAATAGCAATTGCAAATTATATGTATGTACGTCCGCTTTTGTATTTTTAAAGTACATAAATAACAATCCTTATTGATTGATGACGGTTTAGTTTACCGAATTCAGCTCTTTAAGCTTTATAAATGATTTCAAGACATTAAATGTGATTAATGTGTGCTTTCGGGGAAATGCAAACACACAAATGCCTCCGGCTGATTTCAGATCACTAAGAGTGTGCAATGATATATATTATTTCGATTGTCCGTTTAAATTTGTGGCACACCTTTATACACCTGACATCCAACTGAGATCATTTTTCAAAACAATTCAATGGATATATGTACCCATTTGTTATACTGGATTGAATGTTTTAAAATAATTGGAGATTTATTTAAAGATATTAAACGGCTTATTAGGCCACCATGAAATATTTATTGAAATGAAGAGTAGAATAATATTTACTGAGGAAGTGCCTAAGATGGTTTCTTAACCGATTAAAGAAATTATAAATTCCAGTACGTTTGCGAGAGTACCTTATGCTTTGGATTGCAGAAGAAAGTCTAACTTTTCGTTTGTTTTAATTTCTTTTTAATTGTGAGCAAAGTTTTCAGTTTCAACGAAACGAGAAAAGCTCACCTGGCAGACAATTTAACACTTTTCGCCTGAGGCCAAGAGCTATTTATATCGATGGCGGAAAATTCTTGGCCACTCGAACGCCGCTTCCACTCTTCCCCCCACTCTCTCACTCAATCTCTCTATCTCTCTCTGTCTTTCGCTCTGTCTGTCTCTGTCTCGCTGCGCTGCTCTTCTGCTGCTGCTCAAATTGTTTTCCAATTGCAATTTTCCTCATTTTCCTTGTCGATTGCATAACGCCTATGATTGTTATTTCGTTTGATTACATTTGATTCAATTCGATACGATACGATTTGAGTTGACTTCGTTTGCGACCCGAACACATCTTGCGTTTGTAGCCAGTAATAAATGGAGATATCCATGACTATAACTATATCTATAAAACCATATATTCAGCATGCACAAAGACCTCATCTATTCTCTCTCTCTCTCTTTTTTTCTTTCCCCTCGTATTTCGTTGTGCGTTTACGTTTCCGTTTCCGTTTCACCTTAATGTTAGCGTTACAGTTACCGTTACCGTTACCGTTGCGTGCGTTTGCGTTACGGTCTTTTGGGTTCTCCTTTGAATGTTTGTCTTGCCACCAAGTATGCGTAACTATAGCCGTAATCCGTAATATGTAACCCGTAACCTATAACCCGTAACCAGTAGCCCGTAGCCATACTTCTCCGTCATAACCAACTAGCGTAAGTGTTTGATGTTTCGTGTTACGTAAGTGATTACGTTTTAAAAAAAAGCACCACCCAAGTAACGTGAGCGCACGCTTAGTTGTACTGATCTTTTCAGTTGCGCCCCAACACCCCTTAAATCCCCTTTAAATAGCCATAGTTAGCTACCGTAGTTCGTTGTGTGAGACAATCCCCTGCGATATCCCTGCCCAGGATAGCCCCAACTTATTGATTTTGTATCTCCCACGTGCGTAAAACAGGACACGATCGAACCAGCGCTGGATGAAGCTGCGCACCACCGTGCAGATCTCGTCGGCGATACAGAAGAAACCACCGCTCAAGCGCGAAGACTCCTTCCTGAAGCGTTTCTCGACTAGACAGATACCCGAAACACAGGTAAGTGGTTTATTACTAGTTTTATTTAAATACATTTGTTTTTTGTATATTTGTAAAATATTTGGGATTTGAAAACAACTTCTTTGAAGATTTTAAAAACGGAAATCCGAAAAATATCTTTAATAATCTTATTTTAAAAATTCTTTTGAATATTTAAAAACCATTTTGTCTATTCTTTAAGCAGAAATAATATTTTTAGTCCTCGGAAAGGCTTTGAAAAACTAAAAATTTTAAATATAAGATTATTTAATGCCATTTTGGATTGATTTTGTTATAGGAAACTGTTGAAGATACGGGTTCAGAAAGTGCCTCTGGTGACGTCGACAAGAGTGTTAAACGACGACGACGCTATCTGCAGAAACGACGATCCGTTGTTAATCCAGATGAAAATTTTTACTTCTATTGGTTAATGATGTTAACTGTATGTGTTCTATATAATCTATGGACCCTAATTGTGAGGCAGAGCTTTCCTGAACTGCAGGTGAGTTTTCCGCTGCGTTTCTTTATCAGCAGTCCATTTTTGCACCTTCCTTTTTTTCCGTTTTACCATTCACCGTTCACCATTTACCACTTGCCCATTTGCCCTTCAAAGGCGGCGGTGGGTCCTTTGTTCGTCCTTTGTGTAGGGCAACACCCTTTTGTCATTACGCTCAAAGAGTTGCTTGTAATGAAAGTTGGGTCCCCTGCCCATCGTAATGGCCACCTTTTACCTGGGCACATTGACTGGCATAGCTGGAATAGCTCCGTTTGTCGTGGGACTGAATAAAGGGAAATGGGGATAGAGCATCCATGGGTCACCTGGCGGATGTCCCGAAAATTATCCGTTTTTTATCTGTTTGCTCCCGTTCTTTGCCTTGTAATGACTCAATTATAAGACACGCAGCCAGGCCTGGGCAAATGTTTGTTTATGGCCCAGTTAGCTGGTGTTTGTCATCAGATTAGAGCTGGCTACGGTTGGGCAAACAAAAGTCGACTGTGTTGACCTTTAACCCGGCCACAAAAGACTGTAGTTGAGGCCGTCATTCCCGTCCTGTTTTAAGCCCGCACATTTGCAATTGTCAACTGCATTCCCCATTTAATTGCCCTTGACCTGGCCATAAAAATAGGTTGCCTTTGCAAAGGCCTTTTTACTTTACGTGACTTTTGGTTTTACACCGAGATTAAATGCAGCTTAACAGCAATAAAAAATCTTAAAGGGTTTAACTCCAACCGCATTCATTTGGCTCAGAAATCACTTAAAAAGTGTCTGGAAGTATGCATACAAAACTAAAAAGTTATCTTTTGATGAACAGTCTAGCGGACTCTTAATATAATATTATATATTTTTGGGTACCTTATTAAGTACCTATTAAGGATTTTAAAAACCCTAACGATTTCTGATATATATATTTAATTTTCGTTAGTTTATTAACAAATTGTTATATTAGTTTTTATATTTTCAATAAAATATTAAATTGGTAAAGCCACCAATCTGTTCTAATATAAATGAAAATGTGTTAATTTTTTTCTCATCACGTTATATGTATGCTTTTTTCTTTCGGTGTAACTTGTGTACTATTTTCGGACAGCAATCTGTGCCCACGTTTTGGCTCATCTGCGATTCGATGACAGATGTTGTATTTATCTTAGATATAATAGTTCAATTACGCACAGGCTATCTGGAGCAGGGCCTAATGGTGAGTGCTGAATATCGGATTACTTGGTCTATATATACAGTATATTCAATTTGAATCCCTTAGGTATACGATGACAGGAAGCTGGCCTGCCACTACGTTCACTCGCGCGACTTTATCTTCGATATGATAGCGCTGATACCATTGGATCTGCTGCAGCTCAAGATGGGCACACATCCGCTCTTGCGTTTTACGCGCTTTTTTAAAGTCAGTCATTTGCTGGAGCTTACCAATATGGGTATTAATTTGCCGGCCTTTCATTGCAGGTTTATCGATCTGTGAGATTTTATTACATCGTAGAGAGTAGAACGGTTTGGCCAAATTTATGGCGCGTTGTTAACCTAATTCATATCCTGTTAATACTGGCACACTGGTTCGGTTGTTTCTATTTTTTACTCTCCGAGGCGGAGGGTTTTCAGGTGGGTCAACCGTAAAAGCTTTTTAATTCTTTTAATAAATAAATAAATTTTTTAATTTAAAAAACATTAAATTATACGTTTTATATGTAATATAACATCTTACAAGTATTTGTTTAATATCAAAATAAGAAATATCTTTTTTTTTTGAACAAATTTTATGGATATTTATTTGAGAATTAAAAAAAAATTATTGCAGAAAAATACTCATGACTAAGAATATTCTTATCTTATTATACTTTTGCTTGCATTTATATTGACTTAAACTGATACAAAAAGTAATGTCGCGAAGAAATTGAAAAAATATAATTATATTTTAGATTGTTTATTTGTTGTATTTTAAAACATATTTAAAAATAAAAGAATCTACATAATTAGTGAGATAATTCTCTATTTACCCCCTTTAACGTATAGGGCGATTGGGTGTATCCTTATCGACCCGGGGACTATGCCACCCTGACGAGAAAGTACCTGGGCAGCCTGTACTGGTCGACCTTGACACTGACGACCATTGGGGACCTGCCCACGCCCGAGACGAATGCAGAGTGAGTAAGAATTAATATATGTGAATGTGGTATATGGGGGGGAGCTATAGAAATCCCAAGAGTTTTAAAATCATTTGTAAAAGTGCCTAAAAGTATGCAACAATATGTTTAGAATCTATGTGGTCCAAAGGGATAAATTGATGTTACTGCTTACTTTTAGACACCTTCAGAAGTGATTTTGAAACCCTAATGGTTTCGGCTGCACTCCCCCTATATATGCATTTCTTAAAATCTGGGGTCTTCTTGTCTTTAATTACCATGTTTACCAATCAGACCGAACTTTTCGGTGGACGGCCCACGATCAATACCGAGGCGAGGCATTAAGTCGCGCCTGCTTCAATTCGGCTCCAGCTATGGGTACGATCATTACATATATCCCACGATTACTATGCAAGGTCAATCAAATCCAGCGAATATCATGCAATTTGTTTGGGGGCTGTCCACCGATTCGTCTGCCTTGGTGTTCTAGTTTTTTAATTATTTATCTATCTGTTGCATTCGGCCAACCATGAAAAACGTTTGGCATCAAAGTTTTCGAAAGCGTGCGACAGCCTTGAACAGTTCCATTGATATTTGTGTATTTACCAAAAGAAAATTGCAAAGGATCCAAATTAAATTTGTAACTCACCTTCTGCTTTCGAAAACTTTGATTGAGCTTGCAAAAACTGTTTTGGAGAGGGAAAAAGAGTGGAAAAATAATAATGACATTTTCTGAAATAATAAAGCAATATGTTTTTTTTTAATTTATTCGGTAAATACCTTTTTTTTTTTTGTAAACCTTTTTCATTATATTCAAATTAAATAAGTGCATACTAAATAAAGAATTTAAAGTCAGACTATTAGACTAGATATCTTTCTAAGGTCAGTTTTCTCGTCTTTAAGGTTAAGTAAAAATAGGTCTTAAACTTAGAAAACGTATGGAATTTGGTAGCTGAAAGCCTACTTTTGGCTTACCAACAGCACGAGAAAACGGGTCTAAAAGTAATTTAACGAAAACGGTCTCTAATTGAAACTGACATCATTGAACCACCCTCTTTCGCTCCGGCACTTTTGGTCGATTTGGTGCCCTGCTAATTGAATGCCACTCCCTGCACACATTTCTCCTTCGCCAGATATATTTTTACGATCGTCAGCTATTTGATTGGCGTTTTTATCTTCGCCACCATTGTGGGCCAAGTGGGCAATGTGATAACGAACCGAAACGCGAATCGCCTGGAGTTCGAGCGCCTGCTGGACGGGGCGAAGACGTACATGCGGCACCACAAGGTGAGTGCTGGTGTTTCACTGTACTCGATACAGAGTATATCCTGGCATATATCCATATCCATAACCAGGTGCCCGGAGGGATGAAGCGTCGCGTGCTGCGGTGGTACGACTACAGCTGGTCCCGCGGAAGGATTCAGGGTGGCGGTGACATCAATACCGCACTGGGCCTGCTGCCCGATAAGCTGAAAACCGAATTGGCCTTACACGTCAACCTCAGTGTGCTGAAGAAGGTGACCATATTCCAAGAGTGCCAGCCCGAGTTCCTCCACGACCTCGTGCTCAAGATGAAGGCCTACATCTTCACGCCAGGCGACTCCATTTGCCGGAAGGGCGAGGTGGCCCGCGAGATGTTCATCATCGCCGATGGCATCCTGGAGGTCCTTAGCGAGACGGGCAAGGTCCTCACCACCATGAAGGCCGGCGATTTTTTTGGCGAAATTGGGATCCTCAATCTGGATGGGCTGAACAAGTGGGTGTAGTCATGCAAAAATGAAAATCTCACATTAATTATGTGGCTATAGTTTTACTTCCTAATTTTTTGTTTATATCATTTTTTGTTCGTAGCTTCACTACTCTCACAAAAAAATGGTATTGTTTTTATAGCAAAAAAGTAATTTATTTCTCAACTAGTCTTAATATTTAAGCTGCAATATTTAATCTTCATTTAATATGATATTTATGACACAAAAACACAACTTTTGATTTTCAATTAATGACTTGTTAGGGTGTTAATAAGTATGCAATAACTTATTTTATTGTTGCAATCTGATGATATCTAATTTCATCTTTAATAAAGCTTTTATTTAATTTAATTGCAAGTCAAGTATTGACGGCAAGATTTATATTAAATTCTAAATGTGTGTTGCGTACTATAATGTTTGATAGTGATTTCATTGGGTCATTGATTTTATTAAATTTAATTTAAATTTGTCTTATTTGCAACCCTTGATAAGGTAGCTTGAAATAATTATTATAATATATTGGCACCTGGTTTAAGTAGTAATCTAAATGTGTTCTTCTTGAAACCAGACGCACGGCGGATGTGCGGTCCGTGGGCTATTCGGAGCTGTTCTCCCTCTCCCGCGAGGACGTCCTGGCCGCCATGAAGGACTACCCGGACGCCCAGGAGATCCTGCAGACCCTGGGTCGCAAGCGCCTGATGGAGGTGCGCTGCGTGAACAAGAAGTACGCGAAGGCGCAGAGCGATAAGGAGGCGGCGGCCTATGCGGCGGCCCATCCGGGTCACCACCATCCGGGCCACCAGGGCCACCAGGGTCACCACCAGGGCCAGGTGCACCAGAGCGACAGCAGCGAGAACAGTGCCTCCAAGAAGATCGTGGACAAGCTGAAGCACGACGTCAAGGGCTTTCGGAATGTGCTTAAGAAGTCCAGGTGAAATGAATGGGATAGCTTTCAAATTTAGATCATATATCGAAACAACCTTTACCAGTTTTTGATTTTTTTTTTTTTTTATTGTGAAATAATAACGAAATGGTAACAAAGATAGGTGCAGTTTTTGATTGCTTTTAAATCTTTTAGTGCCTCTGGAGTTTACTTAAATAAAAATAGACTATAGTTGTTTCAAAAAAATAAGCTACATATATTTAATTTAATACTCATACTCATACTCAGGAAAATATAAATGGGTTTAAGTTACTTTCGAAGAGTACTTTTTCATAAATTCAAAGTCAATTTGAAGGTTACACTCAAAAAGCCCTGCACACTGTAGTTTTTTACTTCAATTGGCCGGGGACAAAACTTTAATCTTAAATTCCTTGTGCTTTCCGGCAGGACCTCGCGGAAAAGCGACGAATCCCTGGAGATGCAGCCGCTGCACAACACCTCGCCCCGCGGCAGCAAGATCCTGCTGAAGCGCATGTCGCGGGTGAGATCGGACGAGAAGGACGCGGACAGTGCGGAGGCCAAGGACGAGTTGCACGACAAGACGCCCAGCCCCATTGGGGCGGGGCTGCCGCTGCTGCAGCGCCTCCGGCTGCTCAAGGAGAAGCAGGTGAGTGGGCCACGTCGGCGGGGAAGCCATCGCATCACCCACCCGCGGCAGTCACAGTCACAATCACAGTCACAATCACAGTCACGGCCACAGTTACCGCCGCCACCGAGTCACACCGTTTTCCTTTTCGTTTTCTTTTGTTTTCCTTCAACCCACGACCCACTCACCACTCACCACTCACCTTTGCTCGACTTTCGTTTCCACGGTCTCAGTCACACCTACGCCCACATTCCACCCACAAGGCTTTAAATGGTTTTTCACCACAGGCAAACAAACAGAGCATTGAATGCACAGCTTGACAAATGGAAAAACAAACCCACACGCCCACACACACACACAAATAAACAAACAAACAAACTGACAAACAGACAGACAAACATTCTGTTTAATGGAAAACAGCCTGAAGCCTGCTGTATCCAAGATGCTGATTAAAGCCACAATCACACTCCCACCCACACTTGCATTTGTGTATATTGTTTCGACTCCATTGTATTGCAGTTTGTACAAGTTGTTAGTGCACCTTCAGATCCACCTAAGATAAATGTGCTAGTTTCAAAGATCTCCATCATTGCAATCAAGCACGTTTTTCAATTAAAGCTTTTGCTGGCAGTAAAAACAAAAAAAAAACAAAGCAGGAAAATGTGTTTTCAATTAATAGAAATTGCCACTTAATATTGTATTTCTATTTATGCTTTAAATATGAGACCTTAATCTATTTCAAATTAAGTACTTATCACTATCAAATTCGCGACAGAATTTATCAAAAGTCCGTCAAGGCTTGAATTAAAGTTACCTTTTGTTTTCCAAATTTTAAAATCATGTCTTAGCTGAAAGAACCAATTTGAAACACGCTTTCAAAAATTAAAATTGTAAAGAAATATTTATTATACTTACTAATCTCTTAAATATTTGTAGGGAAAGATATGTCATATAAATTTGAGCTTATCTAGATGCTTTCAATAGTTACCTGCTTCCGCTTAGTAAACAAATTGTCTTCCGTTTTAATTTACAAACGACACATATATATTTATATATACGAAAACAGCAAGAGGAACAAATACAGATTCAGAGTACAGAGTACAGAGGACACTATCGCTGACATTGCCCACTTATATCATGATTTATTTTGCATTTATCGTTTTACTTTGGTTTAGCTTCCGAAATGATTAACGCCCGATCCAGAAATTCGTGTTGTATGTAATTATCCCCAGCTCCTAAACAGTAGTTTTGTATGTGTCTTTATGTGTCTTGCACTAGGATCGCGAAGAGCGAGCTGTTAAGTCCACACCACCACAGAAATCTCCACCTCACTCACATGTAACGTGTACGTTATCGCCGCAGGAATCGATCCAGGAGGAGCCCGAACGCGAGTTCAGCGAAGGCTTTCCCCTGATTCAGCGACTGCAGCAGTTGAAAATTAAGAACGAGCCGCAGGCAAGCGCCGCCGAACCCGGCGTCGTCATGGTAAAGCAAAAACAAAAAACTATAAAAAGAATTAACCAGAATTATATGTAGATACCGATACCCATAACTCTAGTGCATTAGAACAAGCTGACCTTTAACCTTTGGGGGAAAGCCCACTTTAAACTAGCCCAAAGTATAGTTCACAAGTTTAGCTTGAAAAATGAAACACTTCTGTTAGCTTAAAAAACCCAAAAAAGGCTATTTTATGTTTTAATACTGTTTCACAGAAATCACTTATGTTTTCAAATCTTTTATACTTGTGTCTAAAAGTATGCAACAATATATTTGAAGTCCAGAAGTCCGATAGATTCATTAAAAACTACAACTTTATTTTTTCACTGCATACTTTTGGACACTTTCATAAGTGATTTCAAACCTCTAGTGATTTCTGTAACACCCAACTTAGGTGTAGGTCCCACAACCTCCTTAATATCCCTGATATAGTGTTAGAAGACATTCTTCCCGGCTGATTTCTCATTCTCCAGTTAACATAAGTGTGGCGGTTAGACTAAGGACTACAGAGTACATATGTGTTTAACCGGCAAAGTGATGAAACATTTTGTTTAACAGGAGTATGGGAAAAAGACTCATTGGCCCTTGATCTTCCATTAATACAGCCAATCCTCTTCTTTTTTCCAAACTTGCACTTAACCCGATGATCCGATCACCCAGGTCAACACGCCGCCCAACATCAGCAGCAAGATAGACTCCATTTCGATTCCAGGGACAAACGGCGGTGGTGGTGGCATCTCGGCACCAGGACAATCGCTGACGGTGGCCCAGATCAAGCCCATCATGAAGGTGTCCTTCAAGCAGAAGATCCAGCAGTTGCAAGGAGGCGGCGGCGGCGGAGGAGTTGCCATCGGAATGGGCATGGGCATGGGCAGTTCACCGGGTCCGAGTACCGGAGCCATAGCCAAAAAGGAGCCACCCAAGTCACTGGCCCTGGTGGCCAAACACGGTGCGGCCCCATCCGAGGATGCGGTGGCCACTGCGGCACTGGGATTGGGACTGGGATTGGGTGTGGGAGCCGGCTCTGGGATAGCCACCATATCGAAGCGGGTGGTCAGGCCCGGCCACCGGTTGGCTACGCCCCTGCAGTCCGACACGGACACCGACGGCACGCCCATCAAGCCCTGGTCCAAGCTGAAGCTGGCCACCCTGATGTCCTCCAGCTACACGAGCCTGACCAACTGCTCGCCGGACGACCTGGGTTCGCCGCTGAAGAACTACTCGCTGAGCAACATACCGCAGCAGATGGAGACGCATGCGCGACCACGTCACCACAGTGCCAGGAGCAGCTCCAGATCGTCGCGGCAGGGACATGCACATGGACAGGGCCATCACCATGGTCATGGGAATGGTCAGGGTCAGGGTCATGGGCCGAGCTCCACGAGCACCACCTGCTCGTCGGCCAGCCAGGCGGGCAACCAGGTGGCCACCGCCAGCAGCAAGAGGGACTGCCTGCGCCTCCAGAAACCGGAGCAGCATCTGCCCGACGGCGAACTGACCGAACTGGGCGGCAATGGACGAAGGAAGCTCTACCAGAGCGTGTTCGATCTGTCGCCGGAATACTGCGGCCTGCCGTTCGTCAAGCGGCTGAAGATCCTCAACGAGCGCCAGAAGCTGGCCGAACTGGAGCGGGCCCTCCAAACGCGCAGCTTCAGCCTGGACTGCTCCAAGTCGGGGCCGGATAGCAAGGTGCCCATCACGGAGTCACTGTATCGCTGCTACAGCGACACATCCGGCATCTATTCGCAGTTCCTCAGTACGTACGAGTCGACCACCAGCTCCACATCGATATCCACCAATACGTCGGCATCCGCATCGGCATCGGCATCCGCATCGGCATCCGCATCCGCATCGGATAGCAACTCCCGGCAGCTGCAGTATGTGCCCCTGCCACTCAGTCCCGAGTCAAACGAGACCATGGAGCGTCGCAAGCTGAAGAGCATACTCAAGAAGCTGCAGATGGGCGGGGGGCAGCAGGAGGAGAAGGAGAAGGCCTCGGCGGGGTCAAAGGTCATGCTGGGACAGGGTCAGGGTCAGGGCCAGGGCCTGCCGGCGGAGCCCACCTTGGAAGGGTACGTGGCTAGGCACAGTAAGCTCTTGAAGAGTGTAACCTTCCATTCCACTCTTTCCAGCCCGCCCGCCAGTGCCAAGGAGGAATCTCCCTTCGGCGGCGCTGCGGCGATCGGAATAGTAGCGGTGAATAATGGTTGCGGTAACGGTAACGGTAACGGTAACGGTAATAGTGGCGGTACCGGTACCGGTAATGATACGATCAATAGTGCCAATTCGAGTTCGCGTCCGAACAACAGTGCGTATGCGTGTTCACCGTCGGCGGCGTTTCCGTTTCCGGTTGCGCCAATTCCGCCGCTTCCGTTGGGAACCGAGGCGAATGTCTGGTCGCCGACGTTGACGTTGGTAACGCCCACGAATTCGCCGCAGGAGAGCTTCGCGTTTCCCGCCCAACTGAGGGAGCAGGGGGAGTTGGCGGTGGGCGGACTCGTTGGTGGCGTTGGCACCGTCTCAGCGTCGTCGTCGCCAGCTGGATCAGCTTTATCCGGCTCCGCAGCCGCATCCGCATCCGCTTCCGCCTCGGCATCCGCATCCGCATCCGCCTCGTATGTCGTGGAGTGCTCATCGTCGTCGAATCAGATCCTCCATGCCCAGTCAACCACTGATTTGAATTTGAATTTGCAGCTCAGGCAGAATACGACCAGTGCGATGGGCGGACCGGGTTCAGGGCCCCGGCTCGAAGGTAAATATATCAGCTTCAGATCGAGTTTATGTAGCAACCAGAACAAGAGCAACGCTTGTCACACCCCCCAGTAAACCAGTAAAAAACTAAATATATATTATATAAAAAACACTTTATGTAACTCTATGTCTTTCTCTCTTTGCGCAACTTTCTATAAACACAGACACTTGCGCATGTTTGCGAGTCACCCATACTCGCACACTACGAACTTTCTCTCTCGCTTTGCCCTGCTTTCTCCAACTGTCCTTTAACTTATCTGTCTGACCGTCTTTTTTCCGCCACCGCTTTGATCTAAACCTAACTTAAGTCCTTGCATGATAGAAACGCCTAATAAAAGCTGTACAAATGTCCTTGAAAACACCTAAACTTTGTAGTACTTTACCAAACTACGAGAATAATAACTAAATTAATCAATTACAAGTCCCCCTTTGACTTATAACCTTTGACATTTAACTTATTTAATAATAATTATTTTATTATAGAAGATATTAATCCCAAACTGTTTTGAGATAGAGACATGCTACTGTTAAATTGGAATAGTTTTTAAATATTTTAAAAAGCCTTTTTGAACACTTCCTTAAAATTACAGCCGTATTCCACTAACTCATTTACTTTTATTTAACGAGTTTTTGATAGGTATATATCTGCTATAAAAAACCTTTTTACAATCCCATACTATTCCAAAAGTTCTCCACAAAACCTTTCTTCAAGACTCCAAAACCTGTTTAAAAGAAAATCAAATATTATTTTTAATTCACACCTTCCCAAGAATAAATTAGTGTCCCCAAGTCCACCAAAGTAAATAATGATAACCATTGTTAAGAACACGGAATGTGAATAGAGCGGAAAAGCTTTTCAGTTGATGTGCTTTGGGATCGAAATGGAATGAAACGCCGTCATGATGGATGCTTAAGTCCTTGAGAGCATGTAACTAAATCAGCACAAAACACACATACACACTTTGCCCATGCTTTTGTATATATATATTTATATATATATAATACATAATACACCCACAAAGAACACGATCGTGTATATATATACCACATATAGATCTGAGCTTTTGACGGAGCCGGTGCAACACTTGTATGGTAATGGGAATGAGAATGTAAATAATTGTCGACGATATGCGTATGTATTGCAGCCAGTGCAGATGGAACTATATATAATATTATATATTTCTGATCATTACTTTCTGTCTGTCTGTTCTTGTAAAAAAAAAACTAATCACCTTCACCCAAAAAACAATACATCTGCATTGGTATTTAGAGCTTCGTCCCTCGGAGTCAACTGTACTTCTTAAATAAAACCGACACACCTGACCGAATCAGAGTGCGTTAACCCAAGTATGTAGTGCTAAAAACGCTTTAACACCCACAGCATAATTTGATGTAGTTAAACTCTGGAAAATACAATTGAATGTCAAGTATCACCCAAAATGCAAGACTCACTTTCGCATACGTCAGACACAAAGTACCCATATTCTCTGTCCTTTTTGGTCCACCTTAAATGTTCCATGTACTCACAACGATGTGTGATCTTGCACTTAAAGGCTTCCCGGAGGCACAGGACTACTTCAATCAGATCCTGAGCGGCATCAATCACGTGATCAAGACGCACATGAACGAGATGCACTCCAAGTTCGAGACGCAGTTCTCCAGCATGGCCGGCGAGGTGCGACGCCGCGATGCGATCATTGCCCAGCTGCAGCTCAAGCTGCGCTCCATCGAGGGCAGGTCCAGCTCGATTCCCGTGGCGTCCGCATCCGCCTCCTCCTCCGGCGCCCTGGTCCTGCCCCTCAGTCGGCGCCAGAAGCGCGAGAAGATGTCCCAGCTGTCGGTGGACGACGATGAACCGCCCGAGGAGGAGGACAACAGCAGTTCGGGATCGTCAGCGGAGCTTCTGTTCATGGTGGGTTCATACTAGAGATGTCTATCGAAAAGCATTAGTATATCGAACATATCGATTGGTTAAATATCGAACGTATCGATTGGTTAAATATCGAAAATATCGAATGGTTAAATATCGAAAATATCGAATGGTTAAATATCGAAAATATCAAATGGTTAAATATCGAAAATATCGAATGGGTTAATATCACTTTTATCGTTTTGGTTGATATAAATTTATATTTCTTTTTGTATCACTTATCTGTTTCGAGAATGAAAAGAGTGATTGTATTGTTCAACGATCAGATATTTAAATATTGATTATTTGTGCCATATTTAATATTTTTTTGGATTTCGAAATAAATTAAATCCTATCCCTTAACTCATTGCAGCGCGGTGACTCCCTGGACACGGTCTTCACCTCTTCACCGCCCATCCAGGGCGGCAGACGCAGCATATCGCCGGGTCCGAGTCGCCATCATGCGGCCTCGGCGAACGCCCTCAATTGTCCCAGTAGCTACTACGGCGGACCCGGCTCCCTGAGCTCCCGTCATGCCCAAAGCCATCCCGGCTTCCACTCCGGCCAGGGCAACGGACGCAGTGGTCGCAGTGGCAGCAGTGGCTACCATCGGGAGTGGAGCGGCGGGGCGGACAGCATGGGCGGCCTGGGCATGGTGGCGGATGTCACCGGCAATCTGGCCCGCTTGTCGGACAGCGTCATCCTGGACATTGGCGAGAGCTCCAGCTCGAGCTCCTCGTCCAGCAAGATCAATATTGTCCAGGTGGATGACGATGAGGAGGAGGAGGAGGATCCATCGGCACGGCATCCACGAGAGGATGAGGACCTGGATGAGGACGGCGGCGGTACGGCGGGCCACAACGACTGGGAGGTGCAGATGCTGGCCGCCGAAATGGAGCGGCAGGAGCGGCGCAAGCGTGGTCACTCCCTGTCCGACAATCTGGGCGAGCTGAAGCACTGCAGCACGTTCCTGCGGCGACGACGGAAGTTCAGCGACACGGAAACGGAGTTCAGTGAGACGGATATGGAGGAGCAGCTGCAGGCCAGGTCGGGGGGCGGAGGTGGCTCCATGGATCCTGCTGCATCGGGAGCATCTGGATCTGGAGGCGGCGGATCCACATCCGCCGGACACCAAAGCGGCAGCCAGCGACCGCGGGCCTCCAGTTTGGATCAGTTCAATCTGCGTTACGGAATTGGGCGCGGAATCTTTAAAGCAATGAGCATCGACCGTGATAAAGACAAGCTTTGAGAACTATAATCACGACCAAATCTAACCCGATCCAGATCCTGTTCCCGTTCCCGATCACGAACCCCATCCCCATCACCATCCCAACCAGAAGCAAGTTCAACGGCGGACAACCAATAAGCAATGGAATTCGGACAGTATTACCATGGTACAAGAACTAGGTATATGTATATGATATACAAAACTAAGGAGATGTAAGGACATATAGATCTATATTCTATATATGTTTAGCCCTAACGAACCCCCCCAGCAAAAACTCGTTATATACAGATATACACATATAAAGTAAAACCCGAATGAGATATATATACATATATATATATATATACATAAAACAAATGTAGAATTAACGGAAACAACTACTACTAAAAACCGAGAAACAACACACAAATAGACAGAGAGTGTTCCCACCCCTCTTCCAATTATGATTCATTTAGCTTTCTTAAATGGCGTCCTCATTGTTATGGGTTTCCTAATTACATGCCCTTGCAAAGATGAATACACTTTAATCGAAGGTTGTCTTTGTCCGCTTAAGGAAATTATTGCTTTTGAAATTCGCTTATCTTCTAGAAACATTTTAATTATTTAACTCGTTTCTGTTTATAAATCGTTATTACTGTTCGGGTTTTATTTTTCTTAACATACAAATTATTATTTAGTCTTTCATTTGTCCGTTAGCTGTCCGCTTAATAGAATTTCTCCTTGTAGAACTTAAAACTTTTATGGTAATGAGTAACAACTTTCGAATCTGATTACCTTAAGTTGTGTTTAAAGTTATTCTTTTATATGTAATCGATATGAAAATTAAAAGTTTTGTTTCTTTAAAGAAGACCCTAAGCCGTCCGTAGTAATTTATTGACCAATACATTTTGCAAGGGTACTTAACGACTCGGACTGCTAATTCCAAACATCTGTTCGTTCTTTCTTTTCCAAATTGCCAAAATTTGCATAGAGGAGTGTGTGTTTGTGTGACCCTGTGAGAGAGTGTATGTGTGCGAGCAAGAAAGCACGAGAGAGGATAATTCCCACATTAAACCGTCCTGAAAAACGTCCATGCCACGATGCGCATGTTTGTTCATTTTGGATATATCTGTATCTGCAACCAAATCTGCATTTGTATCCCAATCAACTCGGTCTGAACCTAAATCGGAATAGTTAGGCGTATTGCTAAGTTGCTCGTTTAATTCGTGGACAGCGGGGGCGTGGGTCTCTCTACAGATGTATATACCTCTTATTGTTAGAGACTATGGAACATATATATACATATATATTTTAAGTACGTACATATATACACAGAAATATACATAGTTATATATCTATATATGAACTAGTGTAATGAAAACCGAAAGCTTTAATAACTTATATAGAGAACTATTTAAGAAACGTTTTAAATAATAATCGATTCGGACAAATGTTTTGAAATAGAACAGGCCAACACACCCATTTCCAAAACGACAAGCCAACACAAAAGACACACATTAAACATACACCTGCATATGAATATCTAAATATAGAGCCTATAATATGCATAGATTAGCGATTTTCTTGTTGAACACCCTCAGTTCGAGCTGTTAGGCCAATCTAAGATTTAGTCGAACCTATCGAAAAACATAGACTAGCCATCCCAACCCCCAATTCCCAACTCCCGACGACCCTGCATTCGTTCGGTTTCGTTCACCCAATCTCACGCTTGACCTTTGACCTCAAACCCCCCCACTAACTAGAGACACTATCTCGCTATAAGAAAGGCAACTCTAGCACTTAAGTAGTTTAGTGCATTTCAAGATCAATTTCGAATCGAGTATGTCGCACCGCCTGAAAACAAATTCTGAAGACTAGGCGAGTAACACGATTGTTAATTGTGTTGTTTTTGTTTATCGTTGCTCTGAACTAATTGCTTCACTAAAGACAGCTACTAGCCAGGCCCTAGACGCACTCACTAATCAGCCGGTAGAGTCCGTAGAGAAAAGTTAGACGCCCAACTCTAGAGTTTCGTAGTTTCTACTAGCCGCTAAAAGGATGTTACTTACTATCGCTCTGGCTATCTTGGCTATCGATTACTATCGTACTGTACTTAGCGCACTAAGGCACACACACACACACACACACAGCTACACAGACACACACAAGCGAACAAAATGAAGAAAGCTGAGGAAGTCAACCTCACAGATACTTTATCTATTCAAGTATGTAACTATTTCACAGATAGAGAAACATTAAAATTTGAGATGAGCTTAAGAAGTAATCAATCTTTATCGATGGTCTTACAGAAAAACATTGATAAATACCGATTATTATTTATAGCCATGACCATTTCAAAGGAAAAACGATTTTTTAATGAGGTTTCATATTAACTTGTATTGTTTAGATATTTCTTTAAAAACATTGTTAATTTACCATTTTAAAATTTCTAAATTTAAGGTTTTCTTTTAAAAGAAACAAAGTAATATATCTTGATCGCTGTTTGTTTACCTCTGTTCTTAATAAATACGATGATTTCAAATAACCTTTAAACAATTTGTGAAACTTTGACGAAACATCGTATTTCCCTTAAAAGTTGATTTCTCTACCACTAGTCCACGTGCACAGCAAGAAACAAAATCTGAAATTCAAGGAACAAATTCTCCAATGGGTTCAATACAAAAAAACGACCTAAACTACAAAAAAAAAGTACACAAATATGCAACAACTTAAATGGGTCACAGCCAGCTAAGCAGTCCAACTAAATGTAATAAGACAAACGACAAGCACAAAACACTTATGTAATTCAAAACACAGCCTAAAGATGATGGGGCAGAAGTAACTCTATAAGGATTTTGATTTACTCGTTTATATTGGGTTCCTTTGTTAAAGGCCACGTTTGAATGGCAAGGAAACCCATTTAAATTGAATTACATACGCCAGGGACCACAAAATGTTTTTTTTTTGTCTCTTTTTTATAAAACGTGTAGACACAAAAGGAAAACCTAGCAAATTTAATGATAATAAATGCCATAACAAGCAAGTGTTATTGACCAGGAGGTAGCCGTCATATAATCATCGATATACCCTTAGCCAGGCACCCATTATCGACCCATCCCCGATATATTATATAATGAATATGTATGTCTAACTGATTTCGTACGTACCACTCACTCTCGGTTCAATTGTTGTTAGCCAACGAAAATCTCTGTGAGTCAATTATGTATATGGATCATTTTAAATCGATTGTTTTTAAACGAGAAGCCAGACCGATTATGACCTACTCTGTATTGTACTATATTGCATTGAATACCGCGGATTGTTGTCGTTGTTGATTTTAAATTTTAAATTGCTCGTCTTTAAGTTACCGATATTTTTGTACATTAGTTTAAGGTAGCGCATAACGAGTCCCACGAGTCTAGAGTAAATTCCTAAATAAATGTATAAATACATATATTTTTTTTTCTCCTAATTGCTAATTTCGCAATGTTGATCGATTACTAAACAGAATGTACTTATAGTAAAATTATACGCAAAGATAATTTAAACTAAACTAAACGGAAACTAATCCCCAAAAGCAAAACAAAACAAAGAACAAAGAAGTTAGCACATGTTAAAGAAGCGCAAATAAAAGTGAAATAAGACAAAAAATATGACAACAAACTTGCCTTCGGTTGCGAGTTACTTTGTAGTGTGCCAAATCTACATCATATCAACTTTTAATCACCACAAGGTATGATGTTGCTGCAAAATAATACGAACCTAGATACGAACACTAAATGAAACCAAGAAATGAAACCGATGCAAGTGAATTAAAACCCCGTGCAACCAAGGTGAAATATGAAAGAAAAAACGAAGCAAACAAAACTTATTTGAATAAAAGAGAAAAATACAAAAAAAAAGGGTTTTTTATTTGGATATTTGTTATTTATGTTTTTCCAGCTACAGATTTTTTAAGTACTTTGTTGTTTCAACATTTCTCACAGTTTTTATTAAAAAACCGAAAAATGTAGCAGATTTTCTCCAAGTTTTGGCCAATCTTATTTTGATAAGGGGTAACATCATGATTTTTTTTGAAAAATAAAATTTTTTAACTGTGAATGCCACTTTGTTGGAAATTTTGTAACGAATTCAACGAGGTATGACATTCCAACATTCAACCACTATTTCCCAGGGTTTTGATTAAAAACCGATAAACTGAATTTATTTTTCCTAACATGATTTTTTTCGAACAAATTTTTTTATGATATTTTTTTTCTCTAAATGCCATTTTGTCAACGAGGTATGACATTCCAGCATTCAACCACCATTTCCCAGGAATTTGAATAAAAACCCGAAAAATAAAGAAGATTTGTTTAAGAATATTTCCCGGAGTTCCATTTAAAAATCCGAAATTGGTGTAGAATAACATTGTTAAGCTGGGAATGCCAATCGTTGGAAACTTTTATAACGAATTCTATCATACCTCGTTACAGGGGTTACATTTTTGGCAAAAATTAGTCTTAAATATTAGTTTTAAATATGTTCGAAGGGTGAGAATACTTTAATTAATATGCGTTTTTGAAGTTACATATTTTATTGCATTTCCGTTTAAGAAATATGGCAAGCTTTTCCAGGCATTGGTTTGAAACCAGTTGTGCCACTCTCTCCTGTCGATCCATCTTAGGTAGTTGTGGCCACCTATGGAGCGTTGTGGGAAACTCTGGGCAAGATTGGGGCCTGCGCAGAGGCCACAAGTGTTGGCCAGCTGATGAAAAAGGGGTGGCTGGCGGAGCTTGCCGCGTGCGGTGGCAACGCCGCACTAAAAAAAGCTTTCGTTCATCCCCCAAAACTCGATGTTGATGCTGCTGTGCTGGGGATTCCGCTTCTTCTGCCGCTCAGAGGGCAGAAATTCTCGGACACGGAACACACAGCACACAGCACGCTTCGGATTCGGATACAGCGAGCAACATTGCGCATACGACGTGTGGGCCGAGTGGCATAAATAAATAGTTCACATTTGTTTTGCTGCTGCCCGATTCTTTGTTTGTTTGTTTGTTTGGCCCTGTTGGCGATTGTTGTTGTTGCTGCTGCTGTCGGATTTTGTGTGTTTTTTCTGTGATTTTTTTTTTGTTGCAGTGTGTGTGCGTGTGTGTTTGGTGTTTTTGAAAGCGAATCGCGAATATGGGAGTATGGTGATTCCGCATTCATCAGCAGGTCATAGATTGCGAATTTTCGGTTGACATGTAGCTGGGTTTTTGGGATTCTGGGCGTGTGTGTGTGTGAGAGGTTGTGTGTGTGCGGGAGCCAAAGGAGTGGTGAAAGGGGCAAGGATCCGGAATCGGAATCGGTATCGGTAAGTTTTTCACAAAACATTCATACAGAAAATCACGAAAATTATTTGTTTACATCTCCACCGACCCGAAAAGTGAAAAAAATAAATATACATGTTGAAGAGCAAAATCTGAAAAATGGGAAAAATTGCGGAATGTACCATCAGCGATTCGTTCGCAGAGCTATTGTTTATTTGATCCCATGCATTGTTTCATGCCACATTCCCCCCGATGTGCTTATTTTTGATTATTCAGCTCATTTGTTTGGCTTTGGTCTCGCAATCAAAATGCATATTAATGGGTGCTGTGGAAAAGGGGGGGAACTCCCCCTTTTCATGGCTTGGGAACCGCCTGTTCGCATTATGTAAACCTGTGGGCTGGGTCGTTCCACCTGCGATGGTTCCGCTCTTCTGATGACTGCGCTAATGTGCGTGGCTTTTGTCTGATTTATGCCGCAAAACAATCAAATTATTGCCAGCCAACCCCTTCTGACCACCGCGTAGCCCATTTTTTATGATATTTCTCTATTTCCCTTTTGCGGCTGCCGAGCCATTTCATTACATAGCCGGTTGCATGCACTGAGAAAAACTGACACACAATTATAAACACCATCAAGTATTTTAGTTGCACAAAAATACTTCATTTATTTTATAAATGGAGGTTCAATGCTAAAAAAAACTTACTCAAAATAATATTACATCCCATCAAATGATTGACTTGTACAATCCAATATACTTTTATTATTATATTAAGACCTGATAATAAGACGTATTATTATTTTTCTTAGAAGTTTAAAACGAAGTAATGAAGACATTTCCGACCTTATAATGCATATATATATATCTTAATCAGCAACACTAGTCGAGTTGATATGCCCGTCTATTTCTATACCATTTGCATCAACATATTATGAGAATAAAGACAGATACCACATGGGCTTAGTTTACATATATAAATAGCTTCACTTCGAGACTTTCAACAATTTAAGCAGATAAACTGTTTTGTCCATTTTACAGAGCACATTTTCTCGACTGCTGGCGATCGCAAGGGAATTCTGTTGTACTGAGTAAATGTAAAATATAAATTTAGTTCGCCCCAAGGGAGGTCATGTGTTCGCCTTTGATATATCAATATCAATCGAACGTGCGAATAGAAAATTAATATTATTTTCTCGTTACTCTTCAGCAATTTAGGACTTGAAATGAATATTAAGGGTATTAAAAACTTCGGCTTGTCGAAATAGCCATATTATATCATATCTGATTATAGCGTACCTGTAATCTATATAATTATTGATTATTTTAATAATTTCTTAATATCTTTGAAATATTTAAATGAGATAAATTACATCTAATTTTCGAAATTTTTAAAGTGGCAGAACTGAGTCATAAAAGCTTGAATATTTTACTAAAGGTCCCCATTTTCCCCAGTGTACGTTCAGCTTTCCTGTTTTTTATACCGCTCTCCTTTTATTCGCCTTGGGTTTTCTTTTTGTTTGCGTCTTGTTTCAGCGTTGAACTAGTTTTTGGGCCACCACCATTCAGCACCGCCATCGTGGTGGGGTGGGTGGTTCAAGAAGTTCCGGGTTGGTGTTTCGCGGTCTTCCAGGGTGGAGTGCCGTATCTTATATAATCATCCAGCGGCTTTTTCAACGCTGCTATCCGCTGAGTTTTGGGCCGGGGCAAAGTGTATCGGTGCCCCAAGGATCCCTCAGGCCAAGGACGAGGACTCTTTAAACACCCCTCGCCGTCTCTGCTCAGCTGTTGCATAAATTTTCGCATTTAACTACTTGTCTTCCTCATGTGTGTGTGTGGGCCATGCATGTGTGTGTGTGGGCCATGCATATGTGTGTGTGTGTGGGCCATGCATGTGTGTGTGCGTTTGGGCTATGCACATGTGTGTGTTCAAGGGTGTGTGTGTGATGGGGTGTCCTTTTGCGGATTTCGTGAGCGTTTTATGCAGCTCAAGGAATTCCGTTGAAGGCATGACAAGGCTTTTATTCTCTTGTTCTCTTACCCCACCAACCACCCCCCCTCCCCCGCGATGCCCTTTTCCAAGGGGTATTTAAGGCTTTATTAAGAAGTGTTCTCCAGGACAAGTCTTTTCTCATCCGAACAAGCCCAGATTATCTTTCATCATAGTCTGAAAGGTGGCTTTTGTTGCCTTCACTTTTTAATGAAGATCTTAAGTGTATTTATAATGCTTATATGAATCCCATTATTATACGTTAACTACAATTATTCTTAATCGTTTTCAACCGTTTTATTGAATAATTAAAACTATTAACCAAAAAAAATTGTATAGGTTCTGCAGTTTATACAGCTTTCATGTTGTTAACGTAGAAACAACATAATAACCCTTGTAATTATAACTTCATTACAATAATTACTCCATTACAATTATTTCTTTATTACATAATTACTTTATGTAATAATATTTCCTATTCATTTTCTGTCTTTTCTTTGTACGCAATTCATATAGGTTTTTTCCTGATGATAATAGAAATGTTAAATGGTATTAAACCCAAAAAAAGAAGTTTACAACCCAACAGGTTTTGGTTGAATAGTATTGAATTTGCATTAACTTAATGGTGTTTCTTTTAGGCATTTTTTTAACTATGGCCGATATAGCTGTGTGCATATGTACATTTAATTTCTTATAAATTTACAAAATTGCTTATTGGTCTTGGCCTCCACTATAAAATAAGCCTAATGATTTGGGGCCGTGCAATTATTGGCAATCAGTCACCTGGGACCTTTCTCAATATGGCTGACAAGCCATCAATCATTTAAGCCCCGCAAACATTAAGTAAGAGTATCCTGTTTTCGTTTTCCCAGGCTGAAAAACCGTCTGCTAATGGTTTTTTTTTGCAATATTTATTTGCAAGCGAAACTCAAGTGTATTTCCGCTGTTGTCACTACTGGCATTGCCGGGTTGTCCGGGTTACCAAGTCGGTAATTCCGGGCCCATTTGGCCAAGTTAGTCAAGTTGGCCAAGTTAACCAAGTGAGAGCACGCGGAAATGCAAATGGCTTCTGCTTCTCTGCCTCTCTGCTCCTTTGCGCATTTGTTTCGTTGTCATAACAAAATCAACAAAACAGGAAAATACGAATATCCAAATTGATTCCGCTTCTGTCTTTCGGCAATTCGACCAGATAATTGGCTTCATTAATGCGAACATGTTCATTTGAATTAATTTTACATAAACGAGCGCATAGCACTCGACAATGCCAATGCCAATGATACCGTGGCCAATAAAACCGATTATCTCGCTTTCAGTAATGCAAAGACGGCGATATGGCACTACAAGGCTGGCGCTTTTTCGGTGTCTCGGCAACCATCATCATCTACATAGGCGGCGTTCTGTTCCTCTCCATGAACAACATTCCCGGATCGCATCCCAAAAGACCGCGCATCGAACGCTTCGCCGAGGTGAGTCACGAATTTTACAATTTTACGCTTTGCAAATTCGAGTGGAATTACAAACAAAAAAATCTACGAAAATAGCTAGGAAATCTATAATGTACACTGGCCGACAGATAAACGAAGTTCAATTTTCCCAAGCACTTCCATTTTTCTTTAAATTATTTATTTTGTACTTATCAAAAATACAAGGCAATAGAAAGCATGCAATTAATTATCAACTTACTTTTACGCTTTCTTAAGGCTCAAAAAATTATTCGGTTGGAAAAATTTAAAATTGTCAACAAAGCTTCAGAGGTTTTAAAACTAAGCTAGACTTACTCAAAATAATAGTCTAGTTTCTAGTTCATTATTAATTATTTTATAAGAAAAATCGAATAAAGTAATTGTATCTTAAAAGTCAAAGAGTTCCCAAATGATTTAAAATAAATTGCTAAAGTGACTAAAAGCATATTGTTTTGTAGTTTATTTTGAAAGTAAAAGATTGTAAATATATATAACATAAATCAGCAGAACTTAGGTAAAGAACAATGTCCCTAGAGATATTTAAGCCACGATTGGTAAATTATTGCTATATAAAAGAAAGAAGCCAACAAGTTTTTTGTATTAAATAAAACCCCATTTGAGTGTAATGTTTATCCGATTAAATATTTGCAGTTTCCCAGCTTTCATAGTCCTCGGTTTCCGATGCCCAGCCGCAAGATGACGATTCGCTGGTGTCGCGACCTAAAGTATATAAATCGAGATCTTCCAATCTACGCGGACTACAAGGCCGACTTCTACAGTGAGTGGAGATGACCCTTTGACCTTTTGTGACCCTTAACCTTTAACCCTTAACCCTTAACCCTTCACCTAATCCATCCAGCGGCCCTGCCCAGCGACGTCAGCGCCGCCCTGCAATCCCTGCCAGCACTGACCGCTTTGGCCAGTTTCCCGGGCAGCGGGAACACCTGGCTGCGCTACTTGCTCCAGCAGTCCACCGGCATCCTCACCGGCAGCATCTACAAGGACTACGGCCTGCTGAAGACCGGCTTCCCCGCGGAGAACGTCTGCAACAGCTCAGTATTACTGGTGAAGACCCACGAGTGGGGCAGCAAGGCGTGGGCGCCCTTCTCCAAGGCCATCCTCCTGGTCCGCGATCCGGAGAAGGCCATCATCGCCGAGTTCAATCGCCAGAGTGGCGGTCACATCGGCTTCGCATCGCCGGATCGCTACAAACGCACCAAGGGAAAATGTACGTTATGCTTCTACACAGATATGTATTCCTGCCATGGGGTCACTCACCAATTAAATCCAATTGTGCCCATTAAGCATTGGAAACTAAAAGACCAGGACTTGTTAATTTTATTCGTTTCTAAAGCACACAGAAGACCAGATCACAAAAATAATTGGTTATTAGGGCCATCATAGTACCCTTCAAAAACATTTAATTAGAAGTTATAATGCTACATAAGTATATAAACGTTTTAAAGCTTCAATTGTTCAAAATATTAGTAAATATAACAGGCAAATAAATTTACAAATTGATAACTTTAATCTAAAATACGCAGGTTTTACCATCCATATATATAAAAAGTTAAGTACAATATTTTTTTTTAATTATAAAGGTATTTTTTGTCAATGTTATAACATGTAGACTTTAGTATTTTTTAGAAAGGCCCTTTTTTCAATAATTTATAATCCAGAATACATCGCTCATATACCTAATAGTTACTCCCATTACAGATTGGCAGCAATTCGTGAGCAATAAACTGAAGGGCTGGGAGGTGATGAACCTCAGCTGGGCGCGCAACTTCACGGGCAGCATCAAGGTGGTGTTCTACGACGACCTGGTCCACCACACGGAGCGGGAGCTGCGCTCCATCCTGGAGTTCCTGCAGTTCCCGGTCAGCGAGCAGCTGATGCGGTGCGCCATCATGCGGAAGGAGGGCATCTTCCGGCGGAAGAAGCGCCTGCTGTCCTTCGATCCCTACACGGTGTCCATGAGGGCGGAGGTGCAGAACCGTCGGCGGATCGTCTACGGAATGCTGGGACGCCAGGAGCCGTAGGAGAAACACATGTGCACTTTTAGGAACTCCGGGCAACGAGATGGGAAATCGAATTCGTACCACCAACAAAAAAAAACAACACAAAGAAAACGCAATCGAAAATCACAATCGCAACGACCGGAATTGCAAAATCGAGGAATAACCACCCCCCTCCCCAATTCATGACGATATATATCGTAGGACCATAGATCTCACTTGGGGGTCGGCAATAGGTGGTAAATGCCCCCGAAAAGCCCTGTTTTTCCCCCAAAATCCAGATCGTTCCCAATCGTTTGCTGCTCGCTTGGCGCATTAGTTCAAATTTTTGTTCAAACTTTAGGCATGATAAATATTATTATATAGGCGCATAACTTTAGGTTGAATATATATGTACGTATTTGGTATAGGCTATACAACAAGGTATTATGATTCCTGAACGAATTTATGAAATTCATTATAGGCCATGTTGTGCTTCATCGCTCACCCAAACTCAACTCATCCGCAACTTATCCTTTGGTCACGTTGAGGTCCCATATTAGACTATCCTTGTAAAAAGTTTTATACACGACTCTACAATAACTTGTGAAATATTAACGATGGATCGTATTAGATAATTGTACAAAAACGAAAACCAAGAAATCGAATGAGAAACAATGAAGTGGATTTAAAAACTAAGAATACATGCTTGTTTTATTTTGGGAATGGATTTTTAATCGGTTTTCAGGAATTGGTGTTTGGAAAAGCCAACTTCTTTTCACAGCTTTGTTAAGAAATTAAAAAAAAAATCAAAAAGGTAAGTAGGTTTTTTTTTTTAAAATAGCTATCATAAATTCAGTTTTTAAAAAGTCCTTACAGAGATGTTTTTAAATGGAGTCCATAACTTTACCAAATTTAATCCGATTCCAAAGTGGCATACCTCTAAAGAATTGTGACTCGATTCTCTGAAAATCTGCATTCAAAATTTTTAATTTAGCGTTTATCAATATTTTGACCCATTTTCATGTTGGTTTTTTCTAATTTTCCGATGTGTTGTAATAGAGTGACACAAAATTGGACTTCTAGGGTCCATAACTTTACCAAATTTAATCCGATTCCAAAGTGGCATACCTCTAAAGACTTGTGATTCGATTCTCTGAAAATCTGCATTCAAAATTTTTAATTCAGCGTTTATCAATATTTTGACCCATTTTCATGTTGGTTTTTTCTAATTTTCCGATGTGTTGTAATAGAGTGACCCAAAATTGGACTTCTAGAGTCCATAACTTTACCAAATTTAATCCGATTCCAATGCGGCATACCTCTAAAGACTTGTGATTCGATTCTCTGAAAATCTGCATTCAAAATTTTCAATTGAGCGTTTATCAATATTTTGACCCATTTTCATGTTGGTTATTTCTAATTTTCCGATGTGCTGTAATAGAGTGACCCAAAATTGGACTCTAGAGTCCATAACTTTACCAAATTTAATCCGATTCCAAAGTGGCATATCTCTAAAGACTTGTGATTGGATTCTCTGAAAATCTGCATTCAAAATTTTCAATTTAGAGTTTATCAATATTTTGACCCATTTTCATGTTGGTTATTTCTAATTTTCCGATGTGCTGTAATAGAGTGACCCAAAATTGGACTCTAGAGTCCATAACTTTACCAAATTTAATCCGATTCCAAAGTGGCATATCTCTAAAGACTTGTGATTGGATTCTCTGAAAATCTGCATTCAAAATTTTCAATTTAGCGTTTATCAATATTTTGACCCATTTTCATGTTTATTATTTTTAAGTTTCCGATGACTTGTAATAGAGTGACTCAAAATTGGATTGAATTGTATTAGCTTCCAGGGCTTTCAAAAAGCTTTTAGACTGTGCCCCAACCTGTGGTTTCATTCAAGCTTAAAATGTATAACATCCTTTTAAAGATAAAGCTTTAAGGAAAATATAAAGCTATGGTGGCTTTTTTATAAAAGCGATACTAACTTAGGATTGTTGAAAGTCCTTATAAAACCAACCTTTTTAGCTTTTAGATTTTTCCTTTTACTGAGACTTTTGAAAAGCTTTTTTTGTGTAATATCCTTTAAAAGATAAAGCTCCAAGGATGTAGATAAAAAGCCATTCGTGGTGTTCATCGCTTTAAATAAAGGTTTCACACATAGATGGCACCAGGATTACGAAATCAAAAATTAGAAAACTCAATTTTTAATTGTTGAAGAAACAAAATTTAATTAATAAAAGAGAGGACCAGCAAAGTATGTAAATAAGTAATACAAACGAAATTCAAGAATAGAATTTAAAAACATTAAAGAAATACATTTTTAGCATGAAGAATGTTTTATCCTAAAGGTACTTACATTGTTTTTATAAAAGATTGTAAGATTATTAAAATTTAAATTAGTTTATTAAAATATAAATTAGTTTATTTATTATTTAATGATTATGTAGAAGGAAAGGTTTTTTAATTCACATATAACCTAAGCTCTTTGCATGGTGATTGCCGTTACAAGGAATTCGTTCTCCATAACGATCAGATTATGAACATATCCCTAACAATTTTCTTCAGAAAAACAACAAAATGTTATAGTTTTAAAATTAACTCAAAAATCAGCTAAGCACATATATTTTGGTAAAAATGTTGAAAAAAAGGCGCAATAATTTAAAAATCGATAATTTACTACTTATGTAGTAGTTCAGGATCATTATTTTTATTAAGTCTATTAAATTTAAATACTATTTAATCAACTTATATTATGTATTACTACTGTCCTTAATAATGCAAATATTTGAAATCTTTCTTTAAAAACGATAAAAAGAATTGTATGATTAATAAACCACGATGGACAACATTTTTGTATTTTGTTTCTGAGACGAGTCACCCTGTTAGTCCTTTCGTCCTGTCGAAGGGTTACTAAGATCGGGACACCCTCTATGTGATTTGCCATGCTGCATGCTTTTAACAGTAGCAGTGCAACTAGGCCTGCTCCACCACCACCCTTCCCCTCCCCCTGTCGAACTGACCCACCTGCTGGCTATCCCTCCAAACCCCCTACCCACTGATACCACCCCCCCACCCCCCTTTCCCCAGCCCCACTGACATGTACGCCCATTTCTGTTTTGGCATTGTTGCCCCGCCGCGTTGGCGTTTTGTGCCTTTTTGTTTTGAGGCTCGGCTCGGCTGAAGCGACCCACCGAAAAAAGAGGCGGAAAATGCGGAGAAAAATTGTGCCATATGCTGGACGCGGGGCATTGCGATGTTAGGGTTTTCCAAGGGGGGGAGGTGGGAGGAATGGGGGTGGTGCCAGTGGTACTGCCACTGCCACTGCCACAGCCACATCCACCACCCAAAACTCGATGACCCACTGCGCAGACGCCGCACCACTCACGCTTTGGCATTGGCTTCGTCAAGTTTGGAAGGACTCGCCGGGTAGAGACACACCGCCGACTGCCCAATTCCAGCTGAACGAAGGCGCCGGCAGCGCAGCCCGCTCCCATCGGGCGACCAATCAAAGGGCGCCGGGCTGCATTATATAAGGAATGCGGCTGCCATTTTGAGGCAGCGACGGGGCCACGCCCACGCTGATAAATAATGAAAACATGTCGTCCGCCCCATTGAAAATAAACTCTGAAGTTAGCGAAACTCATCATAGAATTCTTTATCACAACACCACGCGCGCTTGTCTAGTTGTGAAATCTGTGTCCTGTGCGCTGGCGTTTTTAGTTTCGACGACGAAAATAGTTGAATTCGGGCTTAAAACAGCGGGGCAGTTGGCAGGCGGTAAGCGGTACGGTCAAAAGCGGTACAAAGGCTCACACACACACACGCACACATATATATATACACATATATAGATATAACACAGAGCAAACAGGAAACGGAAATCGCCAAAAGGCGGTAAACAGTTTGAACGCCGACGCCAAACCGTTTAACCGTTTCGAGTGCGCGTAATCCAATTATCCAGTCCAAAAAAGTCACCGACGGCGGCCAGTTAAACGTTCTTTAACTTCCTAGGCAACATTTTTTTACTGTGCTTTTTTTCTCAGTTTGTTTAAATACGCGCTTAAATCAATTAATAGCCCAACAGAAAAATAAAATAATAAATAAAAGTAGCCAAGCAGAAACTAACCGGTTAACGCAAAAAAAAAAGAAATAAAAAGAAAAGTGCCAGTGAATACGAGATAATCGAAGCAAAGCGAATCGAATCGAATCGAATCGAAGCTAAAGAAATATAATACAAAAAAAAAAGGGCGCAATCGAGCGGGCCCAGTGCTTTTGATATTTGTTGATGTCCTGCATGCAGGACTCGCGATAAAGCTGTCCCAGTAAGTGCTTCAAAATTTACTCGCCAACCACTTTCGACGCCTCCAGGGCGTTCAAGCTGGAGGAGGATTTCGTCGGCGGCTGCATGACAATGTCGATGTACTCGACGACGGATAAAATGAAAATGTCAGCGCCCAGTTGTTTTCCAGGACGCTACAGTCCCTCCTATCGAAGTTCGGAGCAAATGCGTCGCTGCATGCCAAATCCATCTGTAAGTATCGCCAGGGATTCCCGTTGCACTTACTATATCATTCCCATCGACCGACATCACCGTGTGCTCCATACCAACTCATAGGTTGAGGCCTATTTCTGATGGACAGGCTCCTTCGTAATCCCGTCGCTTATTGTCTTAAATGAGCATTCTTATGACAGTCCCCCTTTGTGTTCTTTTCTTGGTTCTTTAAAAAACCCAAGTTGTTTCCCAATTATTAACATTAAGCGTTTATAGCGAACACATCTCGAAATCAGAATTTCCCAAGGAGTTATATTATAATAAACAAAACAAAAATAGTACAACTATTTCACTGAGAAATATACATCTTTCATAATTTCTACAACTAAATCACCATTAGTTTCCTTATCCTAAACATGATAAATAAAACAAAACGGAAAGCAAACAAAAACAAAACATTGATTGTGTACTGAATATGAAGTTTTGCTTGTAACAATCATACAGATCTTTTGATTGTATTAAAGTAAACTACAAATGTGAGTAATCTTCCAATTAATATCCAACTGTATTTACTTCAGTGCGCTTCCTGCTCTTTTTTGATATATTTGGTAACACAAAATAAACAAAACCCTTCAGATCTTACAATCGTATGACTTCACTGAGCTAATGAGAAAGATTACTTTATTAGGTGTCCCAGATAATGTCGTCTCAATTAAGCTTAAAACGATATACAAATTATTTAAAAACATTTAACATTTATATCCATAGATATTGATCATTTATGAGACAGTTATTATACTACGGCATATCCTTCCTTCTACAGATTCACATCTCATCATCTTGCGATTCTATCGAGGTATGATTTCTACATCAGTACGTTTTCTTCAGAATTTCCATTAGTCATTGCAAAACTAATTGATTTTGCGATGGTATATAATCAAAAACTTTCCGCAATCATAAAGCTCCAAGTCATCCCATCGGTTATGGACTATAATGATGTTCTTACAATTAATGAACATTAATTAATCAATTTAGTTCACTTGACCTTGAGAGTCTTAGCTTTAGTTGCTTGATGTAAGCTGAAATCATAAAAATAAATAATATTATCTGGTTCTGCAATAGAACATTTCCCATTATCTCCAGACTGAAAAACGTTATATAAAATCAAATATAAAAATACAACAATTTACCGGGACTACATAACATTTTAGACTTAAAACTATATAAAGTTTCTGCAAATTTAATGTTTTCCGAATTTGTTTCTGATAAAATCCAATTACGAAAATGTTTTCTTAAAATTTCTTCCGCGGGAAATAATCTTGCATTTTCCAAATAAATTATAATGAAGGCGAGGATATAATATGATTTAATTTGTCTTTACTTTGTTTAATTCTGATAAGCTAATGTGCCAATTATTCAAATAATTATTTAAATATTTTACATATTTCTTGTGTGATGGGATCTAATGAATACTTTTTAGAACAACCTGTTCATTTACGTATTTAAAAAGGGGACTTAAAGAACACGATTCGCATTTCTCATTAAGACCAAGTTAGTAGCTATGGCAAAAGGGGAAAGTTAGCCATTGTAGCATAACCTGTTCCTGTGACCCGCAAATATGAGCTCCTTTCATACTTTCCTTCGCATTCCGCAACTGAATAAAATCCCCCGACTTACAACCCAGTTCCGCGATATATAGAGCTTAGGGATGCCCTGTTTTTCTGTTTTCCTGTTTTCCTGCCTGAATGCATTAATAACGAATAATTTGGAGTATTTGGCAGGCGTCTCGCAGTTTGCCAAGTGTCCTGCTGAATCTTTTATGAGCTTTGAGTTAAAAATTGAATGGGAACATGAGCAGACATTAAATGGTTATTACTGACAGTTCTCAGACAGGTTTATTGATGCCAGTCTTCTGGCCAGGATTACAGGTAAAAACGAATAGGAAACGGCCATGGATTTGGATATGGAAATGCATATTCATTCCTGCCCGCGAGACTTTTCCGACAAAACAATCGTCTTAATTACGGCATGAATGACGCTAAAGTTTCCCGGATTCCGTTGACCGGTTTTATGGGTCTTACGTTGCCCACTAAACCAACCCAAACTCAAGGGTTGTGCAGTAACCTTGAAAAGTGATTTGAAATTCATTTGCATTAATTATTTACCAACTATTTGTATGCGCTGCTGACCAGCTAGACAAATAAAAAATGTAAAAGCACAGAGTAGAAGAACAAAGACGGAGTAAAAATACGAGCTGGCTGAATGAAAATGGTTATACCCTTAGTGAAAAATGCGAATTTAAGAGGTTTTTAAAAGACTTAACAAATTAAGTCAAAATAATAGTCTTAATTTATATAAATTTAAAAATAAAATATTTTATCGAGCTTTTTTTAGCTTATAGAAATGATGACTTTTAAAAGACTGATCATTTTTAAAGCTATTTTTAAATATTAAAAAAAAACTGGTTAACATCAGGATTTATCAGATAGGATTAATACAATTTTCAGAGGCAGCAAAGCTTGAACACCTTACTTTTTCAATTAAATGTATTATAATTTCTTAAAGCAAAATAGTTTTCTTAAATGAGATCATGAAAAAATGTTTAAAACAAATAGAAAAGGTGATAAAAAGTTGAATAACGTCTCAGAGTTACATTGCGGCAAAATAAAGTGCTTAGAGTATGGAGTTTTTTAAAGTCTGCACTTTAATTTCAATTTAAGTTAAAAAACACCAATAAAAACTAAGTGGCCCGGCAATTTATGGAGGAAAAGTGTCTGATATTTTCCCGCCAAGTAATGCTACCCTTTGCTAGGGCATAAAATGTGCATAAAAAAATGAGAAAAGAGACTTGGAAATTGTACGAAAATGTCCAGGGCCGGGAGAAAAAAAAAGTTGATTGCCTGAACAGGTGAATGGCAATGGGGATACTGTTTTTCCCACCCCGCCGACCACGAATTTTCCTCGGATTTTCCAACCCCGCCTGCAAGTCCTTAAATTAATCCCACAGTGAAGCACTTTAAACACAAAAAAAAAGGTGGAAGAGGCAAAAAAAGAAAATCACTTCAAGTGTATTCTTCTTTAAGAGGCAACAACTACATTTGCTTATCGGATTTATCCTCTAACACTCATCCCCCGACCCTCCCCTCACCCTATGCAACTTTGACCTCTCACCCCCTTCAACTGGCCGTTAGCCACTTTTCGGCTTTTTGGAAGCTGCCAGCGGACCGAGTTGTTGAATGATCAAAGCGGCGGATTTATAGGATTTATGTGCTACCCTTGGCTGGGCATTAAGCAGGGAAAACGCAGGGGAAAAACCCGGGGGAAAGCGCAGGGGGAAAATACCAGGGGGGTGGGACACCGGCAGAGACGCGCTTTTTGGCTGGTTACAAAAACACTTAACGCCTTGCAGTCCATTAAATGGAAATTTGTCGCCGATCCCCTGGACCGAAATGTACTCGTCGTTGAAGGCAGAAAAACTGAAAACCGAAAACCGAAAACCAGAGAAGTGTGATTTCCAGGGGCGGGGACTTGGGCAGTGTCACTTAAGTTGAATTGTTTGCCTGCCGCGTTAAATGGACAGCGGCGGCGTTAATTTGATTTAAATATTCATAAACTGCATTAAATGGCCGCGACATTAAAACGAAACCAGCAGGAAAACAATTGACAAATTATTGGCAAAACAAAAATAAATTAAAGCGAAGGTTGCAGGAAATGTAAAACCAGTAATTCACAAAATGGAAGAAGTCGGATAACAAATTGGATCAACGGATTAGCAGCAAAGTTTTAGCTAAATGATGTTTTGCCATTAATATATCGAAACACGTTCTAAACATATACTCCAAGTAAAAACAAATTAATTACCCATAATAAAAGAAAACAATTTTTAGTAAAACATGGAATTGTAAAAATTCAACTTAAAACATATTGTTTTGTGTTTACATTTAATATACAAAAAACAATTTAAATATGCGATCAGTGATTTTTTGTGACAAATTTTAAGTTACACAAAACTTATTCAATAAATCCAAAAAAAGAGATCTACTACTTTATTGTCTTTTAATACTACTTTAATATTTATCGCAACTTAAATGATATCCTGCGGGTGTTTTAAAGTATTCCCTTCGTTCGAATTTAATTACTCCAGAATTCAGAGGCTTGTTTTGCAGCGCAATCGATAAAATTAAGCATTCAGCAATGCGTATCTATTTGCACACATCATAAATATTAAATTCCCACAAAAATACAAACAAAAAAAAAAAACAAATTATATATATAAGGCACACAAATACCCACAAACACACACACACACACACAGGCGTCGAGACTCACGTGGAGAAAAAAGGACACAAGCAAACAAGTGCGAGACAGAAAGAGAAGGACGAAAAGGAAAAAATAAAAGTTCACTTGATTAATTTTTCACACTAATAAAGAATTTATGTGCAAGTGTCAACCTGCACTGCATGTGTGTGTGTGTGTGTGTGTGCGAGCAGGTCAAGACAGAGTTCTGGCCATCTTCCATCTCCTTTACCCTCTTTCATTCCAACCCCCTCCCCCCTTTGGCGGCTAGGCTCCTGGCCTAGGTCGTGGCTAGAAAGAGATGGCACCAGGTCCTGGCGCTGCATAATTTGATGAATGACTGCGCATATTAATTCATAAATTAATTTACTCTTGCGTTGTGGTGCAAAATTTATTGGCCAACAAACTGTTGCGAATTCTGGTCAGGAGTGTTTTCCGCATTTTGTTAGTCCTGCAGAGGGCAATAAATGTATATTTGCAAGATGTTAAATAGGATTCATTCTAGTTTTAGGGTCCTTTTGGGAGCTGGAAGTTATCAAAACCAGTTTTGACCACTAGTTACATATTATAGGCCACTTAAGACAAATATTAATATCTCTATTTTAGGCTGTTTTATCAGCCATTTAATTCATCATTTATTTGTTTATTTATTTGTAAACTTAGGTATAAAATAAAGCTACAGAAAAGTTGTCAACCAAAGCTGCTGGGTATTTCGACTACCTATAACTTCTTCTTTTTTATAAATATTAAGTTATTACATAATATACAACATATAGGACCAAACATAATAAATTTTAATTGGCTAGGATATTGTATTGGGGGATAAACATTGAGTTCTTAGCCGTAACAAAGAAAGGTGTATCAAGAAATAATACCATAAAATATGTAGAATGTTAGCGGTGAAAGTCAAAATATAAAAATAAAACACATTAAATTCTTGAATACTAATTCTATGAACTTAGGTACTGAACTCTTAAAGCTGTTTTAAAAAACCGTCCTATAAAATAAAAGAATTTAAAAATATATCGTAGAGCTTTACAATCGTTTAGTGAAAATACAAATTCGTATATATAAAGTAATATGTTTGCTAACTATTTAAAACTACAATTAGGGACCGACTTAAGATCCCAAGTTCTCCAAGTTCTTCCATTTGTTTGGCCTTTATGTCTCGGCCCAGAAGAAGTAATTTCTTTGGCATCCCGTATTGGAAGCACGCATAAACGTGGCCATTAAGAAAACTGTCGCACTGGTAACAAGACCCCCTCCCACCCCCTCCCTCCCGTTTTGCTGTCAGATTATTTGCACAAAGCACCCCCCCTTCCCCTGTGCCACGCCCCCACCGAGGACGCCCCTTTTCGACCAAGTTTAAGCGGAAATAAGGGGTCGGCCATGGTCGAATGGTAAAATGGTCGACTGGTCGAATGGGCCAAGACGTCATTAAGAATGCACAACATTTTGATTTCTACAATGGCCGCCGCCCGGTTAATGCGGACCTCCTTGGGCCGAAAAGAGACAGACAGCTGCGGAGAGAGGGAGACGGATAGAGCGGGGGCGACAGAGAGGGGTAGAGCCTTACACAGAGATAATACAATTATGGAATTTTAATGTGGTATATAAAAAAAAAAGACTTTTGAAATCATCCTAACTTTATTTTGAAGACCAATAACTTAAGATTTCATTATACAAACTTTCATTTGTGTAAGATTTTTAAGGCTTATAAATTCCATTTCAAAATCTGCATCATATTTTTAACCTTATTGTTACCATCTTTAATTTACAGTTTTTGTTTTTTAACATTGTAAGCCCACAGGTTTTAATAACAAACAATTGTTTTCGTAAAAAATTTTTAAATTGGATATTCCTGACTCCAAAGTTGGACATTAGAATTCTGATGGCCAGGTTTTGACTTAGGTGTTTTCTATTTATTTGGTTCTTTACTGGCAATCGTTTAGAGTTTTATTTTCAATATTTCCAAAGTAAGTGATTTTTTAAACTTTGTGCTAGTTTTTGTCTGGGTCGCAAATAATTCTTTGAATTTAAAAGAAAATGTTTGAATGCCCATTATTTTTCCTGTGTATCCGCTGGGCCGTCGAATTACGCCTTTCGCCTGGAAATGGGCCGCAAAACGTGAGCGATGCCAATGCCGATGCCGATGCCTTTTGGCCATGTGGGTTCCATCTCATTCACACTTAACCCCCTCCATTTCCGTCTTTCGTTTTCGTCGTGCGGCGTTTTGAAGTTTGTGCGCATCTAAATAATTGATTAACTGAAAAATTCGTGCGAGTTTCGTATACAGAAGGAGTTTGCTGCATGCACAACATATATACATATATATATATATATATATATGTATATATATCTATATATAAAATATAAAATCGATAAGACTGGAATAATAAAGACGACGACGACGGCGACGACATGAAGATGAACAAGCGGGCACGGGATCCAAAAAACTTTTGATATTATTTATTTAAAAACCTGCTAGTGGAGCGGTGGGAAAGTGGGATGTCCGTAAAAATCAATACAAGCCGAGCTGGTTAAAGGCTTTAAGGTTCCAGGATACATTAAGTCCTTGCTTTTCTCAAAAAACAAAAATAAAATAAACAAAACACAATCAAACATAATTGCTGCAGTGGCACATCAATCTTGACACAATACTATCGCTGTTTGTTCCGTCTTTTCAGAGTCGTTTATTAGAAGATGCTTCCCTATTATGCAATTCGTGGTCAGCACGTCAGAATGTAAGTTATCATAAACACTACAACTACAACTACAACAAACCAGTAATCCAGTTAACCAGTAAACCATGTTTGTCTTGACTTGATTGATTTTCGTTTTCTGAAATTCATTTTTGATACGTATACATTTGATCTCGCTCGCCGACGCCGACCTATATATATACACAATGCCTCAGTATATCTATATGTATGCCAACGTGTATCTGACATCGAACTTTGCCTTTGTTTAACCCAAAAATTCGAATTGGATTTGGGTGATATTTGTTCTCTATTCCCAATTCCCTATTGTTTCGATTGTGTTCTTGCCTGCGGACCATATAACCATGTATATCCCTGCATCCCCAAAACATATTGCTATCACTACCCTTCCTTCTTTTCGATCACTGATTCCACTGACCAGCGATCTTCTTTTCTCCACTCCAGGGTGATATCTTCGCGGGCATCAACGACGGCATCCTCAGCAGAGCGGAGGCCCTGGCCGCCGTCGACATCCAGAAGCATCAAGCCCAGCATGTACATAGCCAAATGCCCTCCCAAATCAAGCACGACGTCATGTACCACCATCACTCCATGAGTGGGCCCCCGCAACGTCCATTGCAGGTGAGTGAATCACTCCAAAGTAATATAATGTTTGGGGGTACTAACCAATTTTAATTCAGATATAGGAGACCTCCTTAACATCTCTTTAAGCTACTCTTTCTATCACTTTCTTTTGACCTGCTAAGACTTCTTTAATTGGTATAATGATAAATCATAAATATTTTAATCACAAAACAATACAAATTAGTAAAGTTAGTAGGGCTCACATTGAATGGGTATTATGTTCACTTTTGGAATTTGAACAGATAAAGTCTGAGTGACATTACAATTTAGCTTTAAGAGCTAGACTTACTAAAAATATTAACTGTTTTATTTTTTTAAACCTCCAGTTAACAAGTCCAAGTCTGTGAGAAAGCTTAAATTATCAGCAGCTTATAACAGAAAATAAAACAACCTTTAGTCCATCATTTCTCTTTAGTAAGTCTTCAACGTACTTGTGTTCTATAAGCTTTTAAAAGGAAACAATTCCTACGACATCCGTTTAAATTTAACATCATTCTCCACTTTAATTCCAGAACCACTAAATATTAAATGAATCGAAAATGTATTCCTAAAGCTTTAGTTTTTAATAACCATTATTTATTAAAAAACGACCTGTCTAGGAATCTGTTATAATACTTTAAATTAAAACCTTTGTTGTTTTAAGAACTTGTCTTATGGGAACCTATAATTTACCTGTAAAATAGTAGTTTCATTTCAAATCCATCACATCGTTGTTTGATTAGCCAGGACAGCATATATGTATTGGGCAAAAGTCCCGTCCGGAAGTTGGAATCCAATGGTTGATTGAACCCAACCAGACCCCCCTCCCCTTCCCTCACTTTTTGTGGTCACCTCTTTGTAAGTGTATGGGTCGGATATGGAGTATTAGCCAGTATCTAGAATGCTGTGCTGCAATTTATGAAAGTCACTCCGTGATGAAGAGGTGTATTGGTGGGGGAATGGATTCGGAATAGGAATCGGAATCGAAATCGGAAACGGAAAGGGCAACTGTCGCATTGGGACAGCCGAGAACTTCAATTTCCGTTTTCGATGGTCACACGCATGTCTATCCACAGACACACACGAGTACGCCTGTGTGTGTGTGTGTGTGCGGTTAATTTGAAATGTTTCTTTAATAAAATTAAAATTGTGACGTGTAAGCCTTCTGGGAACGTGCCACGTGACGGTCGTTTGCCAGGTAAGCACATCATGATTCGTGTCGTTAATTGTATTGTACTTCAACTCGAACTGGGCGTTCCGCAGCGAAGAACTTTCCAAAGGGGGTTAAGGCCCGCATGGTGGTTGCTGCTCTATTAGAAGTTGATTGTAATCAAATTACACAAGCAACCTGTTCTTTGTCCGGGCCTCCAGCTAGTTGTTCTAGTTGCGTTGCTCGTGTTGCTGTTGCTGTTGCTCTAGCTGGTGTTGCTGCGGTGCTCAAGTTGCTGCTGCTGCTGTTGCTGTTGCTGTTGCAGTTGCCACTTGTTTTCGGCACAATCGAGCATGACGAAAGTGCGCCCTGTCCGCGGTGGTTGATGTGGTTGTGGACAGCCTACCAACCCACCCGTAGGCAGAATAACCCCCCACCCAACGCGAGTGGCAGTCCCTCCTGGCACATAACCCATAACCCATATCCATTCCCAATTGCCAGCGCGTGCTGTCCTTAATTTTCGGCGAACACACTCGCAAGCAGCGCTCGAGTGTTTCGATTTCGATTTCGGTCTCAGGTGCCGGCCAACTCTATCAATCACCCACACTCCAGAGTCCTCAAACACCCCCGATATATCTCCAGTCCCACTCCGCACACGATCTCCGATTCGATTGTTAACAAATTGGCTGTTCCGGGAAGAGGGTGCCCATAAAAAGGCTTATTAATGAAGACTGGAAATCAAAAAGCTCTCCGGTCTCAAAGTCTCGAATAACAACAGCAACTTTAGATGATTGGTAAAGAAAGAAAGACTTGACAAATTGTTTACAAACAAAATAATTAAAGAACACAAATAAAATTAAAGTTATTTTAGTGACAAAACATTTTCTCTTAAATCAAATGGTCATTCACAAATAACTCTTTCGTGAATAGCATATATTTTAAGAAAGATAAGTTTATGTATAAGCAAATACAAATTAATATTTAGTAATAAAGAATTGATTTATAATTTCAATATATGAAATTTGTGAATGTTTGGAGTTCTTTGCTCTGTTCTTAATCATTTCTTAATAACTGCCAATGAAGCTAAATTATTTGATTTACATTATTTGCTGCGTAAGCTCATTTAAACCTTCCTTTAAAACCATTATCATTTCCGTTAAAATCACCCGATTTAAATGGTCTCTTACCCATGGCTTCTGCATTATTTTAGGACTTGAAATACCGCTAGTGCTTTGGAGAACCAAACCTGGTCATAACCCTTCGATGGGAGACTTGACACATTGTGGCAACCGCAAAGCAACTGGGCAACTGACCCACCCAACCATAAGTCCGCAGTCCCACATCAAATATTGAGACCCCAAAGCATGACTATGTGGGAATAGCCCAGTGGGAAACAGCTGGACATTCGGCGCTGTAGTAAAGATATGTCATACCCCAATATTTGGTACATCGAAAATAGTTTATTTTTAATGGCGAACATGGGGAACGTTGCAGCGGGCGAAGTCCTGGCGCATCTGGTGCAATCCCTCGCCAATTTTACCCAGTTCGCGGATCATCTCCAGGCGATCGCGGTAGATCTGTTCGTACCGCTGCCTTTGCCTCAGGAAACTGGCATGATAGCGTCGCCACTCCTTGATCAAATCATCGGCTGACTCCAATCCATTCCCGATGGAGTGCTGCTCATTAAGATCGCCCTTCAACTCGGCCTCCAGTTTTGTTTTAACCTGTTTTATTTTGGGCACATCGCCTGGTGTTTGATTAGCCTGGGGTTCGTAATGCTGCAAGTCCTTCAGGAATTTGACATAATAACGTCGCCACTCCTCGATCAAATTATCAGCTGACTTCACTTCATCTCCGACGGCATGGTGTTCATGAAAATCGGTCTTCATCTCGGTCTCCAGTTTGGCTTTAACCTCTTTTGTTTTAGCCCCAGCGATTAATTTTTTGAACATCATTTTTGGGTTTGGTTGGTGTTTTTGCTTAGGCCTCTTTTTGAGCTTAGGAATCACATCCTCTTCAGTCTGCCTTATAACATCTGACTTGATTTGTGACATCAGTTCTGGCTTAATGTGCGATTCAATTTCTAGTGTTTTAACCTCCACTTTCTTTAATGGTATAACCTCCTGTTTGGTCTTAACGTATGGATTTTCTATATCCTTTTTTGTTGACCTAAACTCTTTTATACCCTTTAGTTTAGTTTTTGAAATAGCCTCGGGTCTTGACTGGGACATAGTTGTTGGCATCTTTTTTCCTTTTGCGATGGCCTCTGGTTTTGCAATACCCGCTGGTTTGAGTAGAGCATTCAGATTTGTTATAACCTCTTGTTTATTCTGTGGTATATCCTCACGTTTTGTCTGCTCTGCTTGTATCATAACCTCTGGTTTTGGTATAACCTTTAGATTTGCTATAACCGCTGAAATAACATCTGGCTTAATCTGTAAAACATCCTCTGCTTTTGATTCCGGCATTAGTTTTGCTCTATCCTCGGCTTGTCCTATAACCTCTGCATTTGTTATACCCTCAAGATTTGGTATAGCCACCGATTCGTTTACAATCTCTGGTAGTGGTTCAATTCCTGACTTTGCCACTTGTTCTTCTTTAACCACTGATTTCACCTTTCGCTTTGGTTTTGGCGGTACCTCCGGTTTTACTCTAATCTTAGTTTGTTGTTTAACCTCATGTTTTTTTATGGCTTCCGCCTGCACATTTAACTTTAATGCTTTCCTCAAAATACAACATAAGCGACTATGATTTTGGACCTGACAAATTCTCACTTCTGGCCAGGAATGTCCTTTTCGCATTCCATGAACTCTATAGGATAGCATTCTTCTTTGTTCGCCAAAAGCAGTTTTAATTTTGAATCCTTAAAGCTGTTTAAATATATAAATTTAAATTTATTTTGTTCTAAAGAAGTTTATTTTAACATCTAACCTTTTACTTATAACGTTCTGATTTCTTCTAATATTTTCCGGAAAATGAATCGAATTGAGGATGACAATTAATTCAGAGTATCATTGTTTATCAACATAGTATAGTATAGTATCAACAAATAGTCATAGGAACAACACTTTCTTGACGTACAAAAAAAAAAACTTTTAAAAATATCAAAATAAAACTAACGATATTTAAATAATACTCAAGACCTAAAAATATAACCTCTTAAGTTAAGAAATTAAGCTACAATCAGTGCTTTTTACCCATACTTTTTACTGCCCATAGTTTGTTTTTAAGATAACTAAAATAGTTAATAGTTTTCCCATGGGTTATTTGTATGGATGTAGTCCCAGTCGAGTAGTAGCTATTTTCCAAGGTAAAGTTTTGACAGCCTTGGTTTTCAAACTCCTGATAATTGTGATTCAACTTGCCACCTGAACTCTCGCCTCCCCCAAACCCTTTCGCACGGAACACCCCAACTCCGTGGAGAAACTCAGTTACGGAGATGGAGAGCTTGGCTGTCAGAAAGTCTGGTAACATGTGTCATAATCGTTATGCCAGAAGACAGAAGGCCCCCAGCGTTATGGCTATGGCCATGGCTGTGGCTGTGCCACCGGCACAACAACATTACAAAACTCATTAAATTAAACTAATTTACGAGCCCGCAGCCCCAATCCAACTGGTTTGCAACTGGTTCTCGGTTTTGCGAGCATATGAAAAGCCAATTATGTGGAGAGGCAATCGCAATAAAAACGAGTCGGCGTCGGTGGCGGCAAAAGGGTAAACAAGAGTAAATATAATGCTAATTAAAATAATCATATCCATCATAAAACTCGCTGCTCAGTGGGGTGGGTCCAGAGTTCAGAGTCGAGAGTCGATAATCGAGGGTCCAGGGATTGTTGTCAGGTTGTCAGAACATTTGTAACAATTACGGCAGCGGCAAATATCCATTATCAATTTCAGCCCAACTGTGCCAAATGAGCAGGGGATAAGTTATTTTTCGGGATGAGCCGGGCTGGCCACTTTGCAGGCATTTATCACAGATTTTTCCGGTGCCGAACTTATGCTCCGATCTGGTTATTCTACATTTTCCGGCCTCGCAACCCTCGCCCCAGTTCACTTAATTCAATTTAAATTACACTTACATATTTCCGGCCGGAGCACGGGCATATCCTGTCCATTAGTATTCGCAACATATGGCTCAATTTCCCTCGAATCGCTTTCCAAGCACGCACCGCCCAAAGGAATACTGGATTCAGGATTCAGGATTTGGGTTCAGGTCGCAGTTCCTGCAGTTCCAGCAGTTCTTGCAGTCCAACCAACCACAAGTGGCTTATATTGAAATTCATTTAGTGCACCTGTTTGATTTTTCCTGTCCCGTGCGGTCGGCATATTGTTTTGTAAATATCGTTAACTCACCATTGCCACTCCACACGCAAGCCATCTCCATTTCCATTCCCATTTCCACTTCCGCTTCCTTTGGCCCTTTGTTTTTATTTAGTTGGCCCAGCGGCGACAGGCGACAACAGCAAATATTTGTGTTTTGTGCACATTAGAAACAACTTACCGCTAACTAGGGTGGCTGCCAGGGTGGACCTTCGGGGGATCCCCGGCGAAGGCTCACAGGAAAATATCCCGGGTGCTGATGAAATGTATGTTCCCAAAAAGAGAAACTAAATAATGTGTTTGTAGTTGTGGGCTTTATATTTTTTTGGGATTCGAGCTCTCCTTTACTCGCTTTATTTTTCTGTACGTGTGAACTATCAAAGTTGGTCAAAAGCTCCCTTAGCCATGTACTCATTAAAATTAGTAGTAGTGTCAACTTATCAAAAAAAAAGACAATTTTAATATTTTATTATGAACTTACTCCCGCCATTTTTAAAATTCAATAGGAATAGCTACTTACGTTTTAAAAACGAAATATTGCCACTCATTTATTGAAAACATTTAAATAGTAATTTTTATAAGTTGGTCTCTGAGACCTTTAAATCGAGCTTGAAGTTTCTACTGTAATTCCTAAGGTGAGATAATTCCTATTTGTGTAACTTTCACTTTTAGTCAATTGCATTAAAAGGAAATTTAAAAACTCAATTTTTCCGAAGATTAACATTACGCCGCTTTTTTTGGAAATGACAAAAAAGTTTTGATCGCCTTAAAATGCAATTGTTTGAGGTATCCTCTCTCCAGCAATATCATAAATATTTTACGCGCACCACATTTAAAGATCTCAGTCCATTTAAAAACAAACAACAAAGTATTCCACTTAAGTGCATTAAAACTAAAACAATAATCGCAGCCATTTAGAAACGTTTTAGAACTTACTGCAATTTTGCTTAAGTCGTTTTACAAAGTCGAATTGCAATTCAAACAGAAGGCGACGTTCACGCATTTAATTCTTGCATAGCGGACATTGAACTTTACTTTTCTCCTTTACTGGGGAAATGCGACTTTTTCGAAGCTAAAAAGCCAACTAAACAAACTTGTCCGTCAGCAAATGCATTGGGCAAACAACTGATGACATTTTCTTCTGTCCGGAAAATCGTTTAAATTGGCCAATTATCGATTGACGTAATGCTTATCGTCTAGCCATTAGAAGCAATGTCTGGTTATCGATTACGCTGCCATTTATCGTCGGCTTGATTGACTTAATTAAATGTGTAACCATATGTAATGTTGACCAACTGAGAGCCATAAAAACCGTAGCCACAATATGAACTCATCAAATATAGAAGGAATTATGATTATTAATGCATTAACTTTATTTAGTGGCCGGTCGGGCATGTTGACGTTGTTTTTGCTTAGGTGAAAGTTCAATGTCTGTCTGTGAAGTGAGCATGTTTTCCATTTATTTATTTTATTATTTGCGCTGTGCAGAAAGCTTTGTGTCATCCAGTGACAATTTACCGAGCCCCCCCCCCAAACCCCGACTCCATAGTCCTCCACTTTCCCCTCGATGTTTCCTTTATTTATTTATTTAGTTTCCTTTTCTTCATCAATTATTTAGGTCCTGTATGTGTTCGTCTTTTTTATGGCCGAGACAATTGAAGGCACGGAGCACAGGGACATTCCGAGGGAGTAGAAAAAAAGAAAAAGAAAAAAAAGAAAAAAAGAAAAAAAAGAAAAAAAGAAAGAAAAAAAAAAGAAAAAAGAAAAGAAAAGAAAAGGACAGCGACACCAGGACACTACCATCGCTCATCCGCCAGGTGGCACCGCACCACTAGTTAATAGTTCCACTCAATTACACGCAACGGCGCATTAGGATTTCGACTACAAATTGCACTTTCTCCTTGCAGTTTAATGCATTTTTAATGGCCCGCTTCAAGAGAACCCGCTTTTAGCCCTAATCGCCTGATTGGCCAAATTGCAGATTACAATCGGCTCAGAGCTCTTGCGGTAAATCGAAAAACAAGACAAATCGGAATTAAACTCCCACCAACAACCAACTCAAGCTTAAGAAACGCTTTTGTAAATGTAAGCTATTACATTTACAAAAGCGTTTCTTAAACTTGAGTGCACCTTGAACCAATCAAAAGAGTGTTTTCAAATTAATAAGCTGCGAAATCGCAAGGAACTTCGCATTATAATTACTACTTGTAGATTTGCCTAAAAAGATGAAAGAAATGGCCTAATGGAAAGACTTTGATTTATCTCCTACAAAATCTAATATTTTTCTCTAGTTAATAAATATACATAGGTCTAATAGCTATCGAAATATCCTAAGTTTAAAGACTTACTTTAAATTAAAACAATTTGTAGAAATTACTCATAATATGTTGCAAATTATTTTAATAAAACTAAAATATTTAGGAGTTTTTAACAGATAAATCTGTAAATCAAGTTTTTCAATTATATGGTCCAAGTTTCAGATTTAAGAATTTAAAAAATATATGAATACGCTATGAGCTAAAAATAATGCCTTTAATCATTTTCAAATAATATCTGCAAGTGTTTACTTATAAATTTCAACTGCTTAAAGATTTTTTTTAAAACTCAGGGATGGCTTTTTAACCAACATCTGTCCACACTTACACGCACCTTGATAAATCGGCTCTAACTAAGTCGAACCCCCTGCCCCCAAAAAAAAAAAAGGGTTGTGACAGTTAACAGGTTAACCTGCTTAAAATGCACATCAACGCATCACTTGACCCACAATCCCCGCACTTCCACATCCACCCCCGGACTTCCCCGGTAATGTATGGCATATGTAGATGCCAGACTCTCCGGGACCAACTTCACAATTATCAGTTACAACTGTGACGAGGGATGGTCGCGGCAAATATGTTTTCTTTTTTGCTGTTTGCCGTTTTTCAATAAGACTGTTATTTACTTACACCGAAGTGAGCATCAAATTGATCGTATTAATGGCCATAACTAGTTTATCCCGCCCATCTTATCAGGGGCGGATTATACACGCAGATTTCCATTACAGAACAATGGGGGGGTGGCATGATATTGGGATGATATTCCTGGGAGGGGTCGGGTTGCGGGGTTATCTATCAGCCAAACGGAACATTAATGCAATTTCAATGAACCTTGCTACGGTCAAAACATCGAGCAAAATCCGGGGAACACTCTTTTTCGATTTGCGGCCTCCTGTTCCGGGACCAAAATCCACATCCAAACCCAACCCAACCGAAACCCACCAGAAAACCCACCCACTCAGAGCCGCAACCACCACGAGATGCCATTCCACCTGCCCGGCTGTTTGATCCGCTTGTTTTTATGCCCGTGCCCGGCACACAATTTGTTTTAGCCGTGTGGAGTAGAGAGGTAGATGGGTAGAGAGGTAGAGGGGTGGGGGGTTATTTTCCCTGATCCCGGATCCCCGGACCCGGCATCTCCCACAGGAATTCCCAGGCAATATAACTGAAAGCAAAAATGAAGATAACAGTCAGCACGGCAAGTGCAAATCCACCCGTCCATTTAACAACTTGTGCCACCCCACACGCCCACCCGAAATCCACTCCTCGATGTCCTCCTCCTTTGGTCCTTCCCCTTCCCCTTCCCCTTCCCCTTCCCCTTCCCCTCCCTCTTTCCCTTTTTTCGGCTAAACCAACTAACTGCCTTTTTACTCGGCGCGTCTGTGGGCGATTGGCGTGGCCCTGTTTGATGCTTGTAAAGACCACTTTACCCGCTATAATAAAAATAAATCATAATATTTCCCTTGCCCCCCGTGACCCCGCCCCTGGGCACAGTGGGCCGGATCTTTGATTTTATGGACTTTAAGCTGGCCTTTGTCGGGATTGGGACTTAAAGTAGGTTGGTTTATCAGCGTTTACGCTTCAGCATTAATTCTCATTAAATTTCAATAGTTTTTTATGGCTTGCTTATTTATAGTAACACATTTAGTAATTTGTTTTAAAAAACTCTTTTGGGGGTAAAATTTGTAAAATAAAATTTATTTCTAGTTTGAGTACTGAGTATTTTATTTATTATTTTAAATACAAGTTCTTAAATGTTTTTAAGACAAATTTTGAAAGTATTTGTACAAATTAAACCAACTAACTAAATCTTATCGTTTTTTAATAACGAATGTCTAGCGCTTTAAAATGTGACAAAATCCTTTTTTTATATACATATATATATATATCAAATATGATATGATATGATATGATATATATCAAATATGATATGATATGTATGATATATATATATATATAATATCATATTTGATATATCATACATGAGGTGAACTGAAGGTAAATGATATTTTCAGGTAGATAGGTTATATCAATTTCCCCCACTGTTCTACCATATCCCAACCACTGTGCCATTGTTTCTCTTACCATGTTTCCACCAGTAAATTCTGGATGCTGGCTGCGTACGCTTCCCCGGTTCTTGTTGCTCTCGCTGTTATCCCGTAGGTTGTAACCCCGGATAATGTACTTAATGCATCTACATATTAATGTCGCACCGCCGGAAAAGGGAAGGTGAGGGGAGGGTGAAGTGCAGGCAAAATAACGGGAGGGGGAATACGGTGAGATGAGGGGAGGTGGGGATGTGGATGTAAAAAACCTGTGCAACCCCCGGCTCCCTCGTGTTCGCTACTTTGTATGTAATTTCTATTACCACCCCCTCCCCCTTGGGCGTACGTGGAATCCCCCGTGTCCTTGTGTGTTTCTATGTGTGTGTGTGTCTGATTGTTCGTGTGCAGCGTGTCGTTGTGCTTTTTGTTGTTGTTTTTATTGCACAGACTTGCGACGCAGCGTGTGATTGCCACTTTCCCTCTGCACTACGAAAATAAATTTCCCAATTTTATCTCAAAATAAAAATGTAATTTTTTGTAGTTTTAAGGATAACTGAGTCAAGGTTGGAATATCTTTTAAAATTGTATATTGTATTGTCTTGCAAAAAAAGTAAGCTGTGAAAAAGATGGTTTTTTATTTTGAAGCTATAGCGCCTAAATACTTAACTACCCTAGTAAATATTTGCGTTACATTTATTCTTTATTCTAAACATGATTCTTTTATTTTTTAAATTAATTATAAACAAGAAAGGAAGCAAACTTCGGAAAACTGAAATTTATATACCCCTGCAGCTATAAAAAATGTAATATTCTATAATAATAACTTAAGAAAAATATAGGTCGAATGTTGGAATGTCATACCTCGTTGAATTCGTTATAAAATTACCAAACAAGTGGCGTTCGTAGCTAACAAATTGTTTGTTTTTTAGTTTTCCCAAAAAAATTTAAAAAAAAAATGGCCAAAATCGGGAAAAAATCAGTTCGATTTTTCGGCTTTTTTATTAAATATAGAAATAGTGATCGAATGTTGAAATTTTCTCCCAATGCATTTTGGTTTTTGTTTTTCCGAGTGTTCCCTCCCCCTTTTCCACTTCACCCTCCTCACCTGAGCACCACCGCTGCACTTGTTCATCGCCGTGTGCGTGACGTGGAAAAAAACACGCCGGAGAGGGTAGTTGGGTGGTTGGGTGGGTGGGCCATGTTTCCCCGGCCATAGTCCTATTGATATGTCTCCCAGTAGAGAAGGCCGGAAAGCAGCCGGTAGAAGAACCGTTAAGCTGGGACCGCAATGTGTAAAAAATTACGAGCAACATTGAAGTGGGAAACAAAAAAAAAAAATTACAACAGGAGTGGGCGGGAAACGTTGGCAGGTGGTCGCTGGAGGCGGGAAAACTCCGGACTTGCCGGTTTTCCACAGCTCCTTCATTATTTTCTTCTCTCACGCGTGATGAGCCAGCAACAATATGTTGCCATTAACCCTGAAACTTATTGCAGTGTATGCGTGCGTGTTGGTTGTTGTTGGTCGGCGAAGTTTATGAGTCGTCTGTCAGGAGTCGTACACTTAAAGGAGATTGGAAAATATTTCGGAATATTACCAGTAAAGCAGATCGATTAAATGGAGTGAATTGTATAATATACTAATGCTCAATGATATATGTTGGTAAAAATATACCGAGGAGGCTGTTTAAAAATAAGTGAAACTATTATATTTAAATTGAATTTGCAAATAAAACTTGTGCTTTTCTTTTCTTGTAAGGGAATTCTTTTTTATTTTGTTTAATTTTTTTAATTTACCATTTTTATAAAATATATTAAATGGTTTTTTAAAAAAATGCTTATAAATAGCTTTGCACAACGGAAATTTTTTATTTTTGCAAAAATTTCAACTTATTACGCAGGATTGGTTTTTAAATGTTGGTTAGTGATAAAAAATAAAATATGTTGTATAAATTAAATTGAGTTTCTTATAATTTAATTTTCTTGACCAATTTTGATTTATTATTAAAGGACCTCATTTCCGAAGATATAAAAATTAAATAACCATCAGAGTTATATACATTGAGTTTGAGAAGAATGGAATGTCCTGTTAAATTTGTTTTAGCTAAACTCTTAACTAGTATTATCAATATTTATCAATAAGTAAGAGAAACTAAGATTTATGGGTATGGGAAACTTATTTTGCACACTCCCCTAAGAATGTCGAACCTTTTTGCCTGCCAAACGGCACTTCGGGCAGTGTAGAATGTCCTGGGAATTCCCTTGAAATTCCCCTTCCCCCCTCTCCACCTCCCCCCTCCCCAGGACGCTGCTGATCGGAAAGGCAGGAGCAAAAGGTAAAAAGTAAAAGTAAGTAAGGCCACGGCTCACATCCCCCCTTCCCCTTCCCCTCCCCTTCCCCTTGGCCGCTGGCAGCGCGTCTGGCGGATATAAAAATAAAATAAAATCTATTACGTGGCGAACCACCCCACATTTATGCGGCAATTTGTTGTTCCTTGATTGTGTCTGTGTGTGTGTGTTTGTCGCCGGGGTGTGTGTGTGTGTAAAATAAGCAAAGTGTATCATTTTCCCATTTGTCGACCCCTTTTCGCTTTCCCTGGTCCACAGGCACTTCTCGCACTTTGTCTCAATTCCCAAAACTGTCGCCCCGGCAGTTGCAATTTATGAAGATTTGTGTGTGGCCAGGATGGAAACGAAGGGGAGGACCCAGGATTCTGGGCACTCCATCCACGATTCTGGATACAGGATTGAAGGACTCTGGAGTCGGCCCCGCCCACTCGCTTACGCCCTCGCCCCCATTCGACTGCACTTGTTTTGATTTGTTTGGAATAATAACAGATGCTTACCGTTCATATTATTCATTGTTAAAATTATTAACGCTTGACAATAAAAATTGGTATTTGAACAGCACTCGAGAAAAGGTTGCACCCCTCCAATATTGGCCTGGGTAAATTGCAATTTGTGCAAATATTTATGTACATTGAAAATTACTCATTTGTGTAACACCAATTAATTTCAACAAACAGCGGCAGCCGTACAACAATGGCCAAACCATTTATAAAACTTTGCCGTTGTTGTCCTTTGGCTTGCTGGTTAAACAAATGGTTGGAAAATGAGGTCCTTTGTTTCCCCAAAATAAACGATACTGTTGCTGTAGCTGTAGCTGTTGCTGTTTGCTGTTTGTTTTGCGGTGCCAAGCAGGACACAGGCCACAGGATACTGGACAAGCAGGACCACAGGACCACCACTGTGTGGTACAGTGGAGCCTGCCTCCCTTGCAGGTGCACCCTGCCGAAAAACAGTTCAATCAGCCCCAAAGTTGCTGCGGGGAAATGGTTTATGTTATATGCTATATGTAATATGTTGCTGTGGGGGAAAATGGTAGATGGTCGATGGTATGTGGCTGGGAAGGTGCGATGAACCCAGTGTGTTGGCTCATTATAAGGACACTGCATTCCCTGCCCTCTTCAACACTGTTTACACTGCAATTTTTCAAGTTGCGCTAACAAATTGCAGCTAATTACTGACCCACGAAATGGAATCCCTGCGAAATAAGCTCACATCCAGCAGTGGCGTAAGTCCTGAAACCCTCACAGCAAATGGCACTCGAGAACTTCAAGTTTTCCACTCAATCAGAGATAATAAGAACAAATGGGTATGGGATGGACGAGGGTCGCACAATTTCACAAGGGGAGGACACCTTAAACACTATCTTTTTTCCTGCTCCAAATTGAAGAGCTGAGAGAGCTTATAGCAACATGGTCTAGAAAATATGCATTTAAATTTTAGAAATTGGGATTTCTAGTAACTTCCTTTTCATTTTGGCTTTTCTTAATATTTTTCAACCTTCACAGCTCTGTCTGTCATCAAAAAACTCAATAGAATGTTGTTAAATTTGTTCACAAATAATATGGGGATATGTAATGAGAAATATCAAGCTTTAATCTTTTGCAATATATTGTTCCAATGCCTTGAAAATTGTTCGATAAGGAAATACAATTTTTTATACTTCCTCGGAAACAGGTTTTAAGGCTTAAACAATTTCAGTATTTGAAGGAGTTTTGTTAATGTGATAAGAAAAGTGATTTCTATATTATAAATAAATTAAAACGTTATCCTTACACATTTTAAGACGAGATATAAAATTTATATATACGGAATAACTGGAAATCTTCATGTTCCGTTTCTGAATTAAAAACCTCAACTCAAATGTAAAAATGTAGTTTGTGAAGCGTCAGGCTTTGATTTTTCATTCGTTTAGTTTTTAAAAAAATAAAAGGTCACCATCCCCGAGTCAAAATTTGTTTCAAAATTTCAACGCACCGCAAATAGTGACGATAACGTTGAACAGTCCGGTAAAGTCGAGAGTGCAGTGCAGATCCTGTTCCGATCAAGTCCTAATTCCGCATCCGCATCCGCATTCGTATCCGTATCCGCATGCGTGTCCCATTTAATGTGCGAATTGAGAAAATAACACCTGAAAAAGGATTTAAGATTGCAGGTAGACAGAGTGCGACTGAACGACGACACTAGACCGCGAGCGAGTGAAAGGGAAGGAGAGACAGAAAGCGAGAGGCAAGATACAGAGGTCAAGAGTGCAAGGATCAATATTTACCATAAAAAGTTCAGTGAAAGTAAGTCAACAAAAGGCTTAAAAGATCTTAGATCTTAAAAAGCCAATTAGCTGTTCAATTAGAAACTTACCTTAACGACTGAATCGCTAAATCGTTAAATTTTTGTCAGCTATTTAATACAAATTCATATTTCATAAATTTCGGCATTTAAGCATTCTCTGGGCTGTTGAATCGCTATAAAATGGAGTTGCCTGCCCTTTTTTTTATTAACCAGTCATAGCAAGTGAAAAATACTAGTATCGCGACTACAATTCGAATTAACCATGTTTGTAGGTCCCAAATATTAAAAAAAATTCAGTTTTGTATCCTTCTCTGAATAGCTAAACACTTGTGTTTAATTTTCAGCGAATCAGTCGTTTATGGAATACCCCAAATATTCTAAAACTATTTCCCCTCTAGCATAGAAGTGACTTGGCAACATCAAGTAGTCGGTCAGTTATCTGTCAAGGTTTTAAGAGACGTACAAAAACGAAACGAAAACAATCAAAACGAGAACAAATTGCTGAAATCAAAAAATAAATCAAATTGCCTGCAAGATTGCAGTATTACGAGGTCAAGAGATTATACAAAAGAACAAGTCTTAAGAACAGCAAAAGGAATCACCAAGATATATTGGTAATTGAAATATTTGCATAGTAACCTTGTATTTAATCATTTCACTGACAAATCAGGATTGCAGAAACAAATAGAAAAAGACACACCTCATACAATTTAATACACAAAAGAAGGTTGCAAGATTATCAAATAGCAGAAGAAGAGTAGGACCTAAAGCGGAGCAAAAGCTGTTACTAGAACAACTAGTGTTAGCCCAGGATCAAAGCGGGAACGTGCAGCAGCTCCTCCAAATCCTAGCCAAATCGGTTTCTCCGGGTGGTCCAGAATCAGGGTGAGTCCCTGACCTAAGCAGCACCAACGGCGTCCCAGGCGATTGTGCGATCCAGCCCGGACAACGTTGCCGCGGCACGCAAGAACGAGGTTGCCATGGCCGAGGTGCTCAACCTGGACAGCATCATATCCCGGCTGCTGGAGGTGCGCGGTGCCCGTCCGGGCAAGAATGTCCAGTTGTCGGAGGGCGAGATTCGCGGCCTGTGCCTGAAGTCCCGCGAGATCCTGCTGGCCCAGCCGATACTGCTGGAATTGGAGGCACCGCTCAAGATCTGCGGCGACATCCATGGCCAGTACTACGATCTGTTGCGCCTGTTCGAGTACGGCGGCTATCCGCCGGAGGCCAACTACTTGTTCCTCGGCGACTATGTGGACAGGGGCAAGCAGTCGCTGGAGACCATCTGCCTGCTGTTGGCCTACAAGATCAAGTACTCGGAGAACTTCTTCCTGCTCCGTGGCAATCACGAGTGTGCCAGCATCAATCGCATTTATGGATTCTACGACGAGTGCAAGCGCCGCTATACGATCAAACTGTGGAAGACCTTCACCGATTGCTTCAACTGCCTGCCGGTGGTGGCCATTGTGGACGAGAAGATCTTCTGCTGCCACGGCGGCCTCAGTCCGGACCTGACCTCCATGGAGCAGATCCGCCGCATAATGCGGCCCACGGATGTGCCGGATCAGGGGCTGCTCTGCGATCTGCTGTGGTCCGATCCGGACAAGGACACCATCGGCTGGGGCGAGAACGATCGCGGGGTGAGCTTCACCTTTGGCGCGGAGGTGGTGGGCAAGTTCCTGCAGAAGCACGACCTGGACCTGATCTGCCGCGCCCATCAGGTGGTCGAGGATGGGTACGAGTTCTTTGCCAAGCGCCAGTTGGTCACCCTCTTCTCGGCGCCCAACTATTGCGGCGAGTTCGACAATGCCGGCGCCATGATGTCCGTGGACGACACGCTCATGTGCTCCTTCCAGATCCTCAAGCCCGTGGAGAAGCGCAAAAAGTAGATCTCCGAATTTGCAGACATGTATCACCACTATATCGCTATCGTAACGCCACACTACACCACACATACAGCTCCACTCCTGCACCTACTCCAACACACACTCCTACACCCACTCCAACACCCACTCCAATAACCACTCCCACACCCACTTCCTCCTCCACTATCACTCTCATCCACATTCACGACATGTCGACATCGAAACGAATCCAAATCATGATTGCCAGACATGTCTGTCGTCAACTGGATCGAAGTAAACGCCTTGGACTCCATCTTGAGTCTCCATGGGATTCGATGTACTGATAGTCCTAATCCGCACTTTGGTTGTATATAAAGAAATCTATTGAGTTGAAAGAGTTGTTTACTGATCTTGGGGTTAAATTGGTGGGCTATAGATTGGTAGATATTATATAATAGAAGAATGAAAGTCAGCCTTAACTTCATGTTATTTTCACACTAATCTTTAATTTAAAAAGTATTTCTATTTTAATTCATTTTCTTATGATTTAAGTTATTTCCACAACTAAAAGATGGTAAAAACTATACAATTTCATTTAAATTCAATTGTATTTGACATAATATCTATTATATAAAGTCGTAACAAAAATCGAAATATCTGTTTGTTCTACCAACTTAAATATTACTTAGTAAAAAAGCCATTTAAAACTGGTTATGTCAAAAATCCCCTTACTGTCGTTTATTTTAAATCCTGCCCTAATGCTGCCACCCAGAAAAGTATGCTACAAAATCTGGCAGAAGGAAAAACTCGCCTCTATCTGTTCGTGCTAGGTGACAAAAGTCACCGCCATAATATATTAACAATGCTTAAAAATTAATGAACAATAACAAAGCGCACACACACATGCACACACACAGAGAGGGAGAACGCGATATGGGGAGAAAGAGATGGAGGGAACGTGTGCTGGGCAGACAGATTACAAACAAAAACAAAGACAAAAGATACAACAAATTGCGCCAAAAACGCTTTATTATGTCAAAACAAGATGGAAAAAAATAGAGAAAAGGTACCCAGTGTGACAACAACAAATTACATTATATATATAATGAGGTCATTTGCGCGTAAACAATCGGGGGAAATGCCAGAAAAGAAAATAGGAAAATGAATGCCAAGAGAGATAGAGACGGAGAAACCCAGTCACATGTTTATCAACAAACGGCAAATAAATAAATTATGTTCGCAAATTTGTTAATAAATTATGAAGCGGGCGACCAAAGTCAAAGCTCAAAATTAAAGGAAAGTAGGAAACAATTCTTAGAAGGAAAAAAGTCAACGACAACAGAATGCTCTTTTTTTGGTCTTTGAGGTTTCATAATTAAGAAAAATAAATAGAGGTCAACATTAATAAAAAGGATTAGAAAGTGTATTTCCTAAATATATTTAGAACAAATAGGAAACAAAGTTTTGAGTTGGGTAGTGTATGAATAACTTATAAAAGTATTAGAGATTCCAGAAAGCAAAGGATTAATAATATACCAAGCAGTAAATGTTTTCTTTCTATAAAGGTTTGTTCATTTATGAAAGAACATAAGGAATTGGAAAAGTAAATATCTAACTAGATTTAATGCATTCGTGTCGATCACTATCTATTAATATTTACAAATATGGCAGATTACTCTTATCTCTGTTAACTAATTCTAATTTAAAATATATCAAATAGTGTTAGTCATATATGCCCAACATCCTGGACAAATCAGGACTCACTCACCTATTTTTTGTAGGGTATTTCTTACTTAAAATGGCGTCTTCATGCACATACACACATACACACACATTATGCGCTGTGTGTGAGTGATGCTCGGTTGACGTCGCTGCTGCAGCGCAGATATATGTATATATAAATTTATATGGCCATATATATATAGATGTTGCAGCAGAAAATCAATGCAGACAACATTTGGCAATTTGGCAGCAGTGCAATTGTTTCCTCTTTTTCCGGTTAGCTACTCGTATTTATTTGTATCCTTTCTGTTGCAAATTGTCTTCTATTGTTGCATTTGATTTGTCCTCTGGACAAAAAAAGGGGTGGAGATAAGTGGCATGCCACACCCACACCCCACTCATACCCCTCTTACTCGCACACCCACCTCGTCATCTCGCTCTGTCTCTGATGGTTCAGATCTGGATACATTGTTTTCCATACACTAAGAAAAATAGTACCTTAACTTGGTCAAATTGTTTGATTACATTGATATTTATTGAATCTAAAAAACAGGATAGGTAATAGATTTTTTAAATATATATATATTGGAAGATTAAAGTTTAAGATTAAGTTTTTTTAAAAGGTATTTAAATCATATCTCTGCACTTATTCTTTAAATTTACATTTCAAATACATTTTGTGATTATTTGATAATAGGCCCATGTAATATTTTTGTTATATTAAATGCTTGCCTAAGCATTTAGCTTTCTTTATTAATATTTTATTTAACGATTTTTGTCCTCCTTTTTTATATACTTCTTGGGTTCTTTAAATAGTTTTTTCTTGATTTGAATCTATTCTGATGAAATAAATTCTTTCAAAATGTTAAATGAAAATCTTTAATTATATTTTAAATATTTTTTATAATTGAGCGGATCTGTACTTGATGTAATATTTCTATAATCTTCAATTTTTTTGTGTAGATTTCTTTCGTGTGAACTTTAAGTTAGAATTTGTGCTGCCGTTGGCCCCCTTTGAATAATTTTATTAATTACAAATTATGCGCCTAATGAAATGGCCAGCAGTGGGACTTTTCCGAAAGTGGGTGGGTGGCTGGTTGTGAATGAGGATGCGGATGCGGATGAGGACAGGGACAGGAACAGTGGGTGGTATATCCTTCGATGCCGACGTTGACGTTAACGGTAGCGTTAACGCTGGCAGCGACATCGGCACTGCCCACATGAATTTTGCATAAGCCCCAGCCAACCACAATGCAGCATATCCCGCTCCCCGCTCCCCGCTTCCCCGCTTCCTGCTCCCCGCTCCGGAAAATACTGCTCTACGGCTCTACGGCTACGGCGGGTTTTTGGCCACGGCTGCGACTACGGCTCTGTGGGTCCACGGCCAAGTCTCCGTCTCCTGGTCCGGATCTCCACTCTCTCGCTCGCTCTCTGGCGCCCTCTCCCTCGCGCCAGTCCCCTGATTTTTGGGTCCCGCTTCCCGGTTTTGCGTACGCGCAGGGTGGGTCCATGCTCTCTGCGACGAAAGAGATGGCACTAGCGATGGCGAAAGAGACGGCCTGCTCCCTCAGAACGCCCTAGTAAGAGGGAGATGGGCAAAGAGAGTGAGAGAGAGAGCGGGAGCGAGCGAGAGAGAGAGCGCCAAGGGTGCAAACCAATAACCGTCAGACTAATTTTGGGATTGGTTTATAATTGAAGAGTTTGCCATTGTATTCGGCACGAAAACTTTGGGTCGGGGGTTGTCTACATCTACATAGTTTTTACCATCCACATAAACACACAAATACCCAAATACCCAAATACATATATGTCTTATTGTTCTCCATAGGCCGCTCCTTATCATTTTAGAGTTTTACATAATTGGGCAGGGGTCCGGTTGCGGGTCCGATTTTCCGTAACTGTGTCCATTTTCCGGCTTTCCGTCAGTGGGGGCGTGGTATGTTTGCCGACTGTACATAGGAGAGCAGAACTAAGCGCTAGTTTTACCCGCCCGACTGCGCCACATTCACAAAAAGATAAATAAATATGAGTGACCCCACCCACAGCCCTCAGAAGCCCACCGCCTCCCCTCCCTTGGCCCCTTCAAATGAAAATGGGAGCTGGGAAAGCTGGTAAAACATTGCGGGAAAGGAGCAAAAAGGGGGGAGAGAGAAAGAGAGAGGGAAGTAGGGACTTAGAAAGAGCTAGGAAGAGGCCATCCGGGCTATTTGGCGTCCTGTTGTAGCATACTTTTCAGCTGTAATCAGTTTAAATGCTTAACAAAGCAACACAAAGGCAAAAGGAGGGGCACAAGGAGCTGCTGCTGCTGCTGCTACTGCTGCTCCAGCTTTTTAGTTGCTATTCATATTTGTATAAATAATTGAACAATTCTATAAATATTTGATGCCTAGACAAAAGAGTTGCGAGCGCCCTCGTATCCGTATCCGTATCCGTTCCATTTCGTTTCGTTTCGTATCGTTTCGCTCTCAGTCGCTTATGTTTGTGTCTGTGTGGGCCTGATTTCCCGTTCAATTAAAGCTGCCAAAGGGGATCCTTTGGCTCCTCGAAAACACCCCCCCTTCCCCCTTTCGGAAAAGTAACAAGTGCAGCTCGAGTAAAAGGGTTGTCAGTCATTCTGAGAATGGATGGGGGTAGGCCGAGGACTTTAATTAGAGGTAGCTTTAAATACATTTCTTATGCCGTGAGTGGAAAACTTTACAAATTATCCGCTAAGGGGGGCTTTCGACGGGGGGCGTGGGCAATGATTAGAATGTTAATGATTAGCCCCATAATGATGGTGTTTAAGATAATTCCATTTAAGTAGATACACGCACACACAAAAAGATAATTATGTAGGATTTGTATTTATCTATCTTGGGCTCTTCGACTTTATGTAAATGTGCATTAGTATATTTTTCATAATTCTATACAAATATAATTAACTATTCTATTGACTAAAGGCAAACATTTAATGAAACGTTAATGTGTTGATTTTGGGATATTATGTTAATATCACAATTATATGAGCTATTTTATTTAAGTAACAAAAGTATTTTATTTATAAGATTTGATTCACTTAAAAGTGGTTATTGAAGAGACAAAATATTAGGACTTGTTTAACAGAAAGATTTTCTTAAAATTATATTCATATTTTTGGATACTAAAAGAGATATGTTTGTTTTCAATATTTCCATAATATATATTATATTTAATGAAACGTTAATGTGTTGATTTTGGGATATTATGTTAATATCACAATTATATGAGCTATTTTATTTAAATAGCAAAAGAATTTTATTTATAAGATTTGATTCACTTAAGAGAGCTTATTGAAGAGACAAAATATTAGGAGTTGTTTTACAGAAAGATTTTCTTGAATTGATATACATATTTTTGGATACTAAAAAATATATGTATATTTTCAATATTTCCATAATATATATTTATTTGGGGTGCTGGTTTAATTAATTTAAAAGTTTTTCACATGCTAATTTTTAATGACGGTTTTTCTCCTCTCTCTCAATGCTATTTAGGAAAATCCTTTTTCCCGACAGATGCACCACTCGATGGACCAACTGGACATGCTGGATCCGACGGGCTCGATGACCACGTTGGCGCCCATTTCGGAGTCCCCACTGACGCCCACACACCAGCACCTGCACGGTTCCTATCACAGCATGAATCACATGATGAGCCACCACCATCCGGGCACGTTAAGTGGCCACACGGGGGGTAAGTGATGCTCCTGCTCCTGCTGCTGCTCCTGCTACTTCTCCGCTCATGGACACCTCTCTCTCCCCCTTTCCACTCCCCCCTCTCCGCCGATCTCCAGGACACCATGGACACTCAGCGGTACATCATCCTGTTATCACGGCGGCGGTGGCAGCCGCTGGCCTGCATCCCGACACCGACACCGATCCCCGCGAGCTGGAGGCGTTTGCGGAGCGGTTCAAGCAGCGGCGCATCAAGCTGGGTGAGTTGCCTGATCAAATCCAGTGTTAAGGAAAATAGTTAGTAAGTCCAAGCAAATTTTATTATGAAAATATATAGGAAGTATACGTATGTATATAAACCTATGTTACAACATTTACATAAGAGAAAAGTAGAGGAAACTTATTAATTAATATAACAAATAAAGCGTGCATTGTAAGGATTAAAAATAATATATAATTCCATGCCAATTTTATATCGAAAATAAACCGAGTTATGCCATTAAAATTGCCATCTAATAATTAAGCATTGTCAGTATTGAATAAAATGTAACCTTTTAAACGAACTTATTGAAAAGACAACATTATACAATAAAATACAAATTTTAAATTTAGATTTAAATAAATAAAGCACTTTTAAGCATATAGTTAAGAAGGCATTTGGTATTGTAGAAGAGGCCATTTTATGTATTTTCTTATATGAGTTGTGTTTATACCCGTTACTCGTAGAGTAAAAGGGTATATTGTATTCGTGCAAAAGTATGTAACAGCTAGAAGGAAGCGTTTCCGACCCTATAAAGTATATATATTCTTGATCAGGGTCACTAGCCGAGTCGATATAGCCATGTCCGTCTGTCCGTCTGTCCGTCTGTCCGTCTGTCCGTCTGTCTGTCCGTCTGTCTGTCTGTCTGTCTGTCCGTATGAACGCTGAGATCTCGGAAACTATAAAAGCTAGAAGATTGGCATTTTGCATGCAGATTCTAGGAGTTCCTACGCAGCGCAAGTTTGTTTCAAAAAGGTGCCACGCCCCCTTTAACGCCCACAATCGCTTATATACGATTTTGAAAATTTAAATATTTCGGAAAAGTAAAAATGCAGGTTTGTTGTGTTTATTAATACCTATCGAAATGTAGAAGACATTTTTCAAATCGGACCATTCGTTAAAAAGTTATGCGTGATCAAAGTTTCTATCTCCATCTCCCTCGCACTCGCTTTACCTGAGTAACGGGTATCTGATAGTCGGGGCACCCGACTATAGCGTTCTCTCTTGTTTGTTTTATGTTTGTCTAGGAATCGTTTACCTAGTTTTAAGGCAAAGCCCAATGTATTCTATTCTATCTAATTATTAAATAGTTTGAGAGTTATAGTAAGGTCATGAGCTAAACAATATATATAATGCAGATCAGAAGCCAAGAAAACAAGAAATATTCTAGGGCTAGTTCAATTGTTAGAGTTATTGTTCACCCTTTGTAGATATCTCGGACATGTAACTTTGAAAGTGACTATATGTATGTTTGATTGTGACCATCTTGTTCGAATTGCAGGTGTCACGCAGGCGGACGTGGGCAAGGCCCTGGCCAATCTCAAGTTACCTGGCGTCGGCGCGCTGTCGCAGAGCACGATCTGTAGATTCGAGAGCCTGACGCTGTCGCACAACAACATGATCGCCCTGAAGCCCATCCTGCAGGCGTGGCTCGAGGAGGCCGAGGCGCAGGCGAAAAACAAGCGACGCGATCCGGACGCGCCCAGTGTCCTGCCGGCGGGCGAAAAGAAAAGGTAGAAAGTGTTTTAATTGCCCCGGTAGCCTAGCCCTGCCCCATCCCAGACTAAGCCCCTTCCCCCGTCCCCCCTTCCCCCACACTCCCCATCCCGCTGAGAAATGGATGAACCACCATCCCATTCCCACAACCAGACCCAGAGCACCCTCCTCCAGCATCCGAGAGCGAAGTAATTGGCCAGACACCAAAAACACCATGAGATGTGGGATCGAATTATAGCCCAGCTGACAGCCAGTCCATAATCGAATTTATAAACATAAATTATATATTCATGGCTTAATTTGACCAGCTGTCGAATATGAAATTCATAAGTCACCACAGTTTAATTTATTTGGAAATAAATAATAAATAAATGAATAAGATAAAATCAGTGAACAAATCATTTGTGAAAGCGCCATCTATCTTGCAAGTTCATATCAATAAAAGGGTCAAAGTTCGTAAAGCGCTCTCTAGGGTTTTCTATGGTATATAATATCAAGGCAATATAAGCGCCACCTGTTTTTGAAACATTAGCACAATACTTATATTGAAACTTATAACTATTTTGTTTTTATAATAAAATATTTTCATAAATCGTGTTTGTTATAAATGTATATGTGTAAATTATTAGGTATTTACAAATCACATTACATTAAATGGTTAACGATTTTATAAAGAATTTTTTTCTAAGTTATATGGATTTTCTAATCCTTTATTACCCAGATATAAATTGGAAAGCGGCAGTCAAAATTTTTTAATATTTTTAGAACCCTTTTAATATAGTAAATGATCGATTATGGGCTATTGTCAGCCGATCCCCAGATAATACAAGTAAAAACGCAGATATCGAAAAGTAGGACTATTCGCATCGATCGACCATATCAGCACCACCATTATTCACCATACCGATACCGATACCGACCGTCCCCCAGCTTAGGGCCCCGCTTCTAAAGTAATCTATATCGAGTCTTTTTTCAAGAAAAAGGACTTCCATTGCGGCACCTGAAAAGCGTTCCCTGGAAGCCTACTTCGCCGTCCAGCCGAGGCCATCCGGTGAGAAAATCGCTGCCATTGCCGAAAAGCTGGATTTGAAGAAAAACGTGGTGCGCGTCTGGTTCTGCAATCAACGTCAAAAACAAAAACGTATGAAATTTGCCGCTCAACAACACTGACAATCAAATAATACAGCCACACAATTAGGTATAGTTAGTAGTGTAACACCCTCAATGACTGGCCACGGTTCGGCGGGATTTGGATACTGATAGTCGTTTATGACGGCAGCGGCGGCGGTAAACACGGCGGCAGCAGCTGGAGCGGCAGCGGCAACATTGGGAACGGCGGCGGCGGCGGCAACATCGGCGTGTCTGGGCGACTATTACCTTTAGGGATTCTGATTCTGGTTCTGATCCTGATCCCGATCCTCATACATATAGTAATCGCAACGATCCAATTGCGATGCAGAAGCGGCAGCAGCAGCAGCAACAACAACACCACAACCACCATCACACCAGCAACAGCAACTTCTCTCTATATCTTTCACTCAGTAATCAACCAAGCAGCGGCGCAAAATCGGCCAGAAATAATACTAATAATAGCAGCATACACAACTATAACATTTATACCCCATTCTCCAGTATATTCCCCGATTTTTCCCCAACCATTCAGAGAGCTACCCCCCCAAAAAGCAAATGGAGAAAACATCGATTGCAAATAATAATAAAAAAAGAAACGAGAATGCAAAATGAATACCAAGAAATACAAGAATTTTTTTAGGAACGAATAATGAAACAATGGACCAACATATCAAATGCAATAATTTATTGAATTGTATAAGAGAAAAAGGTAAGCGAATAACTATACACTGAAAAAATATATCTTTTTCTAAATACCAAAATGTATTTCATTTCACAATAATTCAGAATTTTATTAACTATTGGGAAGTCAGGGCAGAAAATTAATGCATCGAAGTTTATTTCAAAATGTTACTTTATTACTTTGAATTATTTGGCTTTTGAAAATTTAAAAATAAAAAAAGTCAATCAAAATCGAAAATTATGTTAAATATTAGTATCAGCAAACACAAATTTTAGCAATAGAAATACTTTTATTTTAATAATTTTTTAATTTAATTTGTCCAGTGTCAAATTTATAAATAATATATCTGAGAAAGCAACCTTTCATACAAAAAATATATTTATACTTAAAAAAAGTATTTAGGTATGCATTATTTTAGATATTACCCATTATATTTTTATATTATTGTTCTCTCTGTGCATAACCTAAATTTGCTGTATTTAATGGAAAATAAATTGAGCAAGCTAAGCCATTTATTCGTGTTCCTTTTGTTTTTGCAGAACAAAAACGAGCTAAAAAGCGGAGAACAAATTGAAATGATAAATCAATTGAACACGGGCCCCCCTCCAAAAAGAGAATCCCCAATCTGCTACTGCCCGACAACAAGGATACACAGGATAACACATACACCGACACAGACACACGCACACACAGACACAGACAAACACACACACACACACAACTACACAGACAGACACACAAAGACCAAAAGAATGCCAAGAAATTGCTTCAAGTGATCCGATAATAAGAATCTAAGCTTATAAATCTAAGGAAAAAGGCAAAATGAATGTGGACGAGCTGGGAAAAAAAACATTGACAGCGGCAACAACAGCAACGGAAATTGCAGCCACAGCAGCAACATGAGCTGCAAGTTGCAACAGCAGCAGCAGCACAAGCAACCACTACACAGACAACCCACACACATGCCCCAAAACACGAGCGATATGCATTAGCCACTGTATATATACTATATACATATAGAGAACTTTGATTCGATTGTAAATACCGCAGCAATATAACACACCCACACATCAACTGTAGCCAAAAGAAACCAGAAACGAGAAACAAGAAGATTTTCAGCTAGCTTACAGTAGAAATCCCAGCCAAAGCAAACGTATCCTTAATCACAAATCCTTTGTCCCAAAACGAACCAGTTTTACCCAGATTTTCCCCTCCCTGCCAAAAAAAAAACACACACACACACCCCAAAAACACAGCTAAGCAAAGGCATAATTTAATTTTTTTTTGTCTAATTATAAGTAAACTAATGCAAAAAGGATATCGTAAACCAAAAAACCAGGAGAAAACCCCCTCCCAAAAAAAAAAGTTAGCAGCAACTGGAGATATTGCAACGAATTTAAAATGTTGCCAAACTAAACTAAACTAATGCAGAAAGAGAAACCAAAAAATCATATATAAATAAAAACAAACAACTCTATGACAACTATGAATTACATATAAATATATAGTATATATATAAAGAATTTTAAAAAAATTATATACTATACATACAATTTTTTTTTTGTTTTTTTTTTATTGTATAATTTAGCACATTTCATAGTTTTAACTAGAATTGTACATATAAAAGAGGGAGAAATATAAAGGTATTGGATAATGATATATATATATATATAGAGTGCGTGTGAGTGATTTTGAATGAGTAGCCATAAAATAATGAAAACCCAAAAAATCCAAAGTCAAGACAAGCGCGAAATTCAATAATAATTTTAAACAAAAAGCTAAATATAATAACTCATAGTTTTGTATCAAATGAAATGAACAACAAAGAAACATTTTGCCGACAAATTAGTGCATAAAAAAAATGTAAACCAAGTAAAAACATAAAATTTTTTTCATAAAACCAAAACAAAATGCGCATAATAATATTTATAAAAAATTATAATACATACAATTGATAACGGACATGCCCAAGCTCATAACTACATTTAAATTTAATTTTAGTAGTTTCTAGACACAAGAAATACTGTAGCATGAAAATCAATTGATTGCAGCGCTCGAGTGCTGGCGGAGATATATAAGTAAATAATAAAAATGCAGCAAAAGCAACAAAAAATAAGAAAACTATTTATGAGTTTTTACTGGGTTCGATATTTTGGGGCACTATTATTTTTTTCTCCCAATGCCAAAGTCATAGAATAGATCAATTCGATTAAATCATTTTAAAATTTGTATTTTAATGAGTGAGTTCTTAGAAATGCGTTTAGTCTTTATTAAATAGTGACAATCGACTGAGTTTTTATTTATATGGTGAAGCTTTTATTGCTAAAACATAGACGTTAAAACTTTTTGTTTGTATCCAAGAAATACATTTATTGGAATCCCAATTAAAAAATAAGTGCAATTTTTTATAAATCGGTTCATTTCTTATTCGATATATGAATTCGATTATCCCGATTTGTGAAACCTAAAAGTTATTGTGCTTCGTTTGTGTATATAATTCCTAAATATCTTTAAACTGTCCACAAACCAATAGCTGAAATAAATATGTTTCGGTAAGCTCCTATCGTTTTATTACAATTTTCAACATCTTTACTCCAAATTAAACACAAAAAATATATCCAATCGATTTATTGGAATAAAGACGCTTGGGCAACTTGGTCTCAGACGATTCCTTACGTTAATCTGATCGTTAATCTGATTCCAAGGTACAGTACATAATCTTATCATAGCGAGTCGCTTTTCAGGGCAGGTGTCTAGAGTCTAGACAACCTTGTAGCGTCCCTTGTTAAAGACGTGATGAGCGGAACTGAGCTTCAGCAGCTCCTCTTTGATGAGCCGCGTGATCTCGCGCTTGGCCTTCTGCACGGCCAGCTCGCTGCAACTCTCGATGGCCAGGTAGAGCTTCCTTTCGCCATCCGGTGGATTCTTGCCCTGCGGAACGTACGTTCCGCGCACGGTGAGACCCGCTTCCGAATACTCGGAGATCTGGGCGAGGGCCTCCTTGGAGGTGACCTTCCAGCGTGCTTGCTGCGGGAAATCGTTGATCTCCAGCTCCTCCTCGTATTTGGTGAACGAATTGGTGGTGCCGCCCATCAGTGGGCCCAGTCCCTCCTCATCCTCCTTGGGCTGGTAGTTGAGCTTGTTGTTCAGCTTGGCGGCCATCTGCTCGGCCACCGTGCGTGCGGTCAGCAGCGGAGCGGCGGCGCCAGTGACATGTGGTCCCTTCAGCATGGGCTCCACGGTCACCACACTGCTCTTGGTGTCCAGGTTCTTGCTGCTGTTGATCTTGGAGGCCAGCCGTTTGGCCAGCTCAAGTTTATCGGAGCTTAGCGCTCCGCCCACAGCCGCATTTTGCGCACCACCCCCCGCCGAAGCCGACGCCGTTGCGATGGCCAAATTGGCAGCAGCAGCCGCTGCCGCCGCTTGAGCCGCCGCCGAGGCTAGAGCTGGATTTCCTCCGGAAACGGCGGCAACAGCAGCCGCCGCAGCAGCCGCAGCTGTGGCCGCGGCCGAAGTGTCTTTAACCGTTCGCTTGGCCGCAAAGATCTGCTCGATCTGCTGGTCAATATCCTGCTCGATATCCTCGTCATCATCGGAATCGGCCAGACCCAAGGCAGCCTTTTGCAACTTCTTGCTCTCCTTGACGGCATTGAACTCCTGCTCGTCGAACTTGAAGCCCTTGCCGCTAAAACCGCCGCCAGTGTGCACCGTCTTGCCCTCGGCCTCCTGGGCGGCCTTGTACTCCGTCCACAGGGTCTGTAGTTCGGCGGGAATCAGGGTGCCGGATAGGTCCAAAGCCCGAACGATGTCGCCGGCGTACCGCGACTGTTCGGGTGTGATGAACGTGAAGGCGCTGCCCTTCTTGCCCGCGCGACCAGTGCGGCCACATCTGTGGAAGTGGGAAAACATTTAAGGGCTATATTCTATCGAAAACGGAATCCCCAAGCTCACCTGTGCACATAGTCCTCGTAGTGGTTGGGCACATCGTAGTTGACCACCAGGATGAGATCCTTAACGTCCAGGCCGCGCGCTGCCACCGAGGTGGCGATCAGCAGCCGCACCTTGCCCGACTTGAAATCGATGATGGTGGAGTCGCGGTCGAACTGATCGATGCCGCCGTGCAGGCTCATGCAGGGATACGAGGCCTTCATGAGGTCGCGCAGGAGGATGTCGGCGTTTTCCTGCTTATCGACGAACACAATGATGCTGCCCGCCTCCTGGTAGATGCCAAGCAGCTCCAGAAGTTTGAAAAACTTGGCGTCGTCGTTGAGGATGACCACATTCTGTTCGACATCCTTGCACACCACCGACCGCCCGCCGACGATCACCTCGATGGGCTTCTTGAGGATGCGCCGTGCGAGCGCCTCCATTTGCCGTGGAAATGTGGCGCTGAACATGACCGTCTGGCGATCCGGCCGTACGTTGTCGATGATGCGCATCACCTGCGGCTCGAAGCCCATGTCGAACATGCGATCTGCCTCATCCAATACGACATAGGTGACGCGCCGTAGATTCGTCACACGTCCGGAATTCGCCGCCAGCATGTCGATCATGCGACCCGGCGTACACACAATTATCTCTGCGCCACGCTTCAGCTCGGCAATCTGCTCGGAGATCCCCGTGCCGCCGTAAACACAAACTGGCCGCAGGCCCAGCGACTTGCTAAACTTGCGGATGTCCTTGCCGATCTGCATGCAGAGTTCGCGCGTGGGCGCCATTATGATCGCGATCGCGCCGTCGCCATCCTCCAGGCTCGACTGGTCCAGAATGTGCCTAAACATTGGTAAAATGAATGCCAACGTCTTGCCACTGCCAGTTTTAGCAATACCTATCAGATCCCGTCCGGACATGATGGCCGGTATGGCCTGGCACTGGATGGGCGTGGGCTTCTCGAAGCCCAGCCGTCGCAGCACGTCCATCTCTTTCTTGCTGACGCCGCACTGCGCCCAGGTCTGGAGAAGATTGCAGAGAGATGGCATTGTTAAACAAAGTTGGTTTTTGTTTGGAACACGGAAATAGGTATTCAATCGGAGAAGGCACTGCATTCAACCCCCCTAAGAGGCCCCACATAATCTCTAGCTGGTTGGACTCACCTTAATGGGCTTTGGACAGCCTTTGCCCTTCACCTGGATGCCCTCCAGTTCGGTGCGATACTTCTCCACATCGCTGGAGGTCATGCGACCCAACTCCGGCACCTCGACATAGAAGTTCTTGCGGAAGGGCGCATAGGTCACTGAGGAATGATCGATTTTGGCCAGCTCCTTGCGATGCTTCATTGCCAGGTTAACGGCCGTGTCTCGTATGTCCTCCAGCTCGTCTTCGCTGGAATACTCCAGGCTGTCCATGTTTTGTTCAATCAGCTCGCCCTTCTTCAACGTCGCCGTCTTCTTTTTGGCCACGCCTGTGAGGATAACCACGCCCTGGGATTTGGTAGGTGGATTGACGAAATTGTTAACACGTCTCATCTCATTGTTGACCTCCTGCATATACGCATCCAGTGGATCGATGTCGTCTTCTGGCTCGGCCTCGGGCGGCGGCTTGTCTTCAGCTATAGGTTCTGGTTTGACTTCCGCCTGCGGCTGCTGCTCCGGCTCCTTCTTGGCCTTCTCCTCCGTTTTGGCGGCGGGCTCCTCGACGATCTCCATTTTGACGGGAGCTGGTTCGGGCTCCTTTTTGATCTCCTTCTTGGGCTCCACGGCGGGTGGCTCTTTCTTGATCTCAGCCTCGGTTTTGGGAGCAGCCAGACCCATGCCTAATTTGGCGCCAAACGACTTACTAAAGGTGGGACGCTTCAGAGGCGAGAACTTCGACTCGACCACGTCATCGTCGAAACGCTTGCGAATGCTGTGGAATTTGGAGGGCGGTGAGTCCGGTTCGGCGTCCTTTTTCCCAGCGTCCAGTGCCGGAGCGGGATTGCTGTCGTCCTCCTCGGACTCGTCCTCCAGGCTCCATTTCTTTGTGGACTTGACCACAGCCGGCGTCACGGCAGCCACTTTGGTGTCCCGCTTGCGTTCCGCCCGCCAGCGCTCGATACGCTCCCTCCGTTTAATCATCTCCTGCTCTAAGCGACGCTGCTGCTCCTCCTTGTCGATCTCCTCCATTTCTTCGTCTGAGGAGCTAGTTGATGGCACAGGGATGACCAGTGGTGCGGCTGCAGCGGCCCGTCTGCCATCCGACTCCCGTTCCCGCTGGCGGTCCCGCTCGCGATCCTTGTCCCGTTCGCGCTCCTTGTCCTTCTCGCGGTCGCGATCCTTTTCCCGCTGCCGATCGCGATCCCGATCACGATCACGTTCCTTGTCCAAGCGCCTGTAGTGGGGAGAACTGATATAATTTAGTTTTTTGAGTATGTACGTTTTATCGTAGTGTGGTTTTAACCGGTTTGACCGATTTATATAGACGTAGTCTTCAATATGATCGAAGTTACTTTTACACCTATAAAAATATACTATTAATTATAATGAGATTATATTCAGAAAAACAAAAGATAATATTGGTAATGGATTCAGCCTGGTAATATCCTAGATTTCTGTTTATCAAGTAATTTTTAATTGGAAATTACTAGATTTTATCAACAACTTGAGAAATGAATTTGGAGAATAAGGATTAAGCTGCAAAACAGCAGAGATGATACAGATTTTTTATGAACGTTAAAGAATATATATTTATAATATATTATTTATTATATATTTACGATATTCTAAAAGTAAAATACATACACTTTTGAAGAACATTATTTTGGGAAAGACATATTTAAAATAATATGATAAAGCTCCAATCTAAAAGTAATCATAACTTATGAGATGTTTTAAGATGTTTACATTTAAGTTCCTAACTCGATTATGTGTTGATCAATTAGAAGAGGAGTACACTACAAATCTGACTCACTTATCCTTCTCGTAGTCCTTTGACCTGGAACGCTTCCGCCTCTTGTCGTCCCGTCGGCCGCGGTCGCTGGTCATGTCCTTGCCGCGCTTGCGGCCATCCCGCGTACTTCTGGAGCCACCACCGCCGCCTCTTTCGCCGCCTCCGCCTCCATTCCTGGACTTGCCCATGTCATAGTCGCGGCTGCGACTGTCGTGCCGGTTGTCCCGCTCGCGATCTCTGTCCCGATCCCGATCACGGTCGCGGTCCCTCTCCCGCTCCCTGTCCCTATCCCGATCCCGCCTTTTTTTTGTGGGTAAGGTCATCAGTAAACAGCGGTTATTGGACAAAATCCATTTACTTACCCGGAACTCTTCGACATGGCGGTTCCCTTGGGTTCTTGGGCGCCGGCTCAGCGCTGGCGCGCTCAAACTCACGGGCTGTGCGGAGTATGTGCAGTACCGACTGCTATTGGTTCTCCCAACACTCACCGCCAGACAATTTAATGCTTTTTATTGAGATTTCACCCAATTTTCCTTCGCAATCCGGCACAAAATACAATTTTTATAATCGTTTGCAGTGATGGAATAATAGCCGATATTGTCTCTGCTTAAGCGATGTTTTTCCTGAAACTATCGACTGTTTGCAATTCAACCACTGGTTCGCTCCAAATTGCTACTAGATAGTCAACCTTTGGTCATGAAATTTAGTTAGCAAATCTAATTGCTTTGTCAGCTTAATCTTTTTTCTTTTAAGTTTTGTGTGCTTTTTTTTTTAAATTACAACTTTTTAATTATGCTTACAAAACCATGTTTAGGACCAACGTACGCAAACCTGCAAATGGCCACTATTGACAACTAGTCGTTGGGCCAAAATATATCTCTGAGAGATGATCAACTTCGTAATACCTCTAAATATCACAATACCTTTAAAAATATATAAAAATGTAATTATATATTATAATAAACATCGCTTCGAACAGGTTAAATAATTATTTGGCCAAGCAATAATTATAACGTACAATTTTGGAAGACGGGGCTGCCAGACACGCAATGAACCACTTGATCGTTCCAAATTGGCGTTGCCACTCCGCTGGCACACGTGTTGAGCGGATAAACAAATTGTTGAGCTCGAAAGTCGAAGCGAATTCCGTAATTCCGCCGAATCCTGACAAGAAATAGTCATGCCGCCCGACATCGAGATCATAGTGGGCACCTACGAGGAGTACCTGCTGGGCTACCAGCTGACAGCGTCGCCGGAGGACACCACTTCGGCAAAACTGCAACTAAAACAGACCTTTGCGGACAAGTCGCACGCAGGATCTATTAAATCGGTGGCGGTTCAAGGACCCTGGGTGGCCAGTGGCGGCAGCGATGACAGGATCTTCGTCTACGACATGCGGACGCGGAAACAGTCGCAGATCCTGCTGTCGCACGCTGGCACAGTGAATACGCTGCAATTCTCGCCGGATCTGACGCACTTGCTCTCGGGGAGCGCCGATGGCCACATGATAGCCACCCGCGTCGGCAGCTGGACCACAGAGGGGGACTGGAAGAAGGCCCACGCCGGTCAGTCCGTCACCCACATCAGTTGCCATCCCAGCAGTAAATTGGCCCTCTCCTTGGGCGGCGACCTGGTGCTGAACACATGGAATCTGGTCAAGGGACGTGTGGCCTACAAGACCAATCTAAAGAGCAAGACCACGCTAGGCAGCCAGCCGGATTGCCTGTCCTGGTCCACCCAGGGTGACCACTTCACGCTGAGCGGACCGTTGTATCTGGAGATCTGGGACATCAAGAACGCTCATGTGGTGCGGCGCTCCAAGATGCCAGCGAAGCCCATTTGCGTCGCTTGGCTGGATGGGAACGAGTGCCTGGCGGGTTTGGAGAACGGCAGCATTGCCTGGATTTCCCTCAAGGATGAGGAAGAGGCTCCAGTGGGTTGAGCACTTATTTTGGCTGATTTCCGTGGTACTTATATGGTTTTTCCTTGCAGCCAACTATAATTCCTGCACACGAGGCGAGGGTCAAGGCCATGGCCTATCTGAACGAATCACTGGCCACAGTCTCTAGGTGAGTTTTTACATAAGTACATTCACTCAAGTTTATTTATTTTAGAACTTAAGCTTTGAAAAGCCCAATTAAACCAAATTTTTAACATACTTATATCACAGCGCAGGAGAAATCAAAGCCTGGAGAATCGATCTCGAAAAGCGCGAGTTGGAGGAGATTGCCAGCACGAACATGGACTGCCGACCCACCGGCTTGGGACTGCTGGATCTCAGCCAGTTCGGTAACGCTCGTCCGCTGGAGCAGCGCATCAAAGTAGAGAGCAAAGCGAAGGCCAAAGCGGAGCCCGGCCAATCTTCCAAGCCAGCGGCACCACGGGGATTCGTGACCATCGAGTACGAGCAGGATGAGAAGCAGGAGGCCGAGGAAGAGTCGGCCACCATCCCCAAGTCTAAGCCCAAGCAAAAGAAGAAAGAAGCTAAAAAGGCGCCCCAGCAGGAACCTGAGGAATCCTCCGAGGAAAGCAATTCCTCGGATGGGGACAGCGAGAGCTTTTCCGACAGCGACAGTGACGCCTCCGATGATGGCGGCCGCCGGAAGAGGAGGCCACCCAAGCGGAAACAGCCGCCTACTCCATCCTCCAAACGAAAAGTCAAACAGCAGAAAAATAAGTAATTCCTTAATAATGTTTAGTTCCACACTATGTTATGACTGTCAATAAAGTTGAGTTAATTTAGAAATATATCTTAAATTAGCTACTGTGGTGGGCTGTTTTTAACAATATGTAAGTACGAACACCTAATGGATTTAAAAAGTTAAAGGCTAACATATGCTGAAAAAACGACCGAAATCTTTATTTCATTACCAATAATTGAAGTCTAATCAGAATAGGACAATACATTTTGATTTTTTCATGCAATGAATGAAAGAAACCTGATAATTAGCCACAATTTAAACAGATTTCTGGCTAAAATATACTCGAAAAACACTCGAAGTCTTTATTAGATCATTAGTTGATAACATTAACAATTTTTATTTGTAAAAATTTGAGGGAGCCAGGTGCCAAATGCCATGATCTGGATAACCAGTAGCTGGCTGGCAGGCAGCTCCCGAATTAACAATATTTTCCTGTTGTATATGTTTTTTTTATTTAGGTCAACTGGGATGGAGGCTAAGGGATGGATGGAGGGTGCAGGATGCAGGATGCAGGATGCAGGATGCAGGATCTAGGATAAGGCCTCAGTGAGCCAGGAAGTAGTGCAAGAGGTTAAGGTAAATGCGTTCCAGCAGCGGCCAGAGGTGCTCGGCCAGGAACTGGATCAGGTGTCTGAGCGGCGGGCACAGCGTGCACATGTAGTCCGTGAGGGCGTCCAGCACGCGGATGGCCAAGGGTCAGTTGTTGCGTTCCAGCTGAAAGCAGATGCCGCTGCAACCGGCGTCGTCATCCTCGTCCCGCCCGTCGGGTCCCAGTGGATAGCAGCCGTCCTCGCGCTTGGGACAGGCGTGCGTCCAGGGCATCGGCTCCTGGAACTTGGCCACATGCAGGGGATTTAGGTAGGCGTACAGGCGGGGATGGTCCACGTACGAGGAGCACACGTAGCACCACACGGACAGGTCGCCGATGCTCATCACGAGCGGATGCTGCGTCTCCAGGGAGTGCTGCTCCATGTGCTCGTTCATGTAGCGACCGCAGGCCACGATCCGGCAGCTCAGACACACCCAGTTCTCCCCCGTCACTCCACACACGCTGCAAGCCTCCACACTGCTTATTGCTGTGGGTAGAAAATCACACCGATGAGTTAAGTATTAATTTGCAAGCGGTTAAAGCACAACAAAAAGTGTGTAAAGAAAAATACATATTTTCCTAGCATGCAAAAAATTTAAAGTTGTAAATTAATCACCAGAATCGCGTGTAGTCAAAATCAATCAATAATAATATCGATTTAAACTTAAACGGAAATATAACTTTGAGTAAACACGTTAGCAGAAACTAAAACTACACATCACAGACACGCCTTATTTGCAAATTAAACAATAATGAGTGTTTCTTTCTTATTTTCAAATTATTAAGTCACAAAAGCTATTACTGATCACAATTATTGTTTGCAAATAAGTAATTCGTGTATTTCAGAAGAAAAGCATTGCAGGGTCTTATACATTACCGATTTCAATAAATATTAAGCAATAGCCATTTCAAAAAGCAAAGAAACACAAATCAGGATAGCAAAAAAAACGGCAATTCAGCCTCCAAGCACAACAAACAATAATAAATAATTTAGAAAAATATCCAATTTCCAATTTCAGGCACCAAAAGCAAATATAACCAATAGTTCAAGGAAAGTACAAAATGCAAATGCATTTAATATAGAACAAAATAATAGCGCTTCTTATAAACCATGATTTTTTTTATAATTTGTAGAAAATTCAATAAGATATTTATTGAAACGTATTCAAAAGCTAATAAATCAGTCACCCAATAGAGAAGTTAAATGAAATCATTGAATATTTCTTTAAACGGTTCACTCAAATATAAATAATAAGGTTTTTTGAAGACATAAATTGGTTTGATTGATTTGAACCTTTCTAAATACTATTTTTTACAAAAGAATATAATGAGTAAATCAGAAAAATAAAATAACATGACAACCTTTTGACAGATTTTTGTCAATAAAGATATAAAGAAATCCGCAAAATGAAACTGATCTACTTTAATTAATATTAAGAGTATAATATTAAATGACTAGCCTTTGATTACTGTTCTTGAATATTTACAAAAGAAGTTAGTACTGTGTACAAGAAGAGGGCTATTATTTTGAGCAAACGAAGCCTCTGGCGGAATGGGCTTGGGCTTGGGATTGGATGGGCTTACATTGCGGCGCCTCCTCCGGTCGCAGCAGACTCAAGTGCGGGCACGTCTTAAGCGGATACACGGCGAACATCTCGTTCTGCTCGAGGGCCTGGCCCGCGATTCAGATTCAATTCGATTTGGGATCGCGATCGAATGAGAGTGAGATCGAGATTGAGATTGAGGAGTTACATGAAATGGGGTGAGATAGAAGCACGCACGAGACGCGCGCGAAAACAACCGATTAATAAGGTCGGTAGTTTAAGGGATAAACGCAATGCCGATCTCGTACCTCCTTGTTCTCCGCCAAATATTCGGTGAGCGTCTTTACCTTGACTTTGGGCTTGCTGCCGCTGGGCCGCTCCTCGCCGCAATCGGGCTGATCGCCGGCCGGTCCGGCCGCCGCCCCCGGAGCGTCGTCACTTGAGATATTCAACTGTCGCAAGGAGGCGGTAAGAAAATCCTCGTTGTTGTTCTCGCCGACGACGGGTTCGCTGGGCAGCCGCCGGCCGACAAACTCCAGGGACTGCCAATGGCCACGCTGGACCTGCAGGCACGACTGCAGCGACTCCACGCAACTCTGGTAGGCCACCGTTGGCGGCTTCTGCAGGGCTGCGGCGCCCAGTTGGGGCGTCGGCACGGGATCGCCCAGCAGCGTCTTGGTGCACATCGTCATGGCATACGATATGGAGTTCACATTGTAGCCACCCTCCAGGCAGACGACAATCCTACCGCCGGCCAGTGCGGACAGCCAGTGGGTGAGCATGCCGTAGCCCTCGGGCGTCACCTTGCAGCCGCCCAGCGGATCTCCGATGGCCGCATCGAAGCCGGCGGACACCAGCACCAGCTGGGGATTGAACTCGTACGCGATGGGCATGATCAGCTGCTGGAAGGCCAGAGCGTACTCCAGGTCACCCATGCCCTTCTGCGGAACAAGTCAGATAGATAAATCGGGAACGACAAGCAAGAGTTCACCACCACTAGCAAACGCACCTTGTTCCAGGGTATGTTGACGTTGAAGCCCCTGCCGTCTCCTTTGCCCACCACGTCGAAGTTGCCGTCGGGTCCCTTGGGAAAGAAGGCTCCGTGCTCGTAGCGATGCAAACTGATGTACAGCACCTTCGGGTTCGACTCGAAGATGTGCTGCGTTCCGTTGCCGTGGTGAACATCCCAGTCCACGATCAGCACGCGCTCAAGTCCAAAGTCCCGAATGGCATACTGCGCTGCGATAGCCACATTATTGAAGATGCAGAAGCCGTGCGGCTGATCCTGCTCGGCATGATGGCCCGGCGGACGGACATTGCAGATGCCGCTGCGTGACTCGCCGCGCAGCACACTGTCCACCGCCTGCAGCACGGATCCGGCCGCCAAGGTGGCGCAGTCAAAGGTGCGCGGATGCAGGTACACCGAGTTGTAGCCCTCCGCCACCTGATGCAGTTCCTCCGGATCCCGTCCCAGCAGCCGTCGCACCGAATTCACGTGTGCTCGCGTGTGGGCCAGGCAAACCTCATCCGTGGTGGCCGCTCGGGAGGCGAGTTGCTTCATCCTCGGCAGCAGGGCGTACTCGTCGTGCATCTTGTGGATGTGCTGGATGCGCGCCGGCTGCTCCGGATGCCCCGGATCGTGGAGGTTGCAGTGCAGCAGCATCTGGGCATCGTAGGCATAGCAGACCCGCACCGACGGCATCGACAGCTTCGTTTCCGTGCGCAGCACCTGCAGCCGGGCCGCATTCCTGGCTATCTTCTCCGGCGGCAGAGGAATGGCCGTGTCCCTCGTCGGGTAACGATCCACTGGCGGCGGTCCGCCAATCCAAAGGCGCAGCACCTTGTGCAGATCCTGCCCCTTCTCCTGGTCCAGCAACTCGGCGGCCTCGTAGGTCCGCTGCAGCTGCAGACAACGCCAGTGGGGCCGGTGGACGGCAATGCAACTGAGCAGGGCCTGGGTCAGTTCGGCGCGCGGCAGAGGCAGTGCCTCCACCAGCGGGGGGCACGGATCGCCGAGCAGGGAGCGGAGCGTCAGGGCCGCACCCTCGGCCAGCGAGTCCAGGCAGTAGCCGCCCTCCAGGACCACGGCCACCCGCGAGTCGGCCAGTCGCAGCAGCGGGTTCAACAGGTGCGGATAGCAGGCCGGTGTCACCTCCATCTCGCCCTCCGGACATCCCAGCGCTGCATCATACCCGGCCGACACCATAATCAACTCCGGCTGGAACTCGAGGGCCACCGGCAGCAGGAGCTGCTGGAAAATGGCCAGGTAGTCGCCGTTCGTCATCCCCGTCGCATTCAGGGGCACGTTGAAGTTGTATCCCGTGCCGGGACCCGATCCAATGGCGTGGTAGTCCGACTCGTGCAGGTGCGGCCAGAAGCTGCCGTGCTCGAAGCGGTGGATGGAGAAATAAACCACCCTGAAAACACAGTTTGTTTTAGATACTTGATGGCTTACAAAGAGGTTAATCGTATTTAAATTTTATAAATTCGATGAGTCTTTGAAATCTCTTCCAAATCTAATTCCAACCTGACTCAGAAGAAATCTCAAACTTTCGCTAAAGATTAATTAAACTCATTAAATTAAATTCATTTAATTAATTAAAAGAAAATAAATTGCTAATGCTCCGAGTTACTAGTTAGTTTGTTGAGACCGTAAATCTACATAGCTTTATATAAATAAATCAATTAATTTGCATTATTCACCTGGGATCGTTGTAGAAGAACCGCTGCGTACCCTGGCCATGGTGGACGTCGTAGTCGATGATCAGGATGCGCTGTAGCTTGTGGACATCGAGGGCGTGCTGGGCGGCCAGGGCCACGTTGTTGAAGAAACAGTAGCCATTGAACTCCGCTTTCATGGCATGATGGCCGGGCGGCCGGATGATGGCCATGCCATTCTGGGCCTTTCCAGCGATCAGTTGGTCCACCAGCTCAATAGTGGACCCGGTGGCCAGCAGGGAAAGCTCGAAAGTGGACTGCGGGAGAGAGGCGGGGGAGGTTATCAGTGCTCTGTATAATCTACCCAAAGAAAACAAAACGCTTCGAATCTTATCTAAGTTTAAATAACATATGTGTGTACATAAGTGGGTATCACCACATAGGAACTTGTTTTATAAATTTACAGTGCGTTTCAGAGCAGATTGAGATTGCCAACAGAATGATTTGTTTGGGGGAATTAAATTGAAGGCTTATGAAATTGTTAGGCAATAAGAAAATGTTACACACAAGAAGGAAAAAGTTCTAAATAAGTAATATTACATGCAATTCGTGAGTCAAACTGAATTTTGTAAATTAATATTTATAGAAGCATGAAAACAATAGAAAATATAATTTAAATAAATTCTTGATTTAGTTTTGTCTTTGAAGAGTCTTAATACTAATTCATAAGAATACTGTTGTCTTTAATTAAAAATGGAATAAATTAATATTAAATATGGGATACTGCATCAATATTTCATTCCATTCAAAATAAATGTGCATTGAAAATGAATTTCTTTATCTCTTTCCGCCCCGATTGTTATACACTTGTGAAGCGTCAGGTATAGTGCGCTTCACAAGTGTATAACAATTCCTGTGCAATGGGTCGCATCTAATCTAATCCGCTTCACTTTGCATATATCAAGTCAGTGAACTAAAAAACAGCACAATCTTCGCAAGCAATCAAGCAAAAATACAATAAACTAAGCTAAATAAGTGCAAGCGTTTCCCTCCCATGTTTTTTTGGTGCATTGTTCTACGGATTCGACATCGCAGTGGGTGCAAATTGCTCACCGGATGAATGTAGATTGAATCGTAGCGGGAGCTCAGCTCTTCCATGCGCTCGTCGTCGCGAATCCCGGCGGTCTGCTTCAGCCGCTCGAAGTGCTCCTCCGTGTGCAGACGCAGAATCTCCTCCCTGGTGGCCGATCTCGATTGCAACTCCATGCAGCGCTCCGCCAGATTAAGTTCGCGGCAGCTGGAGAAGATTGAACAAGACATCTTTGTATAAATATGAAAACAAAATATACATTTTTTTAAATGAAAATTTATTCTCTACCTTTATACAATTTAATTAACTTTTTTCCAACTTTTTAAATAATTTATGGTTACGAATTATAACCCAGTGTCGTAAACACTAAACACTTGCTAGACAGCAAAGTAGTAACTAATAGTTAAATTTTATAGGGTTGAACTGAATTTAGTTTAACTGTTCTACTTATTTTTTAATGTTTTTTTCATAGAATACGATTTTCTGGATACATAACATATTTTGCCTAAATATATATACTCAAAATTATTTTGAATTACGAAATACTTTCAAAAAAATAAAGGGCAGCAAATTCTTATTTATTTTGAAGGTTTGTCAAAGTTATGTTGATATTTTAAAATACAAAAATAAAACAGCAATGCTAGTACTTGGTCCTAAATCATTTCTAGACCCTAAAATGACCTCCCTCGTGTGTGAACTCACCGCTCCAGGACGCGTGTGAAGCGTTGGGGGCACTCGTAGTGCTCCTTGTCCCACAAACAGCAGTGCTGGCTCATGGATTCATCGTAGATCAGGGCCGTCGGCCTGCGCTCCAGACCCTTGCAATTGACAGCCTTTGGGGGTGAGATAAATATGTTGTTATTCCTGGCTACATCAATGGACCATGTCCATACTCACATTCTGGAATATGTCCGTGACGCACTCCTGCATGGCGTTGCTCTGGTTCTTGAGCATGTTCCGCGCTCGACGTTTCGCCTCCAAGAGCGCTGCACTCGGTTTGTTCGCTTTTCGCGGATCGCCGGCATTTATTCCGCCGCTGCCGCTGCTGATACCGCCGCTGCCGATGCCGCCGCCGGCAGAGCCACCGATCACTCCCGCTGCCGTTGCCGCCGTCCCCGTCTTCGATTTATTGGCCATTGCCCGCGTCTGCATCTTCGCCTGCTGCGCGCTCCGTCGCGTGACGATGGGCGGGCTCTATGGAAACGGATTTGAATTTAGCTGCCAACTCGAGTGCGCTTAATGCGCCGGCGGTATTTAGTATCCAGTATCTTGGCAGTTTCCAGACACGAATTTGGGTACCAACTGGCCTGGCCACTCAAGTGGGATAAAGGTACGGGTGGATGGATGAATTTAGAAACCCACTCGAGTGGGATAATTACAAAGGTGGAAGGTGGACAGTATCCAATTTCTTCTCTCTTCCGAACTATTCCCAAACAACTATAGCAACCATGTATATCAAATCTGGACGAAAAACACTATGTAGAAGTTTACAGAAAACTTTTCGAATGTGAACACGAATAAATAACAAATAACCCATAAAGTCAAGGCACTTTTCGTTTGAAGATTACAACGGCTGACATACTTTTCGAGTTCTGGACTACAGCCCAAACTTCTACAACTAATCTTGGTACAGTCTATGCACACTAACCCGAGTACTTCAACTGAAAGTTATGTATATAATTTAAAAATAATAAAATATACATTTTTAAACATTCATAAGATGAATATAATTAAATTAAAATAGCACATTTTTTAATCAGGCAATACATTCTCATTTATATTTTGAATTTTTTCTAAATGTTAGATTGGGAATTTTGTTTTTTTCATATCTACAATTTAACTTTTTTTTATCAAAGTTATTAGTTATCAGTTTTTCGTAAAACTTGCTATATTTAACATTATGCACCTTAACTGATGATCTGAACCTTAAGATTTCGTTAAGTTTATTTAAACCGTAGGTACCTTATTAATTACGAAAACTGGATTTTTTAAAAGATTTCAGTGGGTTTCAGTTATATTGCAAGTTTTACTCTGCTTCGAATTTGAATCAAAATATAAAAAAACACGTTATATAAACAAGCACCTTAATACTTTTTTTTTTTTTAACTTGTAAGTCAAGCAGATTTCCTAATGTTTTCATTTGTGTTGTTTTCCGACCTCTAATGACTCAGACAATTAATTTATTTAAGCAGTCGGAGTTAAAAGGGTTACATAATATACATATAAATATTTCACATAAACCTATATGAAATACTCTAAGCAATAATTTGAAGCACTGGAATGTATTTTAGTATTTCCGACCCAAAAATTTTTCGGAAGTCGAAGAAGATACAAAAATATATCACAATCAAATGGTAACCCAAAATAATTTTTTTTGAGGGCTTTAAGAAGCTATATTTGTGTTGTCTACTATTGAAATCCACAATTTTCTAATATTTCACATAGATAACATTATGTTTTGAAACACGTTAACTATTACAAAGATTTCACCTCAAAGGTCTCCTAGGGTAGATCTTTTCGCGGGTTTCCGTTAAGAAGGTTTCACTGTGCTTCCAGTGGGAAGCCGCCAACTGTTGGCCACGAAGTTTCGACGGGAACTGCGGCCACCATTCATGTCCATGGAGCTCACAAACCTGGCCAAGAAAACCGGGTGTGTGTGGGTGTTGTTGCCACAACCGCTTTTGGCCAAAACAACTCGAAAAGGCGGCATAATCCACCAGTACTCACCATGTTGTGGGAAAACGTGAATTTGTGGATTTGGATGTGGAAGTGGAGGCCGAGTCAGAGTCCGAATTGGAATCACAATGTCCGAATATCCGGAGCTCGAAGTGGAAGGCGGCGGAGCTGAAAGCGGGGGGAACGGGACGGACTGATTCACAGCTGCGAGGGCGTCCGCTTCTTGTTGTTGCTGTTGTTGTATATAATGTGGGTTTCCAAAATTTCCGGCTCCGTTCCCGCTCCTTGACTCCCGTTATTTATCGATTCCGTGTAACACACTTTTCTCTTATAATTAGACTTTTTGTGTGTGCTATAAATTATGCCTAGTTTATTTCTATCTCGCTTTCACAATCCCTACTTTAGCTGCGTGTTTGTGTGTGTTTGCGCTTCAGTTGCTCTGCATTTGTTGTTGTTGTCTTGATTCTCTTGTTTTTTTATTTTATTTTTGAATTTTTGTTTGTTGCTTGCAATACAAATGTGAAAACACTGAGCAACAAAATTATGCCCTGGCCAGCGGTTTTATTTTATTTTGAAACAGCGCTGCAGTTGCATTCGTGATTTTTTTTTGAGCAGACGAAGATGCAGCAACAGAAACAGATACATAGGCACGGCACAACAAACACAATCAGAACGTGAACCAGAAATCCCGCACACACACACAACACACAGCCCCAGAGAGGTGGGGGACGGGGGGCAGCAGGGGAGCACTGTTGGGGGGCGGAGAGAGCAAGAGAGAGCTGGGAATCGATGACGCGCGGGCGGAGAAATGCAATGTTTGTGTGCCGTGATGTCTTCTTCTTGCCGCTTACAAGCGATCAGCTGTTCGGCCGATAGGCACAACTTGTTGAATAATCGGTGGCAAGCGATAATTGCATCGATAGTTGGTTATTGCTAAAAATGTTTGCTTTTCTGAATGAAATTTATTAAAAATTTTTGAGATTGTGGTTTGAAATGTTCAATAAATGCCTCCTGTAAAGAAATCATAGAAAATAAACCCACTTTTCATTTAGCGATAGCAATCGGATGAAGTGCATGCATAATTTTTATTGTTTTTATAATTGTATTTTGATGCATGAGTGTTTCAAAGTAAATTTAAGTTCCCTGACCATTGTTGGACTGTTAGTCAAATAATGAAAAAATAATGAAAAAATAAATAACACTCTTCTTTTGGGAATCAAACAATCAATTCAATAATGATAAGCTTAAATCCGATAACGTTAGTTATTGGTTATCGTGCCGGTGTCATCGCTACCCGCGAAATCGTCAGATCTATCAATTTCCATTCGAAATCGCCTTGTTCACTTTGTGGATTCCGTATCCATGTTGCCATCTGTCCAGAATAATGTACCAGAATTGCTCCTGCAGCGGTCCCAGATCGCCTTCTGTACTTCTTTCTTCCAGGGACGTCCGCGGGACCGATTCCGGAACACCTCCACTTTGCTGTTGACGAGGAACCTCAGGTTCTACGAATTCCGGCGTAAGGATCTGCTGCACTACATCGATTTGCGGGGCACGCTACTCCAAAAGGTGGCCAGCCAACTGGAGAACTACGATGGACCCATGAGCCCGTTCCTGCCGAAGGAGGAGCCCACTGACGGAAGGCTGGACTGCAGCATGCTCCAGCCGACGGACGAGCTGCCCCTCAAATTCGGAAAGTATGTGTGGCAGCAAGAGGAGATCTTCCTGCTGATTCACTGCTGGCAAGTTCTGCTGATCCTGCGAAGACCCAAGGAGTACGGTTCCAACTTTGAACTGGTGGCAGAGCACGAGGATGTGGTGGCTTTTCATGTGGTTGGTGGCCCCATTCCCTACCAGGCCGTCGTGGAGCTGAAGTTTGGCAATGGCAAGCGGCTGTGCTGCGACTTCCAGGATGACTCCTTGGACGAGGAGCCAAGCACCTCCGAAAAGGCCGAATTGGCCTCCCAAAATTGCGAGGCCCTGCTGCAGAAAGTGCACGCCGCCGAGGCGGAGCTCACCACCCAGCGTATGCAAACCCAGAGGGACTTAGCCCTCGCCCAGGAAGTCCTGTTATTCGGCCCGCCTGCCCAGCGATCTCTGATCCTGGAAGAGAAGCAGCCACTGCGGCGTTTTGGTGATGTGTGGACCCGGATATGCGGCGATTATTTCGTTTGTGGCACCCTCCTGGTCAACGTAGCTGGCAGTCACCGCCTGAGCATCGCTAGAGATCTGTGTCCGGTGGTTGGTTTGGATCCACCCAGCAATTTTAGAATGGAGCACCGCCTGTACGAGCTACCACTGCAGCCGGATGGCCAGCCGCCCCTGGATTACGACCAGCTGGCGCAGTTCTGGGCTTGCCAGGATCAGCACAGTAGGCAGCTAAAATGGCGGCCAGTTTCCAAGGCGGGACAGCTGCCGCCCGAGTGCTCCGCGGTGATGGTCGTGCGTCTCCGTCTGGTCGATCTCCTCCAGGCGGAGCAACTCCATCTTTTGGTGCTGTACGAGATTAAGAACTCAGCAGAGGAGGAGGCATCCCCCAGGCAGATGCACCTGGTTACCTTTGATGTCAAGAAACTGTTGGATGCGACGGAGTCCCTGGCTCCCAGTTTCTCACCCGCCACGCTGCACCAGGACTTTCTGGCCGTGATGATGACGCAAAGAGCACGTTGCTGCCTGAAATTAGAGTTCCAGGCGACTGAGGACTGCGGGACATTCGAGCAGCTGCTGGCTTCCAAGCTGCAGTTTGAGTTGATACAAGCCCAGGAGGCGGGAAGGGATCAGGGTGTGTACCTACCTCTAATAACTCCTTTTTCGTCCCTATTAACAAATGATCTTTTACAGATTCCGACATTCTAGACGACTCGTGCGCTGGCGCAGCCTTTCAGTCAACCTCGGCCGCCGCTGATCCTGTCCAGCGTATCTTCTACAACCGTCAGCCGCTGTCGCAATGGTGTGGCGTCCTGATCCTTCGGGATGATCCCGGCCAGCTGTGGCATGTGTACGCCCAAACGGAAGACCGACTGCGCCTGCTCCAGCATCGCCTGATGCGCGATCTGCTCCAGCTGCACTGCAATGTTAATGTTCTGGAGGTCAGTGATCACAACCAAGCGCCCGCAGATGTGGCCCTGGAATTGGAGGCCAGCTTGAACGAGGAGCTGGAAGCCTGGAAGGAGGTGCTGAAGCCGGCAAGCAGTCACAAGCAGCGCCTGGAGCAACTGACGCATCTCCACCGGGTGCAAATGGCCAGCGATGTGCTGGCATCTATGATAAAAAGCCCAAATGATCCCGAATAGCACTGCATTCATATACGAATTTTATTTAGCGCATGAACTACTTATTTTTTAAGTAGGTTTTATGAATTTTACATAGATAGCGTAAAACATTTATACGAAATATATGCCATTTTTATACCCTTGCAGAGTATATTATAATACCTACGATGATTCCATTTGTTGGCTTTGCAGAAAAGTGACCTAAAACCTGCAATCCTAAGCCGATAGCTTTTCTAATTTAAATCCGATTTTGAATTGGTATACCTCTAAAATCTTGTAGTTTAAGTCCTTAAAAATCTGAATTCAAATCTTGTTTTAGAAATTTTTTAGGTTTTTGTCATTTTTATGTGGTCACCCCTTTCCAAATTTTCGAAAACTGGTGTTGAATAAAAGTGATCAAAAACATGCAATTCTAGGCCGATAACTTTTCTAATTTAAATCCGATTTTGAAGTGGTATACTTCTAAAATCTTGTAGTTTAATTCCCTAAAAATCTGCATTCAAATCTGGGCTTGTAATTTTTTTTCGGTTTTTGTCATTTTTTATGACAATTTTTCCAAATTTCAGAAAACAAATTTTCGAAAAATGGGTTTGCAGAAATGTGACCTAAAACCTGCACTTCTTAGCCCATAACTTTTGTTACGGACATCCGATTTCAAAGTGGCATACTTTAAAATGATTGTGTTTTCATTCTTTGAAAAACTGTGTTTCCAGTTTTTTTTTTGTTTTTGGGTCGAATTTTCATCATTTTAAGCAATGTAACCCCTTTCCAAATTTTCGAAAAATTGGTTTGCAGAAAAGTGACCTAAAACCTGCACTTCTTAGCCCATAACTTTTGTTACGGACATCCGATTTCAAAGTGGCATACTTTAAAATGATTGTGTTTTCATTCTCTGAAAAACTGTGTTTCCAGTTTTTTTTTGTTTTTGGGTCGAATTTTCATCATTTTAAGCAATGTAACCCCTTTCCAAATTTTCGAAAAATTGGTTTGCAGAAAAGTGACCTAAAACCTGCACTTCTTAGCCCATAACTTTTGTTACGGACATCCGATTTCAAAGTGGCATACTTTAAAATGATTGTGTTTTCATTCTCCGAAAAACTGTGTTTCCAGTTTTTTTTTTGTTTTTGGGTCGAATTTTCATCATTTTAAGCAATGTAACCCCTTTCCAAATTTTCAAAAAAATGGGCTTGCAGAAAAGTGACCTAAAACCTGCACATCTAAGCCCATAACTTTTCTAATTTAAGTCCGATTTGGAAGTGGCATACCTTTAAAGTCTTGTGGGTTCATTCCCTAAAAATCTGCATTCAAATCTTGTTTTACATTTTTTTTTTAGGTTTTTGTACTTTTTTATAATGTCACTGCATTCATGATGTTATAGGCATGTTTTATTTTATTTATGAACGTTTTATAATATTGCATTCTTGTCGGATTTTTAAATCTACAACTTAAAGCATTTATGCGAAAATTAAAGCATTTTTTCAAAAGCATCGGGAAATTGGAAGAATCCGACTCTTAATGATATGTAAATTGTAATATATGAATGATTTGTGATCTCATTTTGTCAGGATTATTTGAAAATGTACAACTTAAAGTAAAGCGGACTTGGTCTGGCTGGAATTGATATCTGGGCTAAGTGACATCCTGATCCTCACGTGCTGATTCGCCTCTGCTGCTCCTCACTCTTGATGATGCTGTCCAGAACGTTCTCCAGATTTTGGGTGGCCGCCGAGAGTTCGGCATTGTCGCTGTACGAGTCCTCGACGATCTCCTTGACCTTGTGCAGCAGCAACTTAAAGTTGACCATCTCGGTGTCGCGACCATCGCCGCCATTTGCTGGCTGCTGGTCCAGCAGGGCGCCCAGTGGCATGGGCAGGGCCAGAGGAGCTGGCAGGGATCCAGGTCCCGGCTGCACGCTGGAGCGACGCTGATCGAACCACAAGCTAATGTCGTTAAGGGAGTAATCCGATTTGTTGGCCTCTAAGTAGCTCTTATTCAATTCGGCACCATTAACTAAAATATATTAAAATGTTTTGCGATTGTTTTTGTTAATTATTTATGTTTAGTTCTTACTAGAGTGCGTGAGATTGGCACCAACGGGTGCATACATATCGAAGATCTGCCTCTGGGGAGTGCTAGAGCTGAGAAAGGTGGAGCTGACCAACGGAGCAGCTGGAGGAGCCACGCGGGGAGTCGGCGGAGGTGGCGAGGCTGCCACAGATGAATGCTGCAAATTACACATTTAATAAGTACATTCGTATAACTGAAATATGTAGCAATCCCACCGATAGCTGTCGCATATCCTCGATGATTTGCAGCAGAAAACTCTGATGGGCGCTGAGAAACTGTGATATTTCCGAACTGGAAGTTGTTGCCACCGTTTGCAGCTGGGTTTCCAATTTCCTAGAAGAAAACAAATCTCTTAGGCCTGGCAGAAAAAGGGGTACCAATGGAAAAACCCACGCATTCTGAAGCAACAAGCGATCGATGATAGACTGAAGTCGGCTAGAGGCCTTGCTGGCCAGCCCCGTCAAGGAGCACAACTCCTGTTGCTGCTGGAGGATCACAGTGCGGTCCCTTTCCTTTTCTTTTTCTTTTTCCTTCTCCTTTTCTTTTTCCTGGCACTGACTACGCAGACTGCGCGTCTCCGCGGGAATGGGCGTGGCAGCGGATTGCCCTAAGGCGGCCCCACTTTCCTGGGCATTGCAGAACCCACGACGTTCCTCCTCCTGCGTCTTCCGGGGGATCACCAGCCAACCGCACAGCTTGGCCAGGTGGCGAGTCCAACGCAACGGCGGCTGATCCTCCACGAACACCTCACACATCCGGTGGCCCGGCTCGTGGCGACCACCAGCAAAGCCCACTGCGAAGCAAGGCAGGCACAAAGATATATCGCGGCACACCTGACAGCGAAAACGAATGCCCACAATGTGCTCCTTGCGACAGCCGGCGCAGGAATTGCTGTGTATCAAATGCTCGGTGTCCTCGATGCGTTTCACCAAGGCCAGTAGATTTCCATAGATTAGGAACCGTGTCTGGACACCCGCTCCCGTCCAGAGTTTGTGGAACTGCGGTTCGGCGAGTCCGCCCACGCCATGTGGACAGCGGGCAAAGCTCTGCTCCATCGCCAAGGGAAGATTATGGGCGCCATAGGCCTTAGCCTCGCCCAAATAGCTAAGCAGCTTGCTCAGCGTGGCCAGGAGCTGTTCGAAGGCATATCTGGAGATGATCTGCGTCTTGGCATCCGCCAGCAGGCCAAAGATGTCACTCACTAGGTGATCGCTGCTATAAAGCTTGCAGAGCAGAATAAAGGTGATCTTGATCTCCAGCAGCGAAATGGAGTGCCGGCGTTGCCTAAGGAAACGAAAGAGTGTTAGTACAGGGTTTGGATCGAAGCATGATGAGGACAAAACCCACGGATCGTAGACATTCCAGAAGAAGTTGGCCAGCAGTCCGGTGGCCCTGTCCAGTTGGTAGTTCACATCCTGGTTAAAGGGTCCCAGCTTTTCGCAGGCAAAGTATACATCGTGGAGCAGGGAGGTCAACTGAAACGGGGGAACCATCAGTTCCAGGCCGCCGCTCAAGTTATGGCGATCCAAAATGGCCAAAACCAGCTTGTAGGGAATTTTACCGGCTGCAATTTAGAGGTTAATCCTTGGAGTTACTTGTACGGATTAGTGCATGTGCAGACTACCCACTGTGAAATATCTTTTGCAGCGCCACGAATTTACTGGCACACCGGTAGACCGTATACTTGTAGTCTCCGAAATCCCGCTGCAGATCGTCCATTATGGTGGCCAGATCTTTGCCCACCTGTTGCTCGTGTCCTTGGCCCCTCGGCAGGGATCCCTTCTCCTGCGCTATGGACGCCACCGCCTCCGCACTGTTTCGCATTTTTGTGAGCTGCACTGGCACCGTCACTCCCAGCATCTCGGAAAGGATTCACTTTACTCTATTTCCCACGGATTTCGGTTTCTTTTTTGAGTCTCTTTTGTGACCGCGTCGTTTCTCGCGATCTCTTCCTCTTCTCTTCCGTTAGCGCAAAAGTCAAATTTGGCAGCCAAGAGGTGGCAACGCCGCTGGGCTATCGATATCTATTCGCCTAACCGTTACTTTTCGATTTATATTTAAAAAAGAGTCGCCTTGTTTTTAGCCATGTTTCAGAATAAAAAATTTCTAGGACCAACAGTTTTTCTTTTTTTTCTTCATTCTTTTAAGCAAATATAAATGTTTTTTTTTGTCAAAAAAAAGTCAATTACATTTTTTTTTTTATTAAACAAGTTATGGAGAAGGTTGCCATAAAAAAAATTGAGTAGAAAACTAAATTGAATAAACAATAGCTTTGTTAGCTGATTGTTATTCCATATAATTATTTATTATAGTTATAAATTTAAGACCTTTAAACTTATTATTAATATCAGTAAGGGTCTTAAATATTGTGATTTTGCTCTAATCAAAATATTTCCTAAAAAATCCAATTTTAACATAATCAATAGTAAACTAATAACCACTTTATGCAAAATATTACGATTTATTTAAATAACGATGTTGATCTCCACAGTTATAGAATTTGTTAAATTGTTAACTAATAATACAACTGAAATAAACTAATATCTGACAAAACTAACAATAATTTGTTGCAGGATATTCCAGAATATAAATATCTAATGAGTCAGTCAGTTTTAAGATAAGAATAATTCATTAAAGACATTAATAAAACCACAAGTTGTTCAATTTTAAAATTAAATATATGTTGTATGTATATTTGCATCATTCCATTACAATTACATTAACTTACGCTTAATTTTGTTTTTTTTTATTTTCATATATTTTGTTTTTGTTTTAAAATAGGGGTTTTTCTTATCATTTCGATTCTTGTTTTTTCTCTGCTTATATCAATATTGTAATATGCCAAGTTTATATGTGAGTGGGGAGGCGGGGCGAAGAAGGGTTTTTAATTATTTTATTTAACTCTTGTTGCCTTTTGAAAGCATTGTCCCGCTTCCGTATGCGAATCCACGACATACGTATATAAATGTGTATGTTCATTAATCACTAATTATCATATGTGTTTGGGTTGCTATTTATATATAAAGATCGTTCTCCACTTGCAATGCGCGTTTGCAATTTATACTAGGGGGCGTGAGGCGAAATTTCCATCGGTTTGCGTATTTAAAAATTAAAACTACATACAATCATCATTCATCAATCATCATAGATCATAAATCATACATGGTGGGGATGGGAACAAGGTATAAGGTGTTCTTAACTCTCTTTCTAATAGTTCCATTTAAATCCACTCTCGGTTCAGCGGTTTTCGAATAAAAACGGTACAGGCTGCAACGCAAATTGAGTAATTACAAAATACAATATATATTGATTGCGAGCCGCTGGACAAAAAGTGGCCCCAAATGGACGCTCGATTTTTACAGGTTGTGTTTTAGCTTACTTAATTGCACATACTAATAGATCCTATATGTATAAAGTTCCATTCTTTTAGATTAGAGTTTTCGCTGCGACTGTTTGTTGGCTGTGGTTTTGGTTCATTGATTGATTGATTTGCAATTGCTTACATGTGTTGTTGCTTGGATCTCAGAACAGAATTTGAAACCTGTCTATAATTATCATAAGGGCTTAAAGTATAAAAAGGTTTGCGAATGAATTTAGCAATCGTTTTTTATTTTAATTGTAGCTAAAATGATAAGGTACTAAACAAAACCATCTCGACATCTACAGGTTCTTGTTCTTCGTTTTCGGGGGTCGGTTAATTGCGCTGGATCATAGTTGAATTGAATAAATTATGCTATGCTAAAAGTTGGTCTACAAGGATTCTCTGTTCAATTAGCACTTAAATACGTTATCGTAGTAATCGTATAATAATATTAATTAATAGTGAAAGACATTCTTTGCTAAACAAAAATCAACTATATGTAAACATAAAAAAAAACTGGTAATTTTATAATGTTTCGTTTGCTTGCGTTTTGTTTGATTTTTTTTTTTAGTTTTTTTTCTTGTGTTTAATTAATGTATAAAATTAAAATATATAAGAAAATTCCTATTTGACAAAAAATTTTGTTGTGTAGATGGTAACATAGAAAATTATGTTCTTGTTTTGTTTTTAGGCGGCGGCGACGTCTTACACAGGTTTCTCTTCTCTTGGTGTTCATTTATATTGTTTTATATAATATATATATTGTGTTTAATACATATATTAATAGTGGGAGAAGTGTGAGCTTGTGTAAGTGTGTGTGGGTTTGGTGTGTACACCTCGCAAGTTAAACTTCAGCGTAGTGCGCACTTAAAACAATCGAAATCAAACGTTAAAAGCAGACAAAACAGACAGAGAAGGTCCGCTTCCCCATCCCGGTTTATCCCTCTCGCTCTTTTTCGGGGGATAATCCCGAAACGCACTTCCCAAAAGTTAGACATATGCACTACTCTTTGCATAAACTTTTTTGGGAAAGTGTGCGGATAACCTGGAGTCTAAAAAACCGGCCTGGCCCTGTGGCGAGTGTGGTCTTTCGTGGTTCCTGTTTTTGTTTAACCAGCAGTGTCTATGCTTTGTGTGTTTGTGTGTGTGGGGGGCATTGCGTGTATATCTAGGCGTGGTTGTGAGAAACCAATTAAAAACGATAATCCTCGTCGGCCATGTGGACGGCCCACAGAAATTTGGTTCTTTGCGTTTTGTTAAATATCTTCTCGATCGGCACTCCATTCTTTTTACACCTGCAAACGAGATAAAAACATCATCAGCCAGTTTTTAATGGCAATTGGTTTAAGGGACACCCACCAAGCCACCGAAATGCGTGGATCAAGATAGTTTAGCTTAGATGTGCCCAGGGCAATGGTCTTATTCTCGTCTCTATCAGTCTCTTGTAATTCTAGTTTCTTCAGCTGATCCTTCAGGCGCTCCAGCTGTTTGCCCTTCTTGTCGGCATTGACCTTCTCCTTGACGGAGCCACGTTTGGCGGCCTTCTTAAAATCCTGCAGATAAATGTAATACAATCAATCATATATAATGGTAACGAAAAACTATTTGACATATACTTACATGATACTCGGCCTCGCAATCATCGATGGCATCACGCTTGGCCTTGATCTTCTCCTTCAGGTTTTCCATCGACTTCTCGTGGCCCTTGGGCACGGAACGCTGATGGTTACAGAGGATGGCCACGGCACGGTTGGCGCGATTGTAGGCCAACAGCTTTTCCGGCACGGTAGCACTCGGATCGGTGAGCAGATCCAACTGGCTTTGCAGTGTTTTTGAGGCGTTGTACGTACGGAATACCTTGGCCGTGAGTCCTAGTTTGGACATCAAAATATACAAATAAGTAGGGGAAAGACCAAAAATACAGGGATAAATACGTACCATCCATTAGCTCCTTCAGATGCTCGTTAAGCACCTGGGTATTGAGTCGATCAAAGAGGTCGTCGCCGTCTTTCTTGTGCTCCATAAACAGCTCGAGGTTCTTAAAGACACGCTTCTCCACCTCGACCTCGTTGTAGTAGCGAATGGAATCCTTACCGGGGAAGTCGAACACCACAACGTTCTCCTTGCCATTCAGCTCCTTGTGCAGCTGGACGTGCTCCACGCGCAGCGAGCAACAGCCCACGGTATCAGCCTGGTCCTCATCCTTCTCGTTACCCGCACGCAGCGCCAGTTTATCGATGAAGTAGAGGGCAACAGCTCGCTGGCGAACCCTCATCTCCTTGGACTTCCACTCGTCGCGATAAGTGGCACGGATCTTATCAATGACCTTGTCCAGGCGACGCGCCGTCTCGTACTTAATGTGATCCTTCTCGCCCTTGAGTTTCGAGGAGGGATTCAGCATGATGTACTTGACCTGTCCCTGTACGTTCTCAATCCAGGAGGCCAGCCAGGTGACCGTGTTGTCGTGGCGCACTTCCTTCCAACGCGAGCCGCCCGGAGGTGGCGGCACCTTCGAATCCTTGCCACAGTTAATCGACACATCGCTGGCGTGGATGCGTCGTTTAATCATGCCCATTTTGGGATGCTCACCACGGCCGCGAAACAGGCCTGGCGGCTCCAGACGGAAGTTGCCTATCTTCTCCTTGTGGCCGTCAATCATACAGAATCCGTACTCCTTCATCAAGGCCTCGTTCTCGTTCTTTTTGACCAGCTTCTCCTCCTTGGTGGCCGCCTTGCGCTTCTCGGACTCTGCCTGGAAGAAGTTAAACATCTCCTGGAAGTTGCACTTGCGGAAATCCTTGATAATCTCCTTCTCCTTGGACGTCATCGACTTGCGGAAGTCTTTGAAGAAGTTATTGTTGAACACTTCCTTGGTGCAGTAGTCATGGTTCAACATCTTCGCGTAGAAGGTGGCCGCCTCCTCTGTTTCCTCGGAGAGTTCCAGCGGCTTGCCATCGTAGTAGAAACGAACATTGCGGGGCACACGCTCGTACGGCGGAGCGAACACGGGTCCCTTGTGCTCCAGAGTTGACCACTTGACGCCATCTGCGCGCTTCTCCTCCTCCCACCTGGAATACAAGAAATTATGAGGGATTAAAGTAAGTATCTTACATATTTAACAAGCTTTTGTGTTTAAGGTCCATTTGTCCTTTTAGTATAATTAGATTTTTTGAACCTTCTTAAACATTTTCGATCTTCAGAAGTTTAAGAAAAAGTATACCTTTTCTTGTGAAAAAAGTAAATGTTTGTATCTAAGATAAATAAAAATCCATAAGGTGATTAAAATTGCTATATCGATCTTGCACGGTACAAATGCGTATTCATATTCCTAATCTGAGAACAGGGTCCAGTCTATTACAAGAACGGAGCACCCTAATCAAATCGCACCATCGAATTTGCTCTTCCTGAACGCTCTTCCGTCGCACTCTTCTCTTTTTGCCCGCAACAGTGGCTATGGCGACGATCTGTTCCCCGAAAACCAGGCAAACACTCCGGTTCCCGAATAGACGTACTGCCGCCAAAGAGCGCGACACGACCGATGTCATCTGTGATCTATATTTCAGTTTAAGTTTATCACATTACGCAAAGAAGCGGCGTTCGAACCCAACCTCAAAATTGCCCTGCGACTGTGTGCATCTGTGTGTGTATTTTGGGGAGCTCAGCTGTTTTTGGAGCTTGGGGGAGTGAAAGGGGGGTGGGGGCGGCGCATGCGTTTCGTGGCGAATGGAGCCCGCACAGTGGCTGCCAAGAGTTTCTGCCCACATGCGCTCGAACTTAAATAAAACACACGCGGCACAAAACTTTAGGCAGCCACAGTGTGTGACTTTCAATATGTAGGTCAGTGACATTCAAAATTCACAGTGAACACATGGCACGAACGCACGCACACACGTGTCACACCGACACGTTGTTGTTTTTCTAACCGGTACTTGGAAAAAAATAAAATAATACAAACAAAATACACAAGGCCAACCAATTATTTGTTTAATACATATAATTCGAACGCTTTCCCCTCCATAAATTTAAATATTTTGCTGTGCGAAAGCGTGAGTTACCTGTTTCAATGATTAATAAAAAGCCTTTCACCTCGAATAACCTTTGCAGAAATTCACTTTGCTTACATATCACAATAAATACGGCAATATCCTTTTAAAATTTAATCTACAGGTTTTCAATTTGGGACTTTAAAAAAGCTACTTCCCTCAATAATCTCAGTTAAAATTTGTAATATTCTCAAAAATATTGATCAGCTGATTTTAGATTTATTTATAGAGTTGAGAAACATGTTTCTAATGATATTTTAACTGTTGAAACGAATAACACTACTTTAAAAAGGGTTAAAAGTTCTTTGAAAATATACAAAAACGTTTTTGACTCTACTTAATAATCACCGTAATAATGTTCACAATAAATATTGATCAAGAAAATTGTTATAGTATTTTAAAGACTTAACTTTAAGAAATATTTACAATGTGTAATCAGTCTCTAAGCAGATTCTTCAAAAATGTGGCATCAAAACGTACTTTTCTTTAACACAAACAAATGGTAATTTTTAGTTTAATCCCTATTTCTCTTGTTTCTTCAGAGGTAAGCACACATTTAAATTTCTAACCTATATCACCAATATCGATTACTTCAGCAAAAGTACTTTTTTAAAATTAATTTTTTTAAATTTGCTATTTTTCTAATATCCTCTCAATACTTCTTGATATTTAAGTAATTATATGGACATTATGGACAATTTTCAAGCAATTGCAGATTTTTAGGATCATAATTTAACTGTTTTATGAGGTTAGCATTGCTTAAATATTATAAGGCTTACCAGCGCCACACCTCCTCCTCCTCCTCCTTGATCTTCTGGCGTTTGGCGGGGGATACGGCCTCGGTCTTGACCTCGGCCTCCTGATCGAAAAAATATAATTGTTTTATCATCTGTGTTGAATGCAACCGAAATATTTAGGGACTACCTTTTTGATCTTTATCTTCTTGGGCTTGACGTTGGCGTACATGTCGTCGGCCTCCTCCTTCACACGCTTCTTCGACTTCTTCTCCTTGGACTCCTTCTTGGGCTTCTTGCGCGCCAGCAGCGGAATGTCGTCGTCGTCGTCATCCATGCCGCCATGGGCCTGATCGGGTGCCTCCTGCTTGCGCTTCCGCATTGCCAGCGGCACATCCTCCTCGTCCTCATCCATCTCCTCGGGCTCCTCGTATTGTTCATTATCGTTCATGGTGCTATCATCTTCGGCGTAGCTCTGCTCGTGCTTCACCTCGAATGGCGGCTCATCGGAACGAAACTGGGACAGGGAGTAATCACAGGAGCTGGCCTGCGACAGATTGTTGAAGCTTTCCTCCTTCTTGATTTCCACAATCGAGTCCTCGTAGCCGTTCTTGTAGTTCGCTCCGCCATCGTTGCCATTGCCGTTGCAATTGATGGCGGTATTCGGGTTGTAGCTGTTAAACTCCTCCGGCACATGGAAGGGTTCGATCAGACCCCCGGGAATCAGGGGTTGGGAAACGGGCTCCGGCTTGACAAACACTCCATCGTACGATGGCGGTTCCTTCGAGGTCGATGACGAGCCACCGTGCCTCGAACTGGAATGTTTGCTCTTCGATGAGGACGACGACGAGGAGCTCTTGTGACTGCTGCTGCGCTCTTTATCACGGGAGCTAGATGAGGATTTGTGCCGACTGGAGGAGCTGCTGCTGCGATCCTTGTCCTTGTCACGCCGCTCCTTGTCCTTCGAGGAGCTCTTGTGGTGGCCGGACGAGGACGATGATGAGGACTTGTGCTTGCTGCTCCCATCCTTGTCCTTGTGGCTTGACGAGGAGCTGCTGCGATGCGAGCTGCTGCTACTGTCGCGTTCCTTGTCCCGATGCTTCGACGACGAGCTGCTGCTCTTGTGGCGGTCCTTGTCGCTATAAGAAATAAAGTGAGGGTTATTACATGCTTCCTTTGATGATTGTAACCACTGAAGATGATATTTTCAGTAGTCTGCGGCTGATCAGGCGACATCGGGGCATTATAAGCTATAGCTCTCAGAGAAACAATTGGGTCAAATGGTCATTACTACCGTGTTTGTGTAGGTAATTGAATAAAACTGGTCTGATTGTAGTTTTCACGAATTTAAGAGAAACTTTCCAATACATAAGCTCTATATCTATACCATATGGGCCTTAGAGTTTAATGGGTTTCTACATAAATTGCTTAAATAAATAAATGAATTTATATACTTTGTACCTGCTTAAGAAAACAATTGCATTGGGAAGTTATAACATTTATATTTTAAATGTAGTTACGGGGGATTTATTTAGCTTCCTAATCTGGGGTTGATTTTTACAAATTATGAATCCATTGAGTTTGGATTGTCTAACAAGAACTCCTTTCTAACATGTGAATATATTCAAATCATGAAGAAGAATATAAAAATAACTACATACAATTGGGAAATTGAGGTATTTTGAATATCACATGTATATTTTTATGCTGACGGCTATATCTCGTCGATTTCACAGAACTTTAAATAGGCATTAATTTGTTGTTTCTTGAGGTCGGGAAACTCAAAACGTTTACATTGACCTACTTGTTTGAGATAATTCTAGACAGGTGTCTTAACATTTGATTGCTATATCGATTTGATAGACTTTATTTGGTTATTTCCAAGCTATTGTGACCAATATCATCTATTGTGAGCATGGTTCTACTCGAGTTTCCTTAAAGGTTATTACTATATTCTCGTACCGACTGCTCTTGTGGTCCTTCGAGGAGCTGGAGGATCCGGAGCTCTTGTGCTCCCTGTCCTTATCACGGTGCTTGTCCTTGCTATGGGATTTATGCTTGCTCCCGCTGCTGTGGTGGTGGTGGTGTCCATTACTGGTCACCCCGTTGGATTGAACCACCTCGCTTCTGCCACCATTTTGAATGTGGATGTTCTGCGGGCGAGAGAAAGAGAGAGAGAAAGATGGGTATAGAGTTATACATGGGACAGCTGAAAAAGTGAGAGTGAATCCGGGCCAGAAACCTGTGCATCCGTCATGTCCCCTGATGAATTTTTCGCTGCTCTCTTGCTGATTATCGACGTGGATTGACTTCTTCTCGATTTCGGGCGACAATTAGTGATTATCTCGTGTCTATTCGCTCACCACGTGGTGAAAATCAACCCTAACAAATGCCGCGTAGGAAAATTCACTTGAAGCGGGCAGCAATGGGTTAAGCGAAGAAGAAGCAGCGCCAGAGAGCGATGGCGACAGGAAATTGGAAATTGTTCCCGAATCGTTTGGAATAGGTTAAGAAAACTGCTGCCAAACAATGGAACACACACACACTTGTGCACTGGAGAATACAGAAAATCGTTTTTTACGCTCTTTGCAGCATAATTCTTTTTCCTTTTTTTTTCAACGTGGGCGCTGCATCAAGGCTACACTGTTCACACACACACACACAGGGTTGTTGTTGTTGTTCTTGCAGCGTATTATTTCCCAAATGCGTTTTTTTTTGGGGTGGCACATCTGTCTTATCAGACGAAACACAAAAAAAACTCTATATATAAATGTAGTTGCAAAATGGGACACTTGCAATTACATACATGAACGCTACAGGGCAACAAAAACAACAAACATGTGATTTTTTTTTGTATGTGGAAAATACCAGTGTGACCGAATTGGGAAGTAACAAAAGGAAAGAGTAGTCGCTAGCTGATATTTCAAAATAATTCGAAGAGGTAAAAGAAAATTCATTTTTGGAAGAGTTAATTAAAGAGTTTAGTTAAGTTGAAGGAAGGAAAATCAAGGAAAACCGCTGCAAAGTGGCCGTCAAAATACCAGTTTTGGTATTTCAGTTGCGGCCACACTGTGCCAAATACATTTCGTCTGCTTCGGCTTTTCCCCTCTCTCTTTTGACTCCTCTTCGACGTTTTGCCACTTGCATTGTCGCCATTTTCGTCAATTACCAAAAGCCTCTTCTTTTTTTTTTTTGCTTTTTCGCTGCATTTTACGCACTCTGCTGGCAGCGACGTCGACTGCGACGGCGACTGCAGGCGGTACACTTGCAACTATTCTGTGTACCCAATTGCGAGCCCATCTTTTATTTTGCGGCAGGCTCGCTGCTCGCTATTCAACACGTTTGCACTTTCCTCCTTTGGCCTTCGTTAAATTACATAAAAAGAAGAGATTTTTTTTCGTTCACTTACATTCTCAGCGGCCACATCCCCACTCATTTTGCGGCGCTCGGCGTTTCTTTCCCAAAAATATTTTTTTTTTCTTAGTCTTAGACTTTTTTGGAGCTCCGCACTGTTGTAAGAATTTATTATTCTGTTCACTCTAGAGATGGAAAGTTTAACGACGGGGAATTGACAGCACTGAGTTTTTAGAAATGAGCAGCGCTTTTTGCCCTTGCTTTTTTGGCTATTTTTTGCGTTACACACCGCGCAGCCACGCGAACGTCGTCCCGAGTGTTCAATAGGGGTGGGGAGTCAACGATGTTACTGTCGATGTCGTCGATGTTCTCAGACCATCGGTGGTATCGATGGTCGGCGGGGCGTTATCGGTGTGCTTTAACCTTTAATGCCCTCTTCCCACAGAGCTCCATCCACCATCCACCATCCGTTGAACGGATGGTCCATAAGGTTTTGCCGTTCCGAAAATTCCCAGTTAGTTCCCCATCCAAATTTGACGGACTTTTTTATGCGATAGTTAGGCGATGTTTTTTTGGTGCAACTCTGAGTTCTTCTTCTTGACAGTGGAAATTGGAACATTCACTACGAAAATTTAAAAAAATAATGGCGGGTAACTTTTGAACAGGAAGGCGCCAATTCAAAAATGCTGTTTATACTTGTAATAATTAATTAATTAGTGCTCCATCCGTGTGGCAGCATTAGGTGTTGCTCCACTCTTTCCTAGGCGCATACCTTACTCACAACATTGAGCAGAACATTTAAAATGAAATAAAATATGAAATTATAATAAAACAAAAAACAAACATTTATATATAATGAACTTGATTTGTTACCATTTAGACAATATTGGGCAATAGCTGTTCATATTTTGTCTGCAGGCTGGTAAAAATCTGCAGACGTATTAGTTCGTTTTGAATATTCGCATAGATCACTTGCAGTCTGTTACCAAGTATCATTTATAACGCTGTTGTGCTCATTTTAAATGTTGTGCAAAATGCAACGGGCTAAAATGATGAGCCACAGCTGTTCAGATCAGCTGTTATCGGATGGTGGATGGTGGATGTGCTCTGTGGGAATCGGAGTTTCACATTTGTCAAAAATCCCAACCGTTTCAGACGGATGGACTCTATGGGAAGAGGGCATAAAAAGCAATAAAATGGTATATGTACTCGTTAATATCGGAGTAAGTCCATTGTGAGGAGTTAAATTACAGGGATGGGGGCGCTTCGATTTATAAGCGGTCGATTGGCACTAGACGATAGTGTCGATCGATGGGCTCAGAAAACTGGAGATGACGGCACAGGAAGGGTCACACTAAAAAAAATATCGCCGCAACCGGATGGCAACGCTGCAATAATTCGAATCATCGATATCGGCTGGAAAACCGATCGGGAAAGCAGTAGTGTGACCAGACAACGAAGGAAAGGAGATGCTTAGAACGCGAAGCATATGGGGGAAACATCTTGGGCGGGACATTCAAAGGAGATGCGAAGGAGAACACGAGACGTCTATGGGGGAAACATCTTGGGCGGGAAGAGGAATGGAACATCGGCGCTGTGGAACTCAGGTACGAGCTGTGAGCGTCGAGGGAACCATTTGGAGGAGCAAAAACACTCGAAGGCTACCAGGATTTACAAGGAAGACAGCCGGAGAGAAGGAAATCAAGTCTATGGGGGAAACATCTTGGGGCGGGAAATACATAGAACGAGAAGGAGCGACGTCGAGGGAAGGAGGACCAACATCAGCGATCCAGAACAGCGGATCCAAGGAGAACTCCAAGATAACAGCCGGAGAAGAGGTGCAAGTCTCATTTCGTTCCCGAAGAAAGGGGAGAATGTGAGGAGTTAAATAACCCCTCACAAATGAATGAGAGTTTGGAGAATACAGCTGGAGAGAGTTTGGAGAAATACAGCTGGTGAGAGTTTGGAGAACACAGCTGGAGAGAGTTTGGAGAGATACAGCTGGTGAGAGTTTGGAAAACACAGCTGGTGATAGTTTGGAGAATACGGCTGGAGAGAGTTTGGAGAGAACGTGTAACGGTAGAAGGCGACGGACTTTGGACCGAGTATGGTGCCGTGCGCAAAAACCGAAAAGGAGAAGCCGAGAATTAACGGGATACGCCGGCCTATAAAAGCGGGCCGAGCGCAGGAAGCGGGATCAGTCGATCACAAGGAGTCAATCCAGCAAGATCAGTAGACAAGCAGTAAATCAGCGAGGAAAACAAGTCAAGTCAACATCAGGAGGAAGCAGAGCCGCGCCGAGTCAACAGGAGCAAGATCGCTACATCAAGACGTTCGGGACTTAGAGTTGAAGTCGCCGAGCTGAGAAACAGGTAGCTGAGGTCCTTGAGGCATCACGCGGCTAAGTCCAGGCGCTTTGTTCTAATTCCTGTCGCGACGTGAGCTTGGCATATTGCTCGGCGAGTCCGACGGAAGTGAATAGAAAGAGTCCTTCGACCGAGAACCGTGGGCTCGAAAGGGAAGTTGTCCAGAACGAGCGGCCGTGCGAAAACAATTGCCATATCGAATTCCGGCGTACGCCTGAACCGACAGGCGAGAATTGTGCAGGCCCTGGTGCGACTAGCCACGAAGGACGCGCGTCTGAACCACTGGTGTCTCGAGAGGCGTATGCGTCGAGAGCACGGTAATTCACCGCCAGAGTCCTAGACAGGCAACTGACCGAATCTCGAGAGCCAAAGACCGCTGCACCTAGTCTCACTAGAGCACGCAGACCACGACGTGAGCAGAGCAAGGGCATCGAGAACACAAGGAGCGACGAGCAGCCATCGCAGGCCCAGCGGCAACCAAGCCATTCCACAACACATCCAGTCCACGGCTAAGAGGCGAGGGCGGAAGCGTTCGTCTTAAACCTAGCGTCCTGCCACAGGGACTGCATTGGCGGCCTTCCGGCGTATGCTTGAACCGTCAGGTGGAAACTGTGCAGGCGTCTGGTGCGACCGGCCGGGACAGAGCCAGGGACAGGAGGCTGTGGCTGCGAAAGGCGTACGCTTTGAGAGCCCGGTGCCTGTTCACCCTAGTCTGGGAACGGTGACGCATCCCTAGACCCTCAGAAGCCCCGAGGCCAAAGACAGCGGAGGCGTTTCGGAGCAGCGAGCAGCGAACAGCGAGGCAGCGGAGAGCGACGGTGGAGCGACAACAATTCTTCAAGGGAGGCGTTGAGATACCCATCTGTCACCATTAGTCCCAGGCCGAGGGACAAGTCGGCGAATAAAGATCCCAATACAAGCATCCCAACATTCTGTGCGTTCTCACTAGACAATCGGGCGGTCACGTTTATATAAATTTGGTGGGACGAACAACACACATCTTCTGAGCTAGCCGCACGAAACTCGTAGCGAGCAGACATTCAAATCAGTTCGTTACATCTGGCACATCAAACATAATAAACGCGCACAATACAAACAAATAAATAACACAAAACACAAAAAAAAAGGGTACAGGCGGCATCGGTCTTCTCGTATACGACATCGAGGCCCGGCGGCCAAGGGCGACTGGAGGGCGAAAGGCTAAAAGAGAGAGTAAAGTGAGAATGGTGAAAGTGGAGAAAGAAAGGAAAAAACTTACCATTGAAACTTTCTTGTCATGTCGCTCATACAGGGATGGGGGCGCTTCGATTTATAAGCGGTCGATTGGCACTAGACGATAGTGTCGATCGATGGGCTCAGAAAAACTGGAGATGACGGCACAGGAAGGGTCACACTAAAAAAAAATATCGCCGCAACCGGATGGCAACGCTGCAATAATTCGAATCATCGATATCGGCTGGAAAACCGATCGGGAAAGCAGTAGTGTGACCAGACAACGAAGGAAAGGAGATGCTTAGAACGCGAAGCATATGGGGGAAACATCTTGGGCGGGACATTCAAAGGAGATACGAAGGAGAACACGAGACATCTATGGGGAAACATCTTGGGCGGGAAAAGGAATGGAGCATCGGCGCTGTGGAACTCAAGTACGAGCTATGAGCGTCGAGGGAACCATTTGGAGGAGCAAAAAGACTCGAAGGCTACAAGGATTTACAAGAAAGACAGCCGGAGAGAAGAAAATCAAGTCTATGGGGGAAACGTCTCGGGCGGGAAGAGGAATGGAACATCGGCGCTGTGGAACTCAGGTACGAGCTGTGAGCGTCGAGGGAACCATTTGGAGGAGCAAAAACACTCGAAGGCTACCAGGATTTACAAGGAAGACAGCCGGAGAGAAGGAAATCAAGTCTATGGGGGAAACATCTTGGGGCGGGAAATACATAGAACGAGAAGGAGCGACGTCGAGGGAAGGAGGACCAACATCAGCGATCCAGAACAGCGGATCCAAGGAGAACTCCAAGATAACAGCCGGAGAAGAGGTGCAAGTCTCATTTCGTTCCCGAAGAAAGGGGGAGAATGTGAGGAGTTAAATAACCCCTCACAAATGAATGAGAGTTTGGAGAATACAGCTGGAGAGAGTTTGGAGAAATACAGCTGGTGAGAGTTTGGAGAACACAGCTGGAGAGAGTTTGGAGAAATACAGCTGGTGAGAGTTTGGAGAACACAGCTGGTGAGAGTTTGGAGAACACAGCTGGTGATAGTTTGGAGAATACGGCTGGAGAGAGTTTGGAGAGAACGTGTAACGGTAGAAGGCGACGGACTTTGGACCGAGTATGGTGCCGTGCGCAAAAACCGAAAAGGAGAAGCCGAGAATTAACGGGATACGCCGGCCTATATAAGCGGGCCGAGCGCAGGAAGCGGGATCAGTCGATCACAAGGAGTCAATCCAGCAAGATCAGTAGACAAGCAGTAAATCAGCGAGGAAAACAAGTCAAGTCAACATCAGGAGGAAGCAGAGCCGCGCCGAGTCAACAGGAGCAAGATCGCTACATCAAGACGTTCGGGACTTAGAGTTGAAGTCGCCGAGCTGAGAAACAGGTAGCTGAGGTCCTTGAGGCATCACGCGGCTAAGTCCAGGCGCTTTGTTCTAATTCCTGTCGCGACGTGAGCTTGGCATATTGCTCGGCGAGTCCGACGGAAGTGAATAGAAAGAGTCCTTCGACCGAGAACCGTGGGCTCGAAAGGGAAGTTGTCCAGAACGAGCGGCCGTGCGAAAACAATTGCCATATCGAATTCCGGCGTACGCCTGAACCGACAGGCGAGAATTGTGCAGGCCCTGGTGCGACTAGCCACGAAGGACGCGCGTCTGAACCACTGGTGTCTCGAGAGGCGTATGCGTCGAGAGCACGGTAATTCACCGCCAGAGTCCTAGACAGGCAACTGACCGAATCTCGAGAGCCAAAGACCGCTGCACCTAGTCTCACTAGAGCACGCAGACCACGACGTGAGCAGAGCAAGGGCATCGAGAACACAAGGAGCGACGAGCAGCCATCGCAGGCCCAGCGGCAACCAAGCCATTCCACAACACATCCAGTCCACGGCTAAGAGGCGAGGGCGGAAGCGTTCGTCTTAAACCTAGCGTCCTGCCACAGGGACTGCATTGGCGGCCTTCCGGCGTATGCTTGAACCGTCAGGTGGAAACTGTGCAGGCGTCTGGTGCGACCGGCCGGGACAGAGCCAGGGACAGGAGGCTGTGGCTGCGAAAGGCGTACGCTTTGAGAGCCCGGTGCCTGTTCACCCTAGTCTGGGAACGGTGACGCATCCCTAGACCCTCAGAAGCCCCGAGGCCAAAGACAGCGGAGGCGTTTCGGAGCAGCGAGCAGCGAACAGCGAGGCAGCGGAGAGCGACGGTGGAGCGACAACAATTCTTCAAGGGAGGCGTTGAGATACCCATCTGTCACCATTAGTCCCAGGCCGAGGGACAAGTCGGCGAATAAAGATCCCAATACAAGCATCCCAACATTCTGTGCGTTCTCACTAGACAATCGGGCGGTCACGTTTATATAAATTTGGTGGGACGAACAACACACATCTTCTGAGCTAGCCGCACGAAACTCGTAGCGAGCAGACATTCAAATCAGTTCGTTACACCATGCAGAATATGGTTCGACTCCATGCTAACAGGGGACTAACTATCGATAAAGTTGGTGTCGATGTTTTTGTATATATCTATCGCGATATACCACTACAGTTTTTGCCCGCTGTTAACGATCGCACTACAGTTCTGTTAGTTTCCGCTCCATTTCCGGTGCGCACTATGTTAGTTTTCAAATACATAAAGTTGAATTTTAGGGAAATTAAAAAAATCAAAACGCGCATAAATTATTGTGCAGAGGATTCTGAGATGTAAATAAATAAATAATAAATGTCGCAAAAATATAAAATATAAATATTATAAATATATATATTATAAAAATAACACTACAAGTGTAAGCTTACCTGTTTGAAATCTGTAAAAAATAATAAAATTAATCGAATCAATAGTCTTAGCAAAACACCATTAATGTTTTTTCATTGTTTTGTATGTAGGTACACAAGTTTATTTACTAATACATTAGTTTAATATTAATTTAGATAAAAAAAAAACAAATGCATAACAAACATTTAACAGAGTTCTTTTTATTTTTTTGCCTAAGCTTTTTCTGGGTTTTGTGTGTGTTTTCCTCACTTTTATTTTCTTGTTTTCTTACATAGATTTATTAGTTTACATCGAACCATATATGCATCTAAGTATGTATATATTTGTGTAAATTGTACTTGGCTCACTTGCAGTTTTTAGTGCACCGTGCTTGGCCAAAATCCATCAACTCATCAGGATTTAACTTATACCATAACAACATTAAACATCTATAAAAAGTGTTCGTACAGTAAATTTAATTTAACTACGCCACGCCGCCTGTGGGCGTGCCTAATATTTCTTTATATATCTATATTTATATATATATATATATATTATACCGAATTAAGTTTACGTTTTAGTTATAGATTTACGGGTGTATCCATGTGTGTAGTATGTGTGTGTATGTAGTTGGTAACAGTCTTTTATCACGTTTAGTTTGGGCTATGCGCATTACGCACAACGTATGGTACATAGGTATATATATATATATATATATGGTAATTTTAATGTATATTCCGATTTAGCCTAATAATTGTTTAAATCCTCCCTTTTACGCTAATCTTCATCCTGTCAGAGTTTGTTTCCTTTTCCGTTTTCGATTTCGATTTCAAGTGGTTGTACTTTATAAGAAAGTCACGATCAGTATAATTAACTATATATCTTAAAAGAGATAATTTTAATAGAATTGAAAAATGTTCATTTAACCAAAGTTGTTACATTCGATGCAGCGAAACCGGAAACCGGAAACGGCAACAGCTCCACTCTACACTGGTAACTAACTAAGCCGCACACGCGTTTAAAAGTCCTCTCTAAACTTAAGGTTAAAAACAACAAACTGAACTAACAGAGTGTGTGTGTGTGCGTGTGCAGCGTGTGTGCGTGTGTGTTCTAGTGGGCGGGGCATCTAAAGTATCTTTGTCTCAGGCTCACTCATAGGTTGGGGTTAGAGGATATCTATGCATATCTGATCTGTGTCTGTTCGGCATGAACCCATTGGCTGGGACTTGAGCTGGCTGCCAGGACAGTAGTTATCACATCGATGAAACCCTTCAGTCGAGAGCTGCTCTCTCTCTCTCTCTCTTTTTGCCTCTAGTCCTGATCCCGATCCAAATCCCGATCCCGATCCTGATCCTGCTCTTGATTCCGATCCGACTCCAAGGACTTCCGGGTGCTGGCCTTGTTCTGCAGCTGCACTTCGTACTCACTCTTGATGTTCACAAACAGCTCGCTTTGTTTCTGGTGCTCCTCCTGCAAAATGATTACAAATTATGGTTGTTATACACATTGCCTATTAAATTCAAGGTGGTTTAATTTCTGTATCATGCCATGGAAGTCTCTAAAAGGGATTATTTTAAACATCTTTTGAGCTGCTTTTAAATCGGAAGTGAATTCTTATGGCACTCCCTTATATGAAAGTATTGCTTTTCAGTCAAAAAGTTATCTGATTTTGCATGATGTTGCTCACCATGATCTCATCGAATCGCTGAACAGTATGGGGCAATTCGTATAGCTGCCCTTGTTCCCGCAAATTAATGGCATCATTGAATTGTTGGGTTAGATTTCGGCCAAGTTGGTCCAGAGATTTGTTTAGCACCTGCTCGATCTCTGCGGAGAAATATGGAAACATTTAAATAAATAAAGTAGTTCAATTGCAATCACTCAGTTTTAAAATACTCGCTTTAAAAATAAATTGACCAGGTGTTTTATAATTTAACCATTTAGCTTTAAGTTAAACCCAACAGCTGTCTAGTAAGAATTATTGATCATTTAACCGCCAGTTAAGGCAATTTTAATGATCTTTTTTACCATAAGCTGTCTAACAGCTTGCCAAAAGAAACATTTAAATTAAGAAATATATGATAATCTAGCACTTAACCACCACCCTTTAGAATTTAAGCAACAGCTAACCAGTATTTAACCGACAGTTAAATTAGGATTCGAACTCACCAGTGCTGGGTATGTAGCGTCGCTTGGCGACCTTCTCCTCGGTCTCCGCCAGAGCAGTGCTGCTCCTCTTCAGGGTGGACCCAACGGCCTGGGCATCGGGCGTGAGTGGACCCTGGCAGAAGTCGCAGGGCGAATGGGACTCGGTGCAGGAGCAATTGCCCACGGAGCTGGGCGACTTGACCGAAGCCGATCCGTGGACACCGCGCAGATGCTTGGCCGCCGTCACGTTCACCACACTGATGCTCTTGGAGATCGAGGACTTCACGGAGGCCGCTTCGGGTGGCACCAACGCCAGGGGCGGGGTCTTGGAGCTACCCTGTCCGTGGGAGGACAGTGCCGAGGAGCCATGATGATGATGCCGCGTGCCACCGTGATGCGGATGGCTGACTGTGACGGCATAGGGATCGCCGAACTCGGACATGCTGCGCACCCCATCATCCGCATCCTCGTCATCCTCCTCATCGTCATCCTCGTCCTCCGCCTCCTCATCCTCGTCGCCCTCATCCTCGCCAGACTTCTGCAGATTCTGGATGAGCCGCAGCACCGCCTTCTCCAGCAATGCCGGATGCTCCGAGGCCGGCACATCGATGGTCGACTGCGGTATCTGCGTGTTGATGATCACCGAGAACTTCTTCTTCATCTCCTGCACCCGCCGCTTGCCCTCCTCCTCGCTGAGCAGCGTGTTCACGCAGACGAAGGAGTGCACCTTGTTCGTCTCCTTGTCGATCTCCAGGTAGCCCTTCGACTGCAGGTAGATGATGTTCCCGTTTCGGGTGAACAGGCGGTAGGTGGACTCGCCGTACGAGCTGTTGCAGTCGTACACTGTGCGCAAAATGTTCAGGTTAATAAGTGCCAATCAATTAGTGTTTATATGTAAGACACTCACTTTGCCGCAGGGCCACGATCACCCAGCGCACATCGTCGTTGTGCATGAAGGTGAACGGACTGAGATTGCGCACCTCATCCGTCATGTACCCGGCCACGATCCCAATCCGCTGGTCGCAGTCGATGATCCTGCCGTCGATCAGGTGCCGGGTGCGGTACTCCAGCGTGTTCGCGTCGATCAGCCGACTGGCGATCTTCGGCGGACGGATGATCCGGGCGCGGGCCGTCAGAATCTGAAAGGGTTACACAAATTTTTCAGCATTATTGATTTAATTTGCAGTACTGATGTATCATGAAGTTCTTGGGAATAAAGAACATGGGAAATCCACTAGAATCTTGAAGCATTTCTCACAACTCCGACTTATTCAAAGCATACTTTTAGGCCACTTTTAAATTGCTTTTAAATCTTGTGGCAATTCTGATAGAAATGTTATAACTGCAGATATAAGTGTTAATAAAAACAAAGTAAATAGTTTGTTTTGTTTATATGATCAATATAGGTATAAGTTACATTTAAAAGCCCAAAGTAAAATATTATATTAAAAAACAAATGATTAGTGTTTCTATTTTTTAGTGATCATGTAAAAACTAACTTGAAATATTAATTGTAATATTAAACATATTGTAAAGTTCAACACTAGAGACGTAAGAAAAATGTATGTTGCTCCATAAATAATACTAATAACAATAAAGATCATTCAATTTGTGTAACGAATGCATTCGTCTTAAATATCTGATTTAACAGCTGTTATCTTAACAGAGGCGCCCTCTATCGGAATTCCTGAAACGTAACATTGCAGATTGGTCTTCTGTGTCCTAAAACCACTTTTTTGGATTTTACGACTTTTCAAAAATGGGTTTTGGCCAAAAAAAGTGGTCGTTGGCCCTTATAGTGGAATGTATAGATGGGGGATCATTGGAAAAAGGGCAGATACCTTAAGTATTAGTGATTGGATATTATTGGTGGACTTACGATATCGTTGCCGCTGATCGTGTGCAGGGGAATGACATCGTCTCGACCGCGAGTCCTTCGGATCAGCTGCAGATTGGAGCTGAAGGTGTTGGATCGCACTCCCCGTGGAGCCTCATCACTGCGCCGAAAGCAGCCGTCGATCTTGACCACCTCGTAGGCGATGGGTTCCGATCGGGGACCAGCGCGGGCCAATCTGGAAAGGAAGGGATTGGATTTGATTGATTCAAATGGCAATAAATGGGCCACATTTGGAGGACGACCTTAACCCACCTCACGCGAAAGTTGCGCCTATCCTCGCGCAGCCGGCGATCGATGTAGTCCTCCTCCGACTTGCTCCTCTGGCGGGGCTCACCCTCCGCATCCGCCGGGTCGCCATGAGCGTCGAAGAGGTTCTCCAGCTCGGTGGGGATCAGCTGCTGCTTGAGCATGCTCTGGTCGTCCGGATGGGTGATCTGCATGATGCTCTGGCCATACAGGTCCGTCTGGCAGTGGCCCAGGTGCTGCTCGATGCTGGACGAGATCAGCAGGATGTGGCCGTGGCAGGTGAGGGCGAGGAAGAAGCTGTCCAGCATGCTCATCAGCGTGTCCGTGATCTGCGGCCGCTGGTGCATCAGACTGTTGCCAAAGGCTAAAGTGGTGGTTCATTAGGTGATTAGTTTATATTTTTACACCGCATTTACTAATTGCTTAATCCCATTTATATACATTCAATTGTTCTTCATCTTACCATGCTTTAATCGCAGTGCATGGGCGGCGAAACGCAACACGGCTGTTTTGTCCACTCGACGCGGCGACTCTGCCACATGGGGCACCATCGTGGACAGTTCCTGGATGGATCCGTTCAGTTTGTCCCGTCGATTCTTTTCCGCTCGATTACGCGCCTCCCGGCCGCTGAAAAAATACATATTTATTAGGTTGTTTTTTTGAGCATTTAGTATGAAATTCTAACAATAATTGAAGTTCCCAAAAGCTGACCATAAAATTAATTTATATGCTTAGACATTTTGAGACATAAGAATGTTATTAATTTTAAATGCTCGTTTTCCGTAGCAATATAACAACTTTACCTTAAAATAAAATTAAACCTATATAACGCTAATTAAAAAATAATATTCCACCTATTACGATAAAACGCAACGCTATACAGTTGGTTAAAAAAATAAGTAAAATATTAATAGGTCTGTCGAACTAATAAAAAGCTCAAGAAATTTTGCATTGGGGCAGGTAGTGCAGTTTGGCAACAGCTTAGCAGTAGTTTGCATCTATTAATGAATTGCCCATTGCAATTGCCAGCGATGCTCTGACTAAAATGTCAGATTAATGTGCATAATAAAATTGTGCTTGGGTCGGTGTAAATTTATAGATAAATACTCGATCATGTACTGTTTGACGAACGATAAGCGATCGTTCGTTGAGGTAGTTATTGGGGTTTTCTGGACTGGGGGATTGTGGTTATGGATGGCAGTGTAATTGGCAAAAATAAGTTTCCCGAAAGGTTATTAATTGTATTAATATCCCAGCTGTTATCTGCTTGAGATTATGCACTCAAAAGTTCGTTTGTCCGCAAGTTGTCCGTTCTGTCCGTTCTGTCCGTTCTGTCCGTTTTGTCCGTTCTGTCCGTTCTGTAAGTTCTGTCCGTTCGTTCACATACTCGTACTATAAATTATATACGGCGCATGACTGGGCATTTGTTTGTCCGTTACGCAGTCGCAAGTATTACATAGTGCCCGGGCTAGACTATGACAACAAAACACGGTCTCCCCCGGTTTCAACCGCCCCTCTCAGTCTGTCAATAATTATCAGTTTTGCATGGGTGGCGATTGGGGAGGGGGGCTGGAATGATGCGATTCAAGTGCAATGATCACGTTCTGTTTGGCGCGGACCTGGTTCGTTTCACTTGGCGCCAAATGTCTTGAACGTTATTATTGTGATTGCATAACACCGAACACAGAAAATAACAAAAATTAATTAAAATTGAAATAAAAAGATTTTTCAATACAAAATTTCAAATAATCAATATTTATAATTATAAGTTTCTCGAATACATAAATAATAATAAGTATAGTTATAAATATAAAGTCAATTTAACGTTTTTATTTATAATTAAAATACATACTTATTTATAGGCCAAAAATATGAAATGTTAGTTAGAAATTGTTGATTACCAAAAATAGTTTTGCTATGTGAATAAATTCAAAAAAAAAGACAGTTTAAAAATGAATGATTGAATAATTTCAGGGCTAATTGTTCTCTGTGTGCCCCTTTTCATCAGCATTTGGCTGGGTTTATGAGTAATTTATACGGAAATGTGAGATCGCTGCGTTCGATTGGCAATGGCTACCGCTGTCCGCCGCCACAAAGTTGTTTTAGCCCCCCCTAAAAACCCCACCGCCCACCTCCCACTTGCAACTGGCCACCCCTATCACCACCCCGCAAACTGATGTAATTTATTTTAAAACGCAATTGCAAAACAAGTTCGCAAAATACACACAGACACTGGCAAGTGCGAAACGAAGTGCAGGAGCAATTGCAACTGCAATTGGCAAAAGCAATGCAAACAGCAGAAAAAAAATGAAGAAAAATCGGAAAAACAAAAAAAGGCCATCTCATGCATAAGGAAAGTGCGCAACAGGCAAGTAAACAAATTCAATCCAAAGCAAATACTTGGACAAAAATATAATCATTTTGAAACTGATATTATAAAGAACATTGTATTTATTGTTAAAATTTAAGTTAAAACAAAATAGTTAAGTTCGTAGCAATAAAAAATGTTTAAAATTATATAGTAATTACCGAAACAAACCTAACTTAATAATAAGTTAAGAAATTCTGATCAATTTAATTACTTTTAAAATATGTTTGTAAATTATTTAATTCATATTATTTATCCTTTAATTTTATCACAGTTTTTTAAATCGCAAGCAAGAATTAATTTGAAATGCAATACCCCGTTGCATTTTTGCTTATTAATGCATTTAGTGTTCAAAAATAGCAATAGAAATGACCAATAATAAAAACCAGCCATTACAAATGCTATAAACAAAAATTAATTAAGCCGCAAGAACTTTAATTTATGTAGGTATAAAATTAACCTAATTTTCATTTTTCTTATTGTTATTTATATTGTGTATATTGGCAAATATATTGACAGAAATGGGGAATATAAAATTGGCATTTCCAAAGTTCATTCCAGGGTAATCTACAAGTTCGAGCGATTTGCAATTGCCAAGGCAGCGATTTGTTGGCCTTGATTCAGTTGGCGCAGTGCATCGCTCCCTTGCACTTGATGTCAAATTGTTGTCGGTGCAATTGTTACCGCACTGCCGTCCAAGTGGCCAGCGAATGTTGTTTTTGGCCACTCGAGCTGTCTACTTTTTAGCCAATTCCAAGTGCCATTTCGCTGGTGCATACACTCGAGTGTATACATATAGTATACACATTCGCCGGCTGGGTATTTCTGTTATCCGCGAGAGTGTGATTGTTTGTTTACTCAACTTGTTGCATTCGCCGCTGAATGGAGAACCGAACTACACTCACAAAATCCAAACAAATGCCTGTTAATTCGGAATTTAATTATAGATTTTTAAGAATGGAATCTGGCTACAGAGGTTGTCTACCTCTCGTTTAAATTTAATTAATTGTCGAGCTGCTTCTATATAAAAATGGCCAACATTGCGTATGAGTGATTTACCATGAAAGCATCGTACAGAAAATCCTCTTGCTTTTATAGCTATAATTTAGCTTTACCTTAAAGTTAATTATAAATCGCTTTGAATTAAATAAAGTAGGTAGCAATTAAGTTTTTAAAATTAATAATTTGCCATATGTTTTTAATTAGAAATTTAAGTAATAATCAATATTAAAACTGGAGATTTAAAATAGTAATACAAATGATTCTTGTAATATATATATTTTTTAATAATTATGTAAAATCTGACTAGTACAAAAATTCTATGATATTTTTTGTACGATTATGGAAAATCATGTTTTTCATATTATATTTAATGTCCAGCATAGAGTTATTATTTCTTAAAAAAATGTTCTTCTAAGGGGAACATCATAGTATTGTGTGTTCCTAATTGTTTTCCTTATAAGTTTGAATATTTTCTGCAAGTGTACCGTTAGAGTCTCCCTCGCTTCCGCAGTCTGTCTCTGTCTCGCTTTCTGTTTGTTTGCCGCCGCTTACATTGTAAAGTGCGCGCGTATCGATAACTACCGGCACCACCCACCACCCACCACCCAATCTTCACCACCGCCTCCTCCCCCCCGAACGGACGGATGCAGTGCGACCTTGAAGTCGTGCTAATGACGTATCGAAACGCATTGGATTATAAGGCCGAGAGTAACGGTACAGCAACGGCAAAAGCGATCACACTGAAATATGGCCAAGTAAATAGGGAAACAAATTTCAGTGTTCTGTTTACGGTCTGTCAATCAAAGTGGGTGGTTGGGGGCAGAAAGAGGGGGAGGGGGAGGGGGGTGGGTTGTGGGTGATTTTAGGCCAGTGGGTGGGTGGACTTGTGCAGCTCTCCAGCAGCTCCAATGAATGGCGATTATGCTGAATTGAAAGCGAGTGAATGAATGAATGTTTGTCCCGTCTCGGTGACCAAAATAAATCAAGAAAATGTTGATAAAAATACACGAGATACGAGGGTATAAAGTATACCACCCACGGCCCAATCAAGTGTGTTTTTTTTTCTATTTTTTTTTTGTTTTTTTCGGTGGTTTGGGGTGCCTAGTTGGTGCCACAAGTGGCACAAGATGACGCCTAATTGGGAGGAGCAATCTTCAATCAGGCCAGACACTCAGCGGGATGTTGGTTGCGGGATCGGTGGCTCAGGGGGTCGGGGGGTCAGGGGTCACTCTGAATAACGGCAAATTGGAGGACCACCCGTCGAGGGGCCACGGGTGGATGCGGCCCCCATTAGCTCGGTGGGTGGGACCCTCGTCTCGAAAGGGGGGGGCACACAAATCAATGGGGAAACAACACCATCCGCCGATTTAATACGTGCGTCTTCAGCTAATACATTCATTAAGTTTCATAATTCAAAGCAAATATTCTCGTTTCAAAGCTTAAAGATCCAGTTCTCAGATCACGAACACAAAATGCAAATAAACAAATCTATAAGCATAAATGATTGCATGTATCGAAATAAGTAAACTAAGATAGTACTGCATTATTTCAATAAAAATTTTAGCTGATTATATTAAAATTGCAATGATTTCAATAAAAAAGTAAATATTTAAAAAATATTTCAATGTGAACTTTGCAAATTTTTAATTTGTAAAAATAAAGTAAATAAAAAAACATCGAAATAAGTAAATTAAGATAGTACTGCATTATTTCATTATAAATTTGAACTTTTCGCATTAGCTTGGTGCTGATTAAATTGCAATGATTTCAATAAAAAAGTAAATATTAAAAGAATATTTCATATATTGTGAAATAAAAACACTCGGAAAGAAAAGCCAACTAAAAAACTCTGTAAGTCAACACAATTTAAATGGAAATATGGGTTTAAAAACAAAAAGTGTTTCAAATATTTTAGGTATGTACCTACTTATTTAGGAAGTCACAAAACAAAGTTATTTTTCTAACGAGTAATGACCTTTTTCTAATTTATTGTTTACTTTACAAGGCTTTACATATTAAAAAAACAAAAGACAGCAAAAAATGACGCATTAGTGGAGTTATTTGGAAAAGATAAATGATCTTTTTACAATATATGGTTAAGTTAAGTGCATTTAGAAAAAATTTTAAGTAATTTAAGACAGCAAAAGAAGGAAATCATTAATGGTTGCATATTTATTATGTGCATTTTTTTAATGTTTTAAAACAGCTTCACTGGGGACTTAATAAATAGTTATAGTTCTCACCTGTTCGAGAGCTGGAACATCTCCATCATGGTCTCGTGCGGATGCTGGTGGTGCGGATGTGGCGGATGATGCGGATGCTGCGGGTGGTGCGCGTGGTGCGGATGGGCGTGCGGATGTGGCTGCGGATACTGGTGGTGCAGCGCATGCATGTGGGTCGAGTGTCCGGGATATGCACCTGTTCCCGTCCCCGAACCAGGTCCTCCACCTGGTCCATAGCCCATGTACCTGCCACCGGATGCTCCGGCTCCGACTCCGGATCCGCCGGATCCGCCCGATCCACTTGATCCACCCGATCCGTATGGCGCATTCGGATACCACATATTCGGATAGAAGCCAGGCGGTGCTCCATGGCCCGGGGAATGTGCATACGGATGCAGACGTCCGGAGTTGGCTCCTCCCACTCCTCCAACTCCTCCACCCGGAATCGAAATGGGCAGCGGACTGCCCGGCGATCGGTAGTTGAAGTGATACATGGAACTGGACGGCGGACGGAGCATCAGATCGCATCCGGATCCGGCGGCGGAGGGTGTGGGCGATTGGTAGAAGCTATTCGCACCACTGCCACTCCCACTGGGCGCATAATCGCTGCCCAGCACCGAGCTCTCGTTCTCATCCGGATAGTTGTCCTCGAGGTCGAGATCGACGGGCTGTGCCGGCTCCAGCCGTCCATTCACATCACCATCCGCATCCGCATCGGCATCCCCATCCGCATCCGCATCCGCATCGGCATCCGCATCGGGATCCCAGGCCAGATTGTCCAGTTGGCATTCACTTTTGCCCAGGACGAGGAGATCGCCGTCGATCGCCGGCGGATCTTCGAAATGGAAGGGAATGTCTTGCTTGAGATCCTCAATGTCCTGCACCTGGCCGCGACGACCTTGACCTTGACCTTGACCCTGACTCGTGGAGGAGTTCCTGCTGCGACTCGCACCCTCCATGTTCTCCAGCTGGAAAATAGAAGAGGGGTGAACGGAAAGTGTGAGTGAGAAGGTCATTGCATAATTGACATCCGATAGGAATTTGTGACCCCCATCCCAAATTGCCCAATAGATTATTTTCCCATTTAAAATAATATCACCGAAATGACCCTGATAATTGGTATTTTTAAGCCATACTTGTGTGACCAACTAAAATAAACTAATGTTTCCAAAATCGAAATAAATTGTATTCCTATTTCAACTAGATTTAGAAAACAAAATAAAAATAAACAAAATATGAAAATAACACATTTTTAACATTCTGGGCTTTTGAATTTCTTAATATATTATTATCTACTTCTTAAAAAATGTTTGTTTAAGCTTCATTTTTTTATGTACAATTAAGTAATTTTTTCCTTAAAGTTTCTTATAGATAAACATAAAAATGCCGAATTTTCATTATGATCCTACTATATTTATTAAGGAATGTAAAATTGCATATTCAAAAATATTAATAGTAATTACTTTCATAATATATGAATATTTTGTTGTTATTGTTTATTTAGTTCTATTTTTTTTTTAAATTTATTTTAAGGAGATCTTTTGTGTGTTTTATTGCCGTTCTCAAATTATTATTTTGTTGAGCGAGTATTTTGAAAAATTAAAAATAGCTGGCAGCGGCGGAATTAAATAGTGAACGAGAAACGAGAGCAATTGGGCTCGACGATCCTGGGATTTTTTATGATCGAACTCGTAAAACGCTGAAAGCCATAAACGATTGTGAGTCATGGGCGGCGGAGGGGGGTTATTTTTTTGGGGGGGGTGGTGTGCTCGGCTGAATGACAAAAGCACAAGTCAAAGAACGGACCGTCGATGTTCTGCGTTATTTATATGCGAATGTTGTCCAAGTGCCGCCTATAAATAATACCAACACTATATACACCCATGGTCCATAGTCAGATCACACACACACATACGAGTATGTCCGTCTATTCAGGGCAGATCTTTGAACTATATTTACTCCCTCCATTTCCTTTGGCAAACAAATATCTCTTTTGTGCCTCTGATTCACATGACAAACGCCTTTGCAGATCGCGGGGATTGCGGGGAATTCTAGTCATAAATTTTGAATTTTTTGCCCTCGAGCTGGCTGTTTATTTGTTTTCCCTTGTAGACAATTGAAGCTTTTTATATATTAGTGCGAACTTTCATTGGCGTGGGAAAAGGTTGTCTATCCTTGAAAATTTCACTTGGAATTCTATTTAGTCTAGGTATTTATTATTTGAAGTCACTTTAGCTTTTGTTTCTCATTTATTAAGAGTAATAAAATGTTATTTTTAATTTATTTACCAGAGTTCTTAAGAAAAACGGGTAATGGCTTAATTAAAATCGAATTTATTTCACTTATATATACGGACAAATTTAGATATTTAAAGAAATATGACAATAAGCATAAATAGGGTGTAAAATGGATTGTTTGTATGAGTACACAACGAAAACCAAAGATTTTGATATGCAGTAAATAAAATATAATATTTATAATATAATATAGTTAAATACTTTTACGACTTACGTTCTTAAAATTGCTTACTATGACTTAAATGCATTTTAGTTTTTACCTTACAATGTTGACTTTCGAAGCCCTTTGACTAGCAAAAATAGCCATGGAAAAATAATAAAAAAAAAATGATAAAATTACAAAATCAGATTATGGTCAACAAGGAAGTTGACAAGCACTCGACAACTAAGTAATATGCAATCCAGACATTTCTTTTTTCAGTTGTTATCATCGACGGTTGCCGTAATATTTGCGCTACTTCTCTTTATTAGTTTATTTTGCTGTTGCACTTTTTTCCGCCTTTCCAAATTTGTTTTGTAATTGTTTCCAAGTGCCGGGTAAACAATGGCCATAAAGGCAACGAGGGGGAGACATGTCAATTGCTGCCAAAATCGCCAGACAGCGATGATGTCGCAGCGGGCTGCCGCCACTTTGCATGGCTGACTGTCGGTGCAATGGGGCGTATACGCAATGCGGTTAAAACATGACAAGTGGCAGGCAAACAAAAAATGGGGGAGGGGCGCTTTCAGACCTATTCAATTGTGGCTTTCTATTTATATTATTTATAAGAATACTAGTATTTAAGACATACAATTTACCCTAGCTATTTAAATATTTTATAATGTTGGTAAAACGGGGCGTATACGCAACGTTGTATTTGAGTAGAGCGCCTATTTCATTTCATTTAATTTGTACAATTAAAGAATTAAACAGTTAAAGTATTATGAAACAGAAATATAATAAAAATTAAGACATACAAGCAAAAAAGTTAGGCTCAAATTAGCCAATAAAAAATTATTTATCTTATCTATGCTTTCTTTAAAAAATCTCTAAGTTTGAGAGTACGTTTTCAGTGCAATGGTCTGCATAAGCACATTTTTGTACTTCGTTTTATTACTTATTTGGTTATATATATACCATTTCCATATCCATTTTCCTACCCCTATTATTAAAGTAATTGTAGAATGAAAAAAAGTCAAGAGCAGCGTTACAGGCTAATTGGCAATTTTTAACTTGATTTATTGTATTTCACTATAAATGGGAATGGCTCTACACAAAAGACCCCGATTTAGGGTTCGTTATCTTTGCCAAAAAATCGTGCCTCAATACGCATATCGCTCTTATCTTCATAAGCTATCTTCGACAATCATTAAGTGGCACACGACACGCCTGCAAATCCATTACCCACAAATCGATAAAAGTTTACAAAAATTCCCATGGTAGGCCGGAATTTAATGGGACGGCGAACTTCTCGAGCTGAATTCCATTACTCCCTCGACTGGCCATATAAATGTGTATAATAATAATCGTGTGTACATATGTATAATCGTGTTCATATGGCTCAGTGTGCCGTGTGCGAGTGTAGGGCAATTATAATCTTCGTAGATATTCAACATGAATATTGTTTTTGATAAGCCGCCGACCGTCGCTTGTTTGCTCTTCTCGATTGCCATTCTACCAACAAATTCCATGACCATGGCCAGACACCGCCAATTTGTTGCTAGACTCGTTGGTGTTGTTGAACGTTGGTGTTGGTGTTATTGGTGTTATTGGTGTTGGTGTTGTTGAATGTTGGCGTTGCTGGTGGTGTTACGTATAGTACTGCAGATATCGCCGTGCTGATTAAACTCCGAGTGTTGAGGTCAAGTTTTGACAGTTACTTTTGGGAAAGTGATATCTACTTATTAGTATATAGCTTTTTTTAAGCGTATGCCTTGCATTTATTTTTAGTTCCAGAAATTTCTAATAAGTTTTACTATTTTATTGTGTAAAGGTAAAATTTGCTTAACTTTAAGTAGTTAGATTTTTTGTTTTTAAACATATTGAATGTTAATGCTCGATTTTTTGTAATTGAAATATTTGTAGGTGGGTTTCAGGAAATGGTTACCATTGCAACACGATAGACCATCATCAAAAGTTCTTATCATGTAGTTTAGTTTGTAAATCAAACTAGACACCATTGTAATCCAACAATGTTGCATTGTTTTGTGACTCACTTGATGAATGACCTTGGCGTAACAGGTAATAACGATGGTAAACTATTATTCACTCGGAAGTGATAATGCAAGTGATTGCAGCAACTAGTGAGCTGGCAATGGTCAACAACTTTAGGTGGTATTTTTCTAGAAATCTATAAAACAGATTACTTAGATTAGATTTAAACCTAAACAATTGGGTAATATTTGAAGGCTTGCTACACACATATTTATACTTTCAAAAATCTGTTAAACTAATTTCACCAGAAATACTATATAAGCTGCTTCAAATATGTATCTCGATGCAAACTACAAGGAAAATTAGATGATCCTTGTGTTTAATGAATTAGGATTATCCTAAAATCTTCTGGGTTGCCACATTCATGAGAGAAATTTACCGTAAGCTTGTTGGTTTTAATATTATTATAAGCTATGGAATGGTTTTTTCACCTACTTTTGTATATTCCATCTGCAAAAGATTTGCAATTGCCATATACCGTAATCTTCACAAATTCAAGGTTACTTCAACTGTGACCAAAATAACATCCGGTGCATTTTTTTTCTACCTGTGTGCATTTTGTACAGCATTCATTTATGGATTTCGTCTAAATATGTACATAAATGTGAGATTATCACAATTTCTTCAGGACTGCCACCTGCGTGATTGCAGCAGCGCAATACCGTAAGCTTTCTCTGGACTCCCATAAATCATGAAATGAAATATTTACGTCTAATGCTGGCCATAACAATAACAACAATAATAACAATCAAATAAAAGGAGAGGGCGAAAGGCAAGAGAAAAATCAATTTCACTTACATGTTTTGCGCTGTTTCTTGTTTTTCTGCATGAAGCTTTTCGCTCGCTCTCTCCCACACTCTCTCTCACTTTTTCTTTGCTAGCTCAGCTCTCTCGCACGCCCCCTCACCCACACTCGTCTGAGCGGTTTGTTTATTTCTCTGTCCGTCTCGCTCTGTCTGCTGGGTGTTTGTATTGGCGAATTATTTATTTTGTATTACTTTGTTTTTCTTTGTTGTTGTTTTTGCTGTCCTGCAGTTGCAATTTACTTTGTTATCTTTGCATTTATTTGTTTTAATTTTTCTTTGTAGTTCTTTGTACTTTACTTTGCAAGAAAAAAAAACGAAAAAAAAATAATAACAGTATTTAAAATTACAATATTTTTTGCGTTGCGTTTAATTCAGTTCACTTGGTATTTTCCGGTATTTGAATGTTCGTAGTCTCGCTTTGTAACGGCATTTATTCTTTAGTATTATCTTAAACCTTTTTTTAAACACACTCTTGGTTTTTTTTTTAAGTGGACGGGTTTTGGGAATATAAGCTTATGTTACATTCTTTTTAGTTTCTTTTCCAACAGCTCCTTGTTTTACTTTTCTTATTATTTTGGTATATATTTGTGTATTTAATTTTTTTGTTTTTAGTTTTTCGATATCAATCAATATTTGTACAGCTGGAGGTATTTTGTTGTTTTTGTTTCACTTTGTGGTTGTAGCTTTAATTTGTGTTGTTGTTCTGCCATTCAGCTTCCAGCAAGTGTTCATTTGTTGTTGCTAAAGAAATGGATAAAAAAAGAAGCGGTATGGAAAAACCTCTTGTTATTATCATTATTCCTAAAAATACGTATATCTTAAAATACATTTAAATGCATTATTTAAAGGTATTTAATTTAAAATATTAAGTAAATACCATAAAGCGTATTGAAAACTTCGTTTCGTCTCTCAATTTATCTTTGTTCTTCACGTTTTTATAGCTCTATTCTAAATGTAATTTTGTTTTTGCTCTGTCCGCATTTTGCGGTTGTTGTTTGCTAATTAAATGAATTCTTTAATTCATATATTTGAATTTTTATTTCCCACTAGCTGGCGAACGGACACAAAAAAATGTTAATATTATTGTTGATCGGTTCTGTGGCGTCACCTGTTGCTTTGTTGCTCTGCAGCTGCCGCTAAATGCTTCTTAAATGGTTTTTTTTTGTCTTTAGCTTTTTGTTATCTCGTTGGCTTTGTAGCTTTTTTGTGAAAATATAAACCGGTTAAAGCCGACCCAAAAGTTAGCACCACCAGGCTAAAATGGTAGGTTGCAAATTAAGGGAATTATTGAACCCGAGTTGAACCACCATTGCTGATAATTCACTTGACTTATTTTTGCTGAGTGCGACATTTTTTCGATGGGTTACAAAACTCCATCTAAGCTGGCTGATTTATTTTTCATGTTTATTTTGTTGTTTTATTATTGAAAAAAAAATATTTTAAAATTGTAGAATTTAATAGAAAATATGGAAAAGTTTTATATAATCACTGATCAGTTTTTGTTCACTTCTTTCAAACATTTATCTTAACCCTTAAGCCACTGAAATATAAAAAATTATATTTTTATTTGTGAAATATTAAAAGCGATTCGAAATTATAGAACTCAATATGTCCTTTGCTTTTGAATTATTAAATCAAATCGTACTAACCTTTGAGTGACATCTCTACTAGTTTCTATCCCTACCTTTCATCTCTAAATTCATCCTTGATTCCTTCCACAAAGTATGTATACAATATATTTATTTGTGCCCACTCAACTCAAGAGTTGCCTGGCAGTCTAAATCAAATATACATATAAGAAGATAAACTTATTTACGAGTGCCCCCGAAAGCTCACACAGACAAGCACAAATACTGCTGCAAAAGTTTCTGTGCGTGTGTGTGTGTGTGTGGAGCAAGGACAACGAAATCCTGAAGTATTAGGCTTCCCCCTGCGCTGCGGGGCCTGGTACGTAGGTGGGCGTGTGCACACACAGAAGGAGATTCCCACTGCTTGCTGTGGGTGTGTGGGTGAGCTACAGTAAAAACTGAGGAGACGCGATTTTAAAGAAACTTGATCTCAAGGATTTATCAACTACCAGAACAATCAAAACCAATCAAAAGTATTGTATAAAGCTTAAGATTACTTTTAAGGTGTTTCTTTATAATATTCGACGAATCCCAAAATAAAAGACGATTATATATTCTATATATTGCCAACCTTAAAATAATCATTTTAGAGATTTATACAAATAAAATATGTATTAAGATTTATGAAGAAACCGTTAAATATTATAATTTTTATTAACATAATCTTCTTGAATATATAATTTTAAAAATACTGTCTTCAATTTTATATTTTATAGATCCTTACAATCCCTTCAGCAATCACCATTAAAATAAATAAATATTCAAGAACAAGAATAATTATTAAGATTTATTTTTATACGTCCGTTTTCCTTTTATTTTTCAGGATTTTTCTTATGGCGGCTTCACTTTTCCTTATTTTTCTGTTTATTTGTCTTGGATTTCAGGGACATCGCAGGCACGCAGAAAATCTTTGCAAACATTTTTCTGAGTTTTTTGTTTGTGCTGCGGTTGACAAGTGCGAAGCACACTCGCACACACGCACACACACTCACCACCCACCGAACCACCCGACATTAAGCTGCAGCGGCTCCGGTTTTGGAGCGGTATCTGTATCTGTATTTGTATCTGTATCTGGTTATGGGTCTGGATCTGGATATGAGGTCCGAGTCTGGGGCCTGGGTCAATCACCCACCAGCGGGTCGTAATTGCAAAAAAGCTCAAGGCACACACAAAAATAACAACAAATTAAAATGTAATATAAAAACCTTTTCTGCTCACCGCGTTTTTATTTTTTGTTCTCGTTTTTTATTTGCATTTCAGCGACGCGACGCGACGTAGAAGAAAAAGTAAAACAAAAATAAATTCAAGTGCTCCGTCAAAATAAAGCCGAAAAAAAAAAAAAAAAAACGAGAACAGCAGAAATGGGCGAGCAAAAGGCGAAAAGCTATTTGCCAGACAACAACGACAACGAACGATAATCAGAAAAAAAAGGGAGAGAACCTAAAGCAAACGACACCCAGAAAGAGAGAGAAATAAATAAATTATATAATTTGCTTTGACGTTTGACGTACCGCCCCCTGACACCCAATCCCCGCCCCCACCCCCTTGTTTCGGTTTGTTTACATTTGCAATAGTTAAAGTTACAACGAACAGAGCGCCTTAGATTGTGTTTGAGCTGCGGTACGTATACGCAATATTACGTATACGTCTCGCTGCACGCCATTGTATGGAAATCATTTATAAATAGAGCAAAAAAAAAAAAAATAAGAAAAAGAAAAAATGCCTGCTAATAGATCATTAGAGAGGATCATTTTGCCAGTGGTGGGCAGATTTCTAAGAGGGGGGGGTGGGTAACTTGTGATATTTACGATATGCCCTGGCAGCCCCTTTGATGTCGGTAAAAGTGTTAATATGAATTTGAATGAACTGCATTGAATGTGAGACATTTTTTCCACCGCCTTATCATTTTTATGAAATATGTAAATATTTGTTAGATGTCGGAATGGGCTTGTAAACATTTACTTGAACTTGACACTCTTTCAAAGATATGGGGTTACACAAAATAAAAAATTACGTTTGCCCCTCTGTTTAAAAACTACTGATTATAGAGCAGTGCTGACATACTTTTAAGGAAAGTGGCTATTTATGCCAAAAATATTAATATTACAAAATAATATACTATTTTTCCCCTGATTTATTCATTAATTTCTGGATATATTTTTTTTATTTTCAAACTTTTTAATACAAAATTTGTTATTCATATATGTACATATATGTAAGATAAGAATGAAAAAATCCTATGTTCTATGAGCACTTAACACTTATCCCATTCGTTGATCCAGCGATAAGAATATTTGAGAATTCCTTAAGTAATAGAAAACGGCTTGAAATATTTTAAAATGTTATAGCAAATATATAATTATATTGTTATTTAATTCAAAACTAAACTATATTTAAGGGTTATTTATTACAATTTAAAAGCAGTCTCGATTTGGCTTGAAAAGGTCTGAAGAGGGTCCTTGGAAAAATTCAGTGGAGAGTATTCTCCTCTCTTTTTTTCCCGCCCAGTGGGTCTGTCTCAGCCACTGCCGCCGCTGTTTCGACCTGGCCCAAAGCACATCAGGTGGTGGCTGGCAAAAAGTTGTCGCAAAAACCAAAAATAGCCGAGCACTCGAGAAGAGAGAGAGCAGCTGAAGAACGGTCGAGGGCGGCGGGTGGAGGGGGAAGAGCGGCGGGGGAGAAGAAATGGAGTGGGAAGAACGTGGCCGTTGGAGCACGTTCTACAAAGATTTCCGAGTGCACTTTGAATAACATTCCCCAACATACATACATAGGTCTTTATAATCATAGTCTATGGAGGAACTATACGTATGGAAACACTGAAAACCATATCAGTTTCTTTTTTTATTTGCTTACATCATTTTAAAGGCACAAGGAAGTAAAATCTAGCAAAACATGAATATAAAAATTTTAAAATGCCAACATTTCTTTTGTATAGTTTTATTTTAAATGATTGAATAATTCAAAAAAAGTAAACAAGTAAATAGAAAAAAAAATAGTTAAAGTCACTATCTGCCGCAATAAATTGTAGAGCTGTATGAGTACTTATAATCTTTATACGAAATAAAACTAGTTTGACCTATTGAAACTTTGAGGAAGGAAAAATATGTGGTCTCGGTATGAAAGGTTATCTTGATACATTATAGAAATTAAGAGATCAACTTAGTTTTTATGGACGCGTGCCAATAAAACTTACTAAAAGCAACGTTAATATTAATACTGTCTAATTTGATAAAAGATCTTTTATTTATACATACATACATAGCCAATGTGCGTATGCGTAATGTGGGTTCTTAAATATTGCGCATACGCCATGTGAACCGCAGCGAGCGGAGCTGATCTAAGCCGAACTGATTTAATTAGCATAGCAGCCTAAGATGGCGTCAAGCTATCTCAGCTGTATACGATCCAATCAGGCATGCTAAATTCGCCTCCAATTAAGATTCAGTTTATCGATAAACTTGTGTTTTGGCAGTCCACACATTCTTGGCGGTTCGATTTGATTGCCCTTAATTTATGGACGGATCGTTACAATATATTTTTCATTTTCATTTAACAATTTATAATACACATTTTTTAATTGGTAATCTATATGAATTAGAGACCATTATTTATATAAAGTGATTTTAAGGATTTAAAAATGATTCATGGGTTTCCAGCTTACACTCAATTTTGTATTTGTAACAAAAAAAAACATTTCAGAATACAAATGAATAAAATGTTAGTTTGTGTTTATGCTTATTTAATATATTTAATATATAAGGTTTGTAGTATATGATTTATTTAATTTTCTTTTTGGGGTTAGTCTTGAAATGAAGAGAAAAAAATCAAATTGACATGCTTATTTTTGGATTGAACATTGATATGTGAAGGTTCGTCTCCCCTGATTGTCAAGAAATATGACATATTAAATTGAAAATTAAATATTTAATTTAATTTTCTATCTACCCAAGAAGCAGGCGTCAGTTTTTGGGGTCTCCAGCAATTTGTACGCCTTGGTATTGTCTAGGTTAGGTTATCAATTGCTGCCGCTTAGGTCTGCTTTTAGTATAAGTTTGGCTTTCCTTTTCTCGCAGCTTTAGAGCGTCTCAGCCCCTCTCTTTCTAGCGCCGCCGCTTAACAACACCCCCCCCCCCACACTTCTCCTTCTTAAAAAAAATTCCGTAGCGAGCTTTTGGCTCTCTCTGCGGCTCTCTACCGCTACCGCTACCGCTTGGCCCGCTCAACGCTCAACACTCAGCGCTCAGCAAAACGACCGCTCTTAGACGCGACGTCAGCAAAAATTTTTTAAAATTTCATAAAGGCGACAAGAACAACAAATTATAGAAAATATATATAAATATGTTTACATATACGAACTCATAAAAATAAAAAACAAAAAATAGTACAATAATTTGCTCGAATATTTTATTGTCTTTTGCAAAAATACCTTGAGAATCTCAAATTGTATGACTTTATACATAGACATAATTAAAAACAAATAGCGGTATTAAAAACTGCTATATAATCTTTAAAAAAAATCCCTAGGAAATGCCTAATTACATTCTATTTTATTTAGAAATTGCCCATAGACTGTTAAAACATTTAAATGTATTTATAACACACAAAATGTGAAACATTCACCTTCCTCCACGCAATTGAAGAGCCCCAACATCAGCTTGCGACGTTGAAATTAATTATCAAACATAAAACAAAACAAAAACGAAAACGAAAAACTATGGGCAAAGTAACAGCAAAAATAATAAAAAAAAAAAGGCACACACAAAAAACATCATCATTCGGCAACAGCAAAGAAAACCTTGAGAGCAACACAGCAACACAGCCGATAAAAATGGGAAAGAAAAAACCAAAAACATTTTTATTGATCGGAACTCGGAACTGGTAAATCATTGAAAAATTGTTCCCAAAAAAAAAAATGCCTGATGTTATGCTGGGCTATTAATATTTACTTTTATTGTTATTATCATCTAAAGCTGAGATATATCCCCATTTTGGTTTTAGGCGCTAAACGCGAACAGTTCAAGGGAGGCTAAGGCCCCATCATAAAGTGCACCCGCCATATAACATCTATGTATGTATATCCATCGGAATCCGTCGATCTCCGTTCACCCATTAAGCCGCAGATCTGGAATTTGACTGGGCAATACGTAAATCACTGAGCTCCCTCAATAAGTATCTATATTTCCCCCTTTTCATAATTTTTTAGGTATTTTAAAGTCGATAGAATCGTATCCAGTGTTCTGGGTTGTTTTTTTCTTTTATAAAAAATTAAATAAGCCGAAAAAAGAAACTGGAAATTCATTAATATGTTAATTTTTTTGTCTTGCCTCATTGATTGTGTCGCTGTGACTGTGTGTGTTGGCTTTAAGAGTGTGTGTGTGTGTGGCTGGGCGAGCGTTAATGTTGGCTAAGCAGATTTTCGGAAGATGACAAACACAGACAGTGGGAATGTTTTTCGTAAATCGAAACTTTTCCCAAGTCAACAAAAACTGAAGAGTTCTCGGGTTTCGATCGCGCAAAAATGCGCGCACGCGCCGCTGATTTCAGCACTATGAGATAAGGGCTTTGGTACACAATACACCAACATGCATTCAACAATGCACCAACGAGGAAACATCAACACCAGCACAACAAAAACAGATCACTAGAAACATAGCAGCAGCAACTGGTCATTTAAATTGGTAATCTATCTCCAAAAGTTGTTCTTTAATATCTTAGCACTCTACAACATTAACATTAATTGTTTATAAAGGACGCTAAGCTACTAGCTCAACAATTCTCCAACATTGGTATTTAAACACCCTAACTATGGTAGTGTAAAACTTTATAAATTAGGGCTCTAAAACTTTAACATCAGTACTTTTTAAACAAACATAAAACTATATACCAATATGAACAAATAATAATACAAAAAAAAATACTCCAACACTTTTTCAACAAAACACCAAATATTTGTAAACTAAAACTCTCAAATGTGTTCTCGTACTTTAACATCTAATACCCCAACACTGACAACCACTCCAATTAACCAAAGCCCAAAAGACACTTCCAGGCCTAATAAGTAATACTATTGTATGATTTCATTAAGGTCACCGCCATCTACCTTCTTTTATTGTATTTCTTCTCGACCGCGTTTTTTTATTTTGTTGTTTCGAATTGTGTTTTACACATAAGCACAAACACTGGCACACACCCGAAAAAAAAGCGCAGGGGCAACACGGAGTTTTGTTTGTTGCTTGTTGTTTTGTTTTGTTTTTATTTTTTTAAATTTTTTTTGCTTTATTTTTATTCGATGTTTTTTTTTTATTTTTTATATGGAACTTTGGGGGCACTGTTTGATATTCCAATTCCATTCGTTAGCGCGGCGCCATTTACGTTTCTCGAGCGTGTTCTTTGCATTTTAGCAGCGGCCCACGAAAAAGGCAAGAGAAGGAAACCGCTCGCACTCGCAGTGGCATTCGTGCTCACACGTACACAGCCCAAAACTCAAATAAAAATAAAAAATAATAATAAATAAGAAACAGCGACGGCAGGCGAGGCAAGCGAACCGAGCGGCGGACCAAGCGAACGTCGCGACGCGTCCGTCCGAACCGCTACAGAAACAAAAATTAATTACATATATTGAAATCACAAACTAAACTAATCAGCCAGACCAGACCAGACCAGGCCAGGCCACCGAGCACCGAGCACCGAGCGCCGAGAGCCGAGCACCGAGAGCCGAGCAGCGAGAGCCGAGCGGCGAATCAGCTGCCGACGAAAGCTGCCGCTCCCGCTGCCCCAAAAAAAAAAAACAAAAAGCTTGCTCCGCTCGGCTCGGCGGCGGTGCGATAGGGATGGCGAAACGCCGACCGCCGGCGGGAGCGAGCGAGAGGGCGACAACAACCTGCGTCGGAAAGCTGGTGAGACCTTGACTAAGGTTTCCGGCCGGAAAACCCTCGCCGAGTTCATGCTCACCAAGTGCACTGGGAGAAAATCCACAGCAAATAAAATGTGGAAAAACAATCGCAGAAATCTCTAGTGATTTTAAATCACCTCAAGAAGGTGTTTTAACGTACGAAATTCAAACCATTGCATTACCACAAACAAAAAACAGTTATTATAAGCACCACACAAACATAACTGTATATATTGTCATTGAAAAACAAGACTGCCAAAGAATTGGCAAAGAATTAAATCAGAATTTAAAAAATAAATTATTCGAGAGCTAGGCTAGACTCAAACAAAGAACAAAGTCCCTCAGCGTGCCTGAAAAAGGACACAACCAATCCAGCAATATTTTCTGTCAGTGCACAAGCGCCGCAAAGCCAGCGACTTGGCTCTCCGCTCTCGCGGAGCTTTTTCTTGGGGCAGAGGAGAGGCGCGACAGTTTGTCGCTGTTTAGTCTATGAACTTGACGCTGGCGTCTTACACAATGCTGCCGCCGTCGCTGCTTCTCTACACTACCACACCACCACACACCAATACACCAACACACCACCTCACCAACACAGAAACACCGAACGCACACTAACACAAGCACACTCTCAAAAAAATAACACTCGCAGTGGGAAGGCAAACACTCGGTTGGGGATAAGGATATCAGATCGAAATTCGGGGCTCGAGGCTAACCTAGGAATTGGAAACGGGACTGGACCGCCTGGGAAACCTTTGGGAGGACACTCCGCCATAAGACTAGGGACTACGGAGGCGCCACTGGGCCAAATGGGCCGCTTCCACTGCAGCAACGGCCGATGCGGAGCGACGACGCGTCGTGGGACTTGGACAGATGCCGACCGACTGCCACCGATGGGGCCCGGTCCAAAGGCCCCAGTGCCCAAGACGTCGGACGGATGGATGGATGGGTGGATGGACGGACGAACGGACGGATGGCCAGCAGCCAGAACGCCCGCTCAGACAGCTTTCAACAGCGGAGCTTTTCAGCCCCATTGAGCCGTCTTTCGCTTTTCCCCATCTTCGCTTTTCCCGAAGAGAAACAGTAGTAGTAACGCACAGGAGTCCAAAGTGGCCGGGCACACAGGGCGCATACGCAACATTCGAGCGATACCACTCGAATGTCATCTCGCTCGCACTGAGGCAACTCGGTCACAGTTGCGGTCACAAAAACAGATCTCGCATAAAATACGATACAAAAACCAATATAAAATACAATCGGTATAAAAAATTATAATCAATAATAATTGCGTTTTAATCTTGATTTGAAATTTAAGTAATTTTATTTTCTATTTTTCCAAATTTTTTGAAAAATGGCCTTGCAGAAAAGTTACCTAAGATCTTCACTTCTAAGCTTATAACTTTTTTTACAGACATCCGATTTGGAAATGGCATACTTCAAAATGATTGTGATTTGATTCCCTAAAAATCTGTGTTTTTAGTTTTTTTTTTTTTTTTGTCGATTTTTCGTCATTTTGAATTTTCAAAAAATGGGTTTGCAGAAAAGGTCCAAAAACTGCACTTCTACGCCTATAATTTTTCTTACAGACATCCGATTTCAAAGTGGCATACCTCTAAATGATCGTAGTTTGATTCCCAAAAAATCTGTGTTCTCACTTAAATTTTTTTTTTTTCCGACGATTTTTTGTCAGTTTAATGATGTTACCCCTCACCAAATTTTCCAAAAAAGGGCTTTGCAGAAAAGTGACCTGAAACCTGAACTTCTAAGTTCATAACTTTTTTTACAGACATCCGATTTCAAAGTTTAACACTTCTAAATGATTGTGGCTTACTTCTGTAATAATTTGTGTTCAAATAATGGTTAAGAATATGCGTTTCAGGAAAAAATCACTCATATAATCAAAAACTTAATTTTTCTACGATTTGTTTCTAAAATTCGCAAAATTGATTGTACTATAGAAAGTTACTTCGCTCTAAAATTGAGAAAACATGTTTAATGTTTAAGTAAAAATATATATATTTCAGAGATTATTATATAATTATATTTAAATTTATGTCCAAGTGATGTTCAACTCTTTTATCACATTATTTTTAAGCATTTATAAAATCTACACAAATTTAATACAATACACATAGTTAAATCGAATTTAAAATCAAATTGGTAAATCATGATACTTTTTTCTGCATTCTCTTGGTCCTAGAATCGCCCCCGCAAGTGTGTAACGCTGCTCTGGGCGCTGATTTGGTTTATGAGTTCTCTTCGGTTATCTCGCGATAACACAATCAAAACAATAAACACAACAAAACGCCAAGGTCGCAGGAGGAGCGGGGTGGCAAGCAGGTGGAGTCAAACTAATCTCTGCCATTCGATATGCGATTCTCAGAGTGATTCCCCGCGGAGCTACGAGTGATAAAGTGGTGGAATTTTTTTTAGCATAATCAAATGTTTAGCCGAAAAGCGAAATTTGAGATTCACCCACTTCACTTTATCGCAGCACACTTGTTAGTGGGCCAACTTTGATAAGCGATTATAGAGAGTAAATGAAGATTTATTTTTGGCCTTTTTCTGTACATGTTATTACACTAGTTAAATTAAACTAGAGGGTCTACTTCTGGCAGTCGCTGGTGTTAAAAAAATATATCATATCATATCACATATAACATTAAATACTACGACTCCCGCAAGATGTCCAGCTCCTCGGGCAGCGCGTAGATGCGGAGCTCCTTCTCGGTCATGACGTCCTGAAGATGGGGCATGTCCTGCGGCACAAACTTGGTCCCCTCCATTAGCAGGGCTTTGTCCCAGGGGCACTCGTCCATTGCAGTCAGCAGGCACTCCTTGCTGCGCTCGAAACTGGTCCTTGTGTCCGATAGGCACTGTAGGTACATGCGCCAGTACAGGGAGTTCCTGCGCAGCAGTCGATACTGTCCCTCCTCGATCTCAGAGCGATTCTTGTTCGTTGGCAGGAATGTTTCGAACATGCTGACCAAGCGATTGCGCACCGCCAGCTGGACGTGGTCCTCCAGAGTGCCCGGCAGCGTCTCCCTGTCGCTTGCCATCGCAAAGCGGCACCGGGCGGCAATAACCAAGTGCACGAGGGAAATAATCCCGGCTTGGGCGCGGATGAAGCGTGCTCGCTGCTTGTGCCACAGCATCGTATTGAAGCCGGCCCAGCACTGCAGCATCATCAGATTGCGCGGAAACTCGTCGAGTCCACGAGATACTAGATCCACCAGTTGCGCGCTTCTGGACATCAGGGAGGTTCTCTTGCCACCAGTGTTTCCTTTCTTCGCCGTCTCTCTGAGATTTTGATCCACTTCACCGGGTGGGGAATGGGGCAATTGCAGCTGCAGGATCTGTATTTCCATGACCTGCTCCCTGAGAAAGCGTCGCCTCTCGCTGTTCTTAACTGCCTCGGGGCCAAGTTGGTGCTGCAGGAGCTCATCAAGGATTCTATCCACCACCGAGTGGTTCAGATCCAGCATAAGGAGCAGACAGCGAGCGCGCAACAGGATGAGTAATTTGTTGGGCAGGAAGTACTCCTCCAAAGGCATCTCGGCGGGCAAGGTGTCGAGGGTGGCCACTTCCTCCTGCAGCAGATGCAATCCTCTCTTCAGGCTCGTTTCAATCCCAGCGGTTGCCGCTTCAGTGGTCAGCGAATCGGCATGTTGGCACATGCACAAACAGCTGAGCAGATGGACTGCCTCGTCCCTGCGACAGCATTTTATTAACATCTCTGCACATACCAAATAGGAATGCATCAAGTCCGGACTGGTGAAGTCGCTGTCCATCTGCGAACCAGTGGTTATGATATTCTTGAATAGGTCGAAGACCCGGTTCTCATCATCGTCCTTCTCCAGACCCTCGAACTCGCACATGGCCAGCTCGGTGTAGAAACGTAAAACCCGACGATTCTCCGGCAAAGCCAGCTGTTTGCGAATGCGCAGGCGTGTCTCTTTCCGATAGGATTTAGTCAATTTGCCCGTAAGTTTATGCAGCACCACAAGAAGGCGCTGGAAACGCATCCACAAGACCAGGAACACCATTCGCTTGCTCTCCTCCGACCTGAAGGCTTCGCTGCATTTGAGTAGCAGGCTGCTTATGGTGGCCGCATACAATTCGTAGCCAATTAAGTGCGGCATGAAGCTGGGCGTCACGCAAATATCCTTGGCCAAGTCCAACATGGCTGCATTGAAGCCTGCATTTCGCGACAAGGGCACGGCATAGGAGTGTCTATCCGCCAAGCTAGCGAAGAGCATCTCAATGGCCTCGGACTCGCCGAACTCATCGATGCGAGGATTCAATTTGGCGGCCAGGCAGGCACTCCGAACGAATGGCATTTTCGTTAGTTGAACGACAAGGAGCAGCAGGTGCAACCGATTGTCCGGCGACTTAAGTGCATGTGCATAGGCCACAACGTCGTCGCTGAAGATGCAGCGCTGTGTGTCCAGTCCCCCGGCCACTGCGTCCTTCTCCGAGTGGGTCAGTTGGGGATAGGGCAGGTAACAGTGGGCCTGACGCAGTCGTTCCACTCGCGACCAGATCTCTGGCATCGGCATTCCCGAACGCAGCACCATTTCCTCGTACTCAATCAATGGTTTTTCACTTGCCGCGCACGCCTCAAAGCAATCCACCGACAATCCCGGGAAATTCAACTCCAGGGTCAAACGAAGTAGGGCAAACATCATGTTCAAACTGCCTGTTTGGCGCATGAACAGCACGCAGTTGTGGAAGAGTTTGAGCATTATGCGATCCGTGTCCACGGTGGCCAATTCCCGGCTGTGTTCATCGGTGTGTCCAACATGCATCCTGCGCATGCTAAAAGCGTAAATCCGGAGCACAGCGGGCACATTGCAGCGCGCCATGTTGCCTTGGGTAACCATGATCAGCGCAGTCCACAATGTATATTCGAAGGGATTCTTGTCCAGCATCTTTGTAAAACGTGCAGCGACCTGAAAAAGTTTTTACATTTTTTAAAATATTTTATACATTATAGTTACTAAGATAACTAGAAGAGAGATAAATCTTACGTTTAATTGAAGTTTAAAAACATTAATATATACTGAAATTTCAATGGTAATAGGGAAATCGGAAAGTTCTAGGTGTAACTATAGATTACCTCACTGGCTTGATAGGTGGCGTTGGCCACATCCGTGTAGAGCCGCAGGATCTGTTCATTGGACGGATGGTGCTCCAAAGCCGTTTCCAGGGTGTGAAGCTGGTGCTCCGCCACCGCCAACCGATTGGCCTTGTCCAGATTGAGATCGAGCAGGCGGTGCAGCTCCAGCCAGTGCTCCACCCTCTGTGGCTCCCGCTGGACGAGCACCTTGCTCTGGATGAGCTGCTCCTGGAGCCGGCGAACTTCCTCCGTTGAGGGAGTGGCCTCGCAGTCCACATAGTTCCTCCCGGTGTAGCGACTGCTCTTCGAGGACAACTTGGAGCGACCCGATTCGCGGCGGGTCTTGTCTTCCAGATCCCGGAGACGGGTCATCCGGCTCTTATAACGGGGTCGCGTGGGTTTCGTCAGGGTGGACAGGGATCTATACATCGAATTGCTATTCTTGTCCACATAGAATTCATCGTTGGCATCGAATTCCAGGAGCTTCGCCTTGACCGCATCCTTTGCTTTGATGGGGATTTCGGAGGCTTCTGCGGAGGAGTCCTCGCTGTCGGTAGAGCTGTCCGATGTCGGTGACTGCGTCGGTATATTTATATGATCTACGGCTATATGTTTCTGATTATAGCTCTCGTTATTCTTCCAATTCGCACTTTTTGTTCCCGCCTCTTTATCTTTCTCTGGATTCTTAATTTCTTTCGCCACCGAGAAAGCCGGAGATTGGCCACCGCCATAGGCGGGAAAGAGAGACATGATCAACAATTACTTAACTTACTTAACAAGGAATTTCTTCGAAATCAGTCTGGTTTACACAATTTTGTAGTTTGTTTTGGTTTGGCATTTGCTTTTTAGTGGTGGAGAAACATCAATGACATCGATGTTTGGCATGGCATCATCGATGTTATTCCATCACTGAAAATAAAATAAATGGGTGGCCGTACCTGCTAACTGTGGAGTAAATCACCACTACTTGCGGGCCGAGTCCCGACTATCTGGGGTTCTTGGTTGAGGTCTCTGGTAATTAAGATAATATTATAACTTATAATTAATGAAGTACATATTTCAAAATCTCTTTACAATATGTATTTTAATTTTTAAAAATATATTTTATGCCTATTTTTAAAAAATTGTATTGCCATAAAAAGTCTTTTACAAGTCACAAGCTTTTCAGAATAAGAATTTAAATAGATTGTGTCCGTAAATGTGGTATTGCCAAAAATATTACCAATAAAAGCATTTAATATTTATATTAATCACATTTTATATTTATAAATTAGTGAATATGGAATATGCGCCAAATTTAAAAATGTATTAAAGCTTCAGCCAAGTCTCCACTTTTGGAGACCTTTTAGTGGAGCCCCCAACCATTTTGGGAAGACAAATAGGGTTTTGAATTTTTGGGTATGATTAACACTTTAAGAATATCCCGCCCATCCGAAAACCCGAAGCCACATATATACATATATATTTATATAGATGGGTGAAAGGCATCAAAAACGAAGTTATACGAAATGCAACATATATACACACATATAATGCGTGTTGTTTACGTGTAAGATACTTGTAATTTTGGCTTGCTTTTTGGATTGACCCATTAAAATCGAAATATTTTCACTGTTTAATGAGTGGCTGAACTTTGTAATTAATATTTATTTGTATTTAAGATTATGGACAAGCTACCATCTCAATTTTAAAATTGCTTGTGCCATCGAAACCAGTCATTTGTGGGCAGCTGAATAAATAAAACTAATTGTCAAAATAATTGTATAAGATATGTTTATAAGTTAACTTAAATTTAATTAGATAAAGTGTAGAACTTTAATTTTAAGCAACATTTTTGTTTTAGTTTTTATTTTAGTGGAAAGTTTATGGTATCTTTCATCAAAGGTTCGCTTTATTTATTAAAAGAATTATTAATTAATATTTGTTTTTATCTTGAAAAAGGCTTTATTAGAAAATATAAGTTAAAATTCAAAATCGGATATTGCCGTGTTCTGAACATTCGTTTCCAAGCTAACTTTGATTGGCAAACAAATGTTTTTGATTAAATCAAAACTACATTAAGCATAAATCTAATTTAGACTACAATATTAAAATAAAAATAATTGAAAAACACATTGTGTTAAACCGACAATCAAATAGAGAAGTCTTTAAAACTCCTCCCTCAAGATTGCGAAATGAGAAATGGCATATGTTCCAAATCCCCAGAACATATTATACTTGTTAATAATTTGCTTAAAGCCCTTGTGCCACACGTGATATCAGAGAATAAAATGCTTAATGTCAGTCGATTTGCAGCTTAAGCTTTATGCATATATCGATAACGAGAATTGAGGGGGAGGGGGGCAGTGATTTCAGCTAGACTTTTTCCGCCTCTCTGCGAGAGCTTCCCATTTTTTTTCTCATATTTTTTCATTTTTATTCTTATACATCTTTACTTCGCTTTGAGCATCTGAAAGACGCTGTAAAATGCGCTCGTTTACACCTCAAGTGGCAATCATTTGCCATCGCCCCCAGTGACGTTATCGTGGGGTTTCCTTGGCCACCCCCCTTCTCCGCTCCTCTCGCTAATCACCAGCAGTGAGAAAGTGGGGAGGGGAGGTAGAGAGAGGCGGAGAGAGGCAGAGAGAAAGCGGGAGTAAGCGGGCGAGAGAAGCGTTGACTGCTGCTGTTGTTGATGATGATGAAGTGCCAGCAATGTGACAGTTACAGGATGAGACAGAGACAGACGGAGAAAGCTGAGAAAGAGACAGAAGGGTGATGTGTGTGTGTGTTAGTGTGTGTGTGTCACAACAATGGCCGCCCACACAGACACACATTTGTAATAATGGGTAAACAACAATACGAACAACATCCCATGACAATGACAAGGCAAATAGCAAGGAAAACTTCGCAAATGTCAGCTGGCGGTTGTCTCTCATAATTCTCAGCGCCACCCCCGCCCCCTCCCCAATTACTTTTCCACCCCCTTTGGAAAATTGAACAGTAATTACTTTAGGCTTTCTCCCAGCGGACGCGCGGGGGCGTAAAGAGAGGGAAAAAACGCAAGGGAAGAATATTAAAAGGCAGATATTAAAATGAAAACAAATCTGAGTCTAGCTTTAAAGTGCCAGACGGCTACAAAAGTTGCCAGCAGCAACAGAAAAACGGATGAGGGGATGAGGGGCGTGGGCAGATCCGTCTAGCATCTATACACTGAGCAAAAAATAGAGCCAACTGATAATGGTTTAATTATTGCATATAAAATTAGTATACAACTATGCCTTTTTGCAAACAAACCTTAACCAGATAATGTTAAATTTATTATAATAGATTTTTGAATACATTTGTGATGAATGTTCTCTATTTTTAATACAATTTGAATATATTTATGATAAATGTTCTCTATTTTTTAATAGATTTTTGAATACATTTGTGATGAATAATTTATTGTTCGAAGATAGTTTATTTTTTCTAGTGTAGGGGTGTGTTTGTATCGCTTTATATTTACAGCTACTAAACTGTAATCGGGCCACACACCGGAAGTCGAAATGACTTGAAAATTTATTGCATTTGGTGCACAACGTCGACAGCGACAACAGTGTTGTTGTTGCTGCTGCTGCTGCTGATGTTGCTGCTGTCGGTGTTGGTGTTGCTGTTGCTGATGCTGCTGCTGCCGTAGCTGCTGATGTTGCTGCTGTGCATTCAGCAGGCGAACGCTTGGCTGCCTTTGGTGCTCCCATCGCCATGGCCATCGCTTCGCCATCGTCAACGAAACGGAAGTGGCGCGGCAGTCAATTGGGAAGACAGGCCAGGACATGGCCATGGCCGGAGGCATCGGGATCCCGATTCCCTCCCCTTTAGGGGCGTGGCCTCAGAGCCGGCGATTGCAAAATTGAATAAGCCCACAGAACCCGATCCACGGAGTTGAAGCGAAACGGAGCGGAGCAGTCGGAACAGGAACCAACTGCATCACTGAACAAAAATTAGTCTGGCAAACAAAATTATAAATGATTTTAGTGCTAAAAAACAGTTTACAAGCTGCAAGGATAATGCCTTTAAAAATTAATTAAAACATTTCAGATCATTTTTATAAATTAAATTTATTTAAAAAACAATTTTTATTCATAACAATTAACTTTTTTAATGCCTATGAAAATGGCGAAATGAAGTACTATATTTGAATATAAATTCAAAGGTCTAAAATTGCTTATTAGAGAATTAGAATTATGAGACAAAACCACTATAGAATATTTAAAATTATGAAAAATATGACATAAATAATACAAATATATGTAAATATTATAGACAATTATAATTGTGAATTTATGTATTCCAAAACCCCAAGCAGAGAAGCTTTAAAAATGTAATTGATCAATACAAAAACTGTAAATGCTGTCTGATTTATATTGAAAACAACTTAGTTCACTTGACAGAAGTTAAGTGAATTTTTCCCCAAGTGCCGATGCAGTCCCCAAACTCATCCTTATTCCGGTCGACACGAATTTACGGCGATTTTTCCGTCACTGGCAGGACATTTTTCTCCAGGCATTCCCCGGAATTGGCTGCACTCGGCACAAATGTCTCAAGCCGTGGCTGTCGGGGAATCCGAAACTGGTTGAGTGAGTGCATCCATTCTGCGCGCAGTTTACTGCTCATAAAAATCCATTAAATTATTCAAATTGCATAGGAAAAACTGTTTTTGCCCGGGCTTTTTTTGGGCGATGACGTCGACACACAAGCGGAGATTTTCCCGCTTGGGTTTTTCCACCGTACAGGTTTTCACTTTGGCCAGGTTTTGTGTTCAACTTCAAGCAATTTCTCTCTCTCTCTCTCTCCGATTTTCCGTTTTAGGTATTTTTCCGCGTTGGCTGCTTAAAATAAAAGACAGCCGGCGGTTGCAGCTGAATAAGAGGATGGAGGATGCAGGATGGGTTTGTGGTTGAAGGATGAAGGATGAAGGATGAGATCGGAGGATGGGCATAGAGCCCAGTGAGGCATGCATCAACAACAGCAGCGAGCGCAGCCACAAGAAGCGGGTGTTTCGGAGGACTGGATGGAGCCCACATGCATCCACTTGACTGCCAGCTTAGGGCACACCACATCAGTTCCAGTTGCAGCTCCAGGACCACCCCCTAACCTGCACTGGGAAAAATAGTGTGTTTGTTTAATTTGGTCACAAAATTAAAAACCTTGTTCCATCTTAAGCTTTAAGGAAAGATTTTATTCAATTGATTATTTTTTTAAACGCAAATTAAGGATCTGAAAGCATTACCAACGTTACTATATTTAAACATTAATTAAAATAGTAGGCATTCAGGTTCAAAGTTCAAAGAGATCAATATTTTATGGAAAGAAATGCTTATAAAAATCTTGATTATTAGCATGTATTTAAAAAATAAATTTATATAAAAATGTTACTTTCACAAATATATATGACTGTTGGCTTCGTATTGTTGCGGCCATACATGTAAAACCATTACAAGATCAATTTGATATGGAGAAAAAGGTTAATGGCAATCTTGATTTAAATATAAGCATGTATTCAATTTTTAATACTCTTGCAAACAATTATGATTATCTTTGTTAATATATGTAGAACCATTAAAATACTTTCAATATAGATAATGAAAATAATAATACATACTTTCACAAACATTTATGATTGAAAGCATGTTACTTGTCCAAATTCTATTTTATACACTTGGTTCTGGTCTGTGTAGGCCAAAACCAGACTCGAATTCCAACTTAGACTCAAGCGCAGACGGACCCAACCAGATCCGACCATTCCAGACCAGAATAGCGCAGGTCAGGATGCTGGAAAATAGGACAGGATGCGGAGGAGGACCAACA